AAACTCATCAACTTTTGGCTCATTGGTGTTGACTGAAATCAACTTTTGGCAAGGCAAGAGTCAATAACTCGATAAGGGGTCATAAATACGCTCATTTAGAAACTAAACCTGCTGCTTTGAGGCGGCAAATCAAAAAATCATGCAATATGAAGTGTAATTTGTAATTCAAAAAGCTAGTCATAGATTGAAAAGGTCATTGAGACAAATTTAATGATGTATAACCCAAGACTTCACCATGGGCGCTTTGCCCCGTGACGCGCATGGGCCCGTTGCCCCACTAGGTATCATTTCAATTTATATCGTGTCAACATTTTATTATAAAAGCTAATAGTCTAAACTTGATCTCAAAATTATCGCTATAAATATTACTTTCAAAATATAATTCACAATAATTTCAAAAGCTTCATCTACGGTAATCGAAAAAAATTTTCTTTAGCAGCAAAAAAATTTTTATCTGGACTAAAACAGTTATTCACAAATAACTTAATAACGCAAACACTTAGCAAAACGTAAATCCGTACACTTCATCCCAGTGAAACTGTCGACCGGCGGTAGAGAACACGGACCAATATCTGCCGTACTTAGCGAGAAACCCGCTATGGGCCCATGACCCGCAGTGGGCTCGCTGCCCCATGTTACCCTACTGATTAAGCAAAAATTCTGTATCATGCAAAGAACTTCTAACTTTAAACTTTTAACACAAATTCTAATAAAAAACTGTCAAAGATCAAATCAGCTGCGATGGTGCATTATGTCAAGTAATAAGTAATTACAACGTTACTATTATGAAGCTTAGTTTTAATGAAAAATTTTCCCCGACAGATAACTTACGATTTTTTCAAGTCTTTGCCCGCATTTAAAGCAGATCATATAATATATAATGAGCTTTTCACAAACTTTTGAACAATATTATCTGATCTGACTTTCACAGAATAGATTCAAACTGGGCTCTAAGAAAAAGCAAGTTCACATTTTCGCCTTAAATAGAGTAAGTTAAGTGTTCGGTGCTAAATCCGTAGACTCTGCGAACACGCATGAGCAACATTTTTTAGTGCCTTATCCGACGCTTCGGGATAGCAATAAAGGCATATTTCGTTCTTCTAATACAATCTTATTGCAGCTGGCGCTTGATACGCAACTAAAGCATGAGAAGAGCGTACTATCAATGATTTAACCAATACTATTATTATTAATATATACAACAGCAATCCATTTGCACTAGTCGTAGCCATGAAGCAAGGCAATAACCGTATTCCCTGCTCTTATTGGTCTGAACCGTGCGGCTGGCACAGCTATGGTGGTAGCTGCTGCTATGGGACGGTGAATCATTTCAACGTGTCTTGCGTGGTGGAGATACCTAATCAAAATCTTCATACCTGATATATAACCTCAGATTCTTGTTCAAGTCAGAAAAAAACTAAGAATTTAACCTTTTATTAAATCATGTATTGACTCTAAATAATATGCAAATTTCATATTCATTTTAAAGTATAAGTATCCATGACAAGAGTGTAAGTTAAAAGGAGATCGGTACATTTCTCAACGCGAATTATGAGCGTCGTTAAACTTGTATTCACTGTATCATACCGAAATGGAGGTTTTATTAACAGCATCGTAAGTGCGGTTAAATAATTTCAATGTGGTTATTCGCTCTTGCTAGAATACGAAAGCGATACTGAACAGTGGAAGTTGGATTCTGAATCCCAGTAAAGCGAATTCATACTGGAAAATAAGCGATGCATATGATACGGTTATTTTCATTTGGTATTTTGCAATTTTTGGCAGTATATACGTAATTTGCATTTATTTCAATGAATATTTTGAATTTATATTAATTGTAGTAAATAAGATGCAGATATTTGCAGTAGGAATATTGCCATGATTAGCAATTAATATTTTTGCAGCTTATTGCAGTAGAGCGTTGCAGTTATTTGGAGGAATACTTAACAGATATGGAACGATGACATGAGTACAGAGTATGAAACAATTACAGATGAAATATATTTGTTGCAGTTTTGACATATCCCTTACAAATCGTTCTCAATCCAGGACGTTACAAATTCTAAACAATTCTAAAATTCTAACTAAACCCAGATTAAAATATATATATGCAGTTTCAACTCGTATGTGAATGACAAATAATAAGCCATTCACGTACTTCTTAGATCAAGTTCACCATTTACTATAAAATGAATTGATGCTCATTTTTATTGTAAAGTCAAGTTCACACAAACACGTAGGCAGTGAAGTAGTAAGGATATCACTTGTTGAGCGCATCCCGCGCCCAAGGACGGACTGCCCTGAGCTGCATTGCGATGCACTTCTCTTCTTCACGACTGGAGACAAACTGAGCATCTGTGAGCTCTGTTTGGCAGTAGATTTGACATTTGAAATAAAACTGAACAATTTCTCTCGATAAAATTCGCATACAACAAATATTTTGGCTTTTTAAATTGGGCGTTTTAAAAGGCTAAAATGCGTCATATTGGTCTCTTAATGGAAATCGAAGAGCCGAGTTTTAATTACCTACATACGTTGATATGCCGTCAGTTTGGGCTAAATGAATTTGATTATGTAAGATTTTAAGGTAAGTTTTACGGTGTTGACATGGGATGACTATTTTTAACAAGTGAAAGTGCTGGGTTTCTAGATAACGAAAATAATTCTATCCCAACTTTATTCATATCAAGAGATAAACTCAAATGATGCCTTATTTTTGAGTTTCGACTCCTCAATTAACCGTACATCTAATAATTTACTACCATCATAAAGAGATGTAAAAAAATCGGCATTTTTTGATAAAAATTGAACGCGCTACTCAAGTTAAGGTCTAGAATTTTAAGGGAGCAAACATTTCATTTTTTACATTCCTATGATTTCGTAGCTTCGATTTTATCCCACTCGCCCTACATTTTCCAAACATTTCAGAAAATGGAGCAACAGAAGTTTGTCAAATCGATTATTGCCTTATCTATAAACTTTCGCTTTTAAACACAAATCAGCCATTGCTGAACTTTTACTCAAATCTCTCAAGCTACCAGTTAAAAAATCACAAGTAATTTTTAAAGCGTTTTCCAGATACAAGATACAGAGCTCGATTCTCAAACCGGCAACATTTTTCGTGTCGGCGCTATTATCTTCGTCGACACTGATATTCGCTGATAGAATAGCAATTAGTATTATTCCTAATCAAAAAATTATCCTTCATTGGAATGAAAAGAAAACGTAACAACTGGAATATCGCCCGTCATAAATCCGGCTAGGATTTAAATCCGGATTTATTCTTTATTCACGCAGGAGCATACAAAAAAAAACATAACAATAAAATATAAATAATATACGTTTAAAAATTACTTTTTAAAAACAACACTTCTAAAGAATCCTGTGTCTCCAATGTTACAGATGCACAATGAATTTCTAATTTTATTTTCGAATATTAAAAAAATTAATTTTTTTTAATATATAAAATTTTTTTCAAAATTATTTATTGTCAATTGATTCATGCATTGCCTCCGTTTTCACACAAGTGTGCAAAATTTCAGAGTGTGTCAAATATCATTTACTATAAGATTTGTAGCAGACAAAATTATTTTTTCAATTTTTTTAATATTGAAAAACAATTTTAATTTTTTAAAATCATTTATTTTTTCATTTGATTCTTGCATTGTCACCAACTTTACGCAAATGTGTAAAATTTCAGATCAATAGGATAAGTAGAAGTGTGTCAAATTTCGATTATAAGATTTGTAGCAGACAGACAGACAGACAGACAAACAAGAAGTGAAGTTAAAGAGAAGTGTTGTAAAAAATTGGAGAAAAAAATACAAAATGCTTCCATGTGAATGCTCGTATAAGCTAAAAAGCTTCACATGCGACATTTTTTTTCCGACAGGCGAGTTAATGATCGTGGCCCGGCGATCTGCATTTATTTCTCGACCTTTGGAGATTTTCTAACAAGTTTCCGGCAGCAGCCTCATTGCTTGATCACGTTTCTAGAGAGAAGCTCGATCCAGAATTTGAATTCATTCGCTTGGCTGTTACATACCTCGCCATTTTCCTGTTTTTTATGAATAAGTTTACTAAACACATGTTTTGAGGTAAAAGCTAATAGATGTATTGTTTACCTATGCTGGTATCCTGTAAATCCGCCTTTTAACATAATAAGATGAATGATTAACAAAACATTGATCACAATTAATGCTTATGAACGACGACCTCCGCGATGTTGAATTCATTTTGCATCAGATTATGAATTGACCAAATGATCACAAATCTGCTGAAGTAATTTCAGCAATATGCCTGAAGTTACTTCTACCGCTCGTCTCACCCAACTTCAATTCGTTCGTTTAAATTTAAGTTGAACAGAAGCGAACGGTACAAATCAAATTTCAAAAGAATAATGTGATCGGTCCACCTCCCCTTAAGGAGGTATTCTGACATGTCTGTGCTCGTCTGGTATCCTATGCCATTTCGCATTCCTAGGATCTTTGTCCGAGCGACCTACCACTGAGCTCGCATTGCCCCATTGCGGGTCTCAGCTGTGGTGTTCAGTCGGCAGTATTTCTTCGATTTCCTGCCTCTTGCGTGGGAGCTCGGTGACTCGTAAAAGCGACCTCCAGTACAATTGTCTTCGTTTCTGTGTACTTGCCACCTGCCACTTCGTCTCTTTGAGACAAGCTTGACCTACCACTACATGCCAGCAGTAGCGGCCTTTCTTAATCTCCTTTCTTGATAACTTCAGCAGCCTGGTCATTCGAGACGTTCCGCCTTATGTGGGTGATGAACGATTTTTGATTAGAGAAATACGCGATAATCGAGACTTCATCGGTGATGTTAGTCTTGATTTTCGGTACCAACAGCCAAATAGTTCAATTCAGCGCCAGTAACCACGTGACCACGTAACTCAAGGCAGGATATGAAAAGCATCACTATTCTCGCAGTTCGAATGCACAGCTAGAAAGCATAGAACGTTGCCATTATGTAGGGTTAAATCAAAGGAGTTTTAAGTAACACTTTCTTTCAAGACAATCAGATGGTGATATGATTAATTTATTAAGAGTTTTCGAATACAGCTTTTAGAGACAAAACAGTAAAATGATGTAGGCCAAACATGGAGTAATTTAAACCCATACTTCAGAGAGCCATCATCCCAGCAACTGACCGATGTCACGCAGCCGAAGCAACATAACTGACAAGTGGCGGTGCCGCAGCAACGCGCATCAGTTGTGTCAATTGCAGTAACCGCAATGCTGCTGAACTTCAATACTGTGGCATCATTGCTGATTATTGTATGATATTACCTATCAGTAACATCGCTGTAACAGCACGACTCCCCAGCGTTAGTTCTTATAAAGCTTGTCATGACAAAGCAATCATTAATTTCTCGGCAATACCGTAGTTGCACATCGGCATTCAAGTTCCTAGGCTCCGAGGCAAGATTAAATAATGAGAGTAAGATACTAGTGTTATAATACGAGAGGCCCAATATGAAATGCCCGTGCGCAGAGACGCTTGCGCCGCGCACTAGTTTAGAGTACGTGGCTAACGAACTAAGTGCTACTTGGTCGGCCGCCTGCACGACTCTGCTCAGCCCGACGTGTATCCACGAATAATACATGGTTTATTCGGCGTTAGAAAAACATAACACGAGATAAACAATAGCATCCTAAATGATCAACAATGAAGATACAATGAATAACGAAGGAGCTTACTAGCACAAGCAACTTCAATGCAGATAAACTGCAACACAACAAGCGATACAAGCAAAAAATAATAACGCGAAATTTCACAGAATTGTATAAGATCGGGAAAAATTAAGAGCAATTTTTTTAGTTAAATTCTACCATCGGGACTAGTGAGCATAATTAAGGTAGTTATGTAGAATTGAAGGTTTTTTTCAATAAAATTTCAGTCACTTCCCAGAACGTATCTTATGGCAGGAACAATTCCGCAGAAAGTCAATTGAAAGCAAAACACGAGTGGTGCAAAGCGTGAAGTGAAATATTTATAAGTCCGTGACATCGGTGCACGATATAACTGATGATACAAGACTCCAGGCTGCGGAGAGCCGAAGAGGCGGCAGACGGGATGCGAACAAAAGGGTGCACACACAACACTAAGCGCTTGCGTCCAGGAATGTTGGGGCTACCACAGCTGGACTTGGCCCATTTAGAACCAAACTCGGCAACTGCATTCATCGCACATTTCAAAGGCCAAAGCGCAGCCAGCCGTGGTCAATGAACAGCCAAACTAAGTCACTGAAACGTCACCCTAACCCGAAATGTAGCTTACAGTCGCACGAACAATGCTAGCCCTCCCAGATGCGATACTCCAAGATAAATTTGTTCTTTCAATTTTTTGTCAAGTTGACTACAATTATTTGGAAACATTGCAAGACTTCTTCGATGTCTAATAGTAAAATTGCCAGGCTCAGAGTGACTATCCAATTATCTAGCTACCATTAGTCTCAGTAAATATGCCTCCTAGAGTTTGTCACACCATTGCACATCACAATCTTTAATAGTAGCTAATAACACTCCACAAGCCAGCAAATACAGATCGAATCACCTTTCCAAACTAAAACGTCCCCTTCACTACCAATTGAGCCCAGCCATAAATGAAGGTTCCCAGCATAGAAGCATCACTGACGCTCAGCCAACGGATCTCTCAGGCTGAGGGGAAGTCTGTGGAAATGTAACGCAGCTTAGGCCTCCTCATCGCCGAGATTATGCTTCACTTTACTGAAGTCGAAGTCCTCGCCAGTGCCGCGATTGTAGATGCTCAGCACATCCAGACACGTCGTCTCAAAATGGCTTGTTGCGTCGTAGCTTTCGGAGATGAAGAGCTGACTCTCGCGACCGTCGTCAATAGGCTTGAACAGCGGCGACACCGTCACGAACCTTGGACAAAAATGTATTTGTATTTACAGGTTTCTATAGGCATTGGACAAGGCAACGTACAACAAATTCATTGAAACTCAATCCAAATGCTACATATCTGGTGCATGAGCAACTTCGTGATACTTGAAATAGCCCAGCCTGAACTTGTAAGAATAATCATAGTGGCAACATAGTTCGAATATTGACAAGATACAAGGTATTATATATTGAATTATTGATGGATTGACATTAAACTAGAACAAGTAGAATATTTATAGGTTTATTTAGAAAACTTTTAATTATTTTAATATATTTATTTAAAATAGAATATTTAGCGAGATCATGTTTATAAAAAAAGGTAGTTTTCGTTTTAGCTTCCGAGTACTTCATTTATAAATGAAAAAGTATCCTAGTATTTATTGTCACTCACTTTTGTTTGATGGGCCCCAGGAGATCTAGTCCTGGCTTGATCTCAGCTTCAGGATCAGCTGTTTCAACAGTTGTAGACACGAGGGCCACAAACCAGCCTTTGGCGGCCACTTGATGAGTGTACGACACCATCGACACGTAAATATCTGCCATCACAACACAATCTTATTCGAAGCTCTCAACGAAACTAGCCACAACCATTTCACTACATTTTTTCAATGTCGTATTAACTGCTGTTCTTGTATCCGACTTCTATAGCCTTGAGCCTTTTGCGTACAAAACATACAGGATAAACATTTGGTGTCAATTAAATGTCAACATGTCGTCCTATTGGGACTACGCATACGTATCTTTCATCTCATTTCAAGCAAATTAATTAATTTAATAATTAAATTCACGTCAACAGTTTTCGCGATGGTCGTCAACAGTTTTCGCGATGGATATTTTCACGTCAACAGTTTTTCGCGATGGTCAGTTGAAAAATTAGTGAAACAAGTTACCTGAGTTCCTGTTGACCTGCTTTTGCGGAATGATGATTTGGGTGCTGAGAGCATCTTTGGTGTTGGCAACAGGATGATCCAGCAGGCATATTGCCCGGATCACCTGCCCCACCTGCAATAATCAGATCTTAGTAATAAACTACGTCTACCTTTTACAGTCAAAGCTGACTAAAACTATAAACTATTACAAGACATACAAGAAATTTTCCTCGGACTGTGCAGATAATCCCAGAAGAACGCCTCTTTTTTTATAGATTCAATGGAAACGCCCGAAAATCAAGAGCTTTTGAAATTCGGGTTCACAGCTACAAATGTTCACAACGATATGAATAAATTTTTTCAGGAAGAATCGCGACAAATTTGAATATGCTGTACGATAGCTGTAAGAAGGGGGTATTTTGGATGGCAAGTAGCTATTACAGGCAAGCTTCTGCATCAATCAACACATTACTTTACAGCTCCTGCTTAGCACAAAGCCTCATAACAGTTACATCTTAAAATCAAGAGCAGAGCTTCATTAAACTTATTTTCAAGGTAACGTTGGTGAACCATAATCACCAAAAATTTGTAAATAGCTCCTATCATACAACGTCACAGACCTGCTTCACTTTATCAGGAACGTAGGTGGGGTCACAGTAGACCTGTTTGCACTTGGCAGTCTCGGAGCCACTGCGAACTCCCGACACTTTGCCGTCAGTGAAGACGATCTCGTCAATGGGCTTGTCAAGCATGTATGTGCCGCCGTAGATGGCCGATAATCTGAAAACAAATAACCAGCCATAAAAATTCAACTAAATAAAAAATAATTCTTTCATCAAACGAGTGTGTATAAGAAGAAGAAAATCCCATGTTTTAATGAATTACATTGGCAGTACTATTGTAAAACACGAATTATAATTTAATGTATAGCCAATATAAATAAAATTCAATATATAACTAGTAATAAAATTTCATGTACGGTATCCCTCAAAAATGAGTTGCAGTGCATCTATAAAATTTACTCAAAAATCTTTGAAAATTCTATGCGACACCTTTTATAATTGTCATGCAATTTTATTTATTCCTCTGTTAAAAGCTAGTGACCTTGCAAAGCCCTGAGGCAGCTCCCCAAGCCCATAGAGAGGGTAGAGGTAAGGGCTCTTGCCATAGCGTGCCAGAGAGTCAGAGTACAGCCTGATGCGCTTCAGGCAGTCAAGAGCAGGCTTGGCAAGGTACTCGTCATCCCTGATGCAAAAATAATTATAGTACACGTGAATAAAATAAACCATTCAAGAATGTGTTTACTCACTGATTTGTTATAAGCAATTTTAGGCAAATATAAAAATTGACAGATGTTTTCCTGGAGTATCAAGGAAAATATTGACAAAGAAATGAACGCTTTTCACAAAAATAATCATTAAAAATATATTACTAAACATTAAAACCTTATTTTAATATATAATTTATCAAATAAAATATATTCACTTTGTTAAAATTTGAGAAATTATCAATAAGACCAAGATAAATGCAGCAATTCATGGCAAATCTCATCTGGTATTTCACGGATGGAAGTTGGATAATAATCTATTATACCAAAAAATTGACCAGACATTCAATTTTTGCTTCAATTAACTACAGTGCACAGCTTAACACAAAGGAAAAAAACCTGTAGAGAGCAAGTGCATGGCCGGTAATGTCAATGGTGTTGCGGTCAAGATTGAAATGAGCAAAGACGGCACTCATGGGGGTTGTGTTTGGATCAAAGCCAGGCATGGCCTTCCAGCTACTGGGGTCATCTTCCTTGAAGTCTTGGGCAAACACCAAGAAGTTCCGGAACCTTCGCTTCTCAAACATCCCAAGCAAATCTTCACAGGGAAAGACAAAGTATGAACACTGATGCATTTATGTGACTCCTACACTGATTTGATATTTCAACATAGTTTTTAGCATCAAGATTCATTCACATTTGTCCAAACATCACCATTACTTGGAGTGGAAAAGTTTCAGCAATAACGTGTTTTTCCTCAAGTACAATTAAAATGCCTTAATGAACTTAATGAGGCTTCTTTAAGACAACATAAAATTAATCATGCATATAGGCACCTGTTGTAAGTGCTTCCTTGTCATCAGAAGGCACCTTGGAGATCTTATTGCCCTTGTACACGTAGCTTCCTTCCACGCTCTTGAACTCAAGGTAGCGTGTCACACCAGTGTGGATCAGCAGCTTCACCAGCTGCCCATTGGCCATCAGGAACTTAGGGATCAGGTCAACATTCCAGTCCCTGTTAAGGCACACACCATTAGAGATAGACAATGGTTATGTATAACATACATCAATATCCTTCAGATGTAAAATTGTGACAGAATGGGATTGCCAGTCTACTCTCCATGATTTCTAGCAGAATCAATAAATAGAAGTATTAATATGGGTTAAATTTAAATGCATTTAAACTAAGGAAGAGTTACACAGTTACACTCGCAAGTACCAGTGTAATTGTAAATATAGGTATTTAAAGAATGCTGAGAAATTTGGCATTTTTTCAACAAAGCTAATTTTCACAGCTCAATAACCAATTGGTGATAAGAGTAGGTCAAGATGAAAAAAATTCTTACCACATGATAATGATAATTCAAGTGAATTGAAAGTCAAGATAATCTAGCCATTGAATTCATACAACCCTCACCTGGTTCTACCATAGGACTCATCAGGGTTGGGCATTTCAAATTTGGCAAAGAGATCTTCAAGAGGTGTGATGGATGCACTTTCACCTCCATAGTACTTGTTGCGGTCCATGTGAAGCACCTTCTTGCCTGACACAGATAGCATTCCGGAGATGATGCATTCCTGAGAAAATAATGTATTATCAATTTGATATAATAATAATGCTTCATTGAATATAATAATAACCAGCTAAGCTCTCAAATACAAAGCTATATCTATGTAGACAAAGAAATGCACAGAAATTTCAAGTTCTGAAGCTTGTACAAGAAATTATGAGCAATTCAGGCAATCAATTCTACAATATGTTAACACCAAAGGATTTTTCAAAATGTTGCAGGTGCAGTAAATTATGGTTTTATAAGTAAGAAAACTTTCACTAAGCTCAAAAACTGATTTTTCATGAGGTGAAAATGGGAAAAAAATCAATTGCTTGGTAGTTTTACTCAATTCCCCAAGTTTTTACTATCCCAAGTTTTACTCAATATGCAACTGTCATTGCTTGAAAATTACATTGTGGTACATATGTATATATATATATATATATATTCAAAATTATGCAAGATTCTTTACAAATTTATTTTTTGTAAAAACAACCTGTGTAAAAAAACATTCTCTAAAAATATTCTTTTACTGCATCGTATGTTTAAAAATTGTATGTACCAATAAGTTCAGTTTCATTTTTAATTACTAGACTATGAAAAATATAATACAGCCTTGATGTTTTACAAAACCAAAATATCAACTGTTCATAGCACTCAAGTCTATGGACTATGCTCCTTTCAATTAAGCCACTTGACCATGACTAATACAAAATAATTAAATGATACAATTACACAAGGTCTCAAAGCCCAGTGAATGAGTGTCATTAAAAGAGTTAAGGTTTCTTTCAGGACCAATAAATTTCTTTTAGTTTTCACTGAGATACAACAGAATGCAAATTAATAAATTCAGGGTTGGCGATTTTTTTGATTTTTTAAAAAAAAATCAAAAAAATCAAAAATCAATGATGTTTTTATTTTTTCATGATTTTTTTTTATTTATTTGATTTTTTTTATTTTTTCAGCTTTTTTGTATTTTTGAGGTGTTATTTTTTATGTTGCAATTAGCCTACTAACAATAACAGTATATGGATCATAATGGATGGCTAAAAAGGGCACTTATTGCCTTCATAAAGGCAACAAGTTTATATACCAATTTGTCATTCATAGTACATTTATACTAAAGCATGAATAACAATACCTCAATATAAATTAAAGACTGCCACTCAATATTTTTAAATATATGAAAAAATCAAAAAAATCAAAAAAATCATGATTTTTTTAGAAAAAATCAAGTGATTTAATCACATAATTTAATCATTTTGATTTAATCATTGCCAACCCTGCAAATTATATTTACAATCAAAATTTGATATTGTGTTAAGCATACACTTTGGATATGCAATAGTTTCTTCACACCTTTGACTTCTGTGAAGTTTATTCTACCAACAGTAAAGTGACAGAAATAAAAAACATGCTTTTTCATCATAGTGATTTGTATTCTGAATTGCTATAGAGCATGATACACAAACAAGAAATATTTATTTCAACAAATAATAGGCAGGTTTTTCTCAACTAGTTATTAGAATAGAATATAATGGTACATTTTCATTTTTGGCTGAGCTGAAAATAGTTTTATTTCAAAATTCATGCTTGCTGCAAATAAGACTGCCAACAAATGCATAAAATGTTGAAGCCCTGTAAAATATTCTCTTTCTACTTTGACTAATTCATACTAGATGAATTATCTCCATTTTAATTTTAATCAACTGCTTGATTAAATATCAAGATATAAAATTTAACTAAAACAAAAGCCCAATCTTAACCCTAACCATTAGTCAGGAAGAATGTTAAAAATTAATATTCTATTGCATATTGGGTGGCTGCAGCATTGCCTGCAAGGCTACACTACACAAATACATCTTAACTGAAAACTTACGGTGCAACTAGAGCTTTCTCATGCCCAAGGAACCAAACTAGGACAGAATTTGGAATAGGGTGGGAGCCTAATTTATAGAGAAATAATAGATGAACATGTACCTAATTTTATTATACTAATTATAATTGATTCAGAGATAAGAAACTAGACTATCTTTTATTTTAACTTAGCTGAAATTTTTGCTGAATATTTAGTTCATTTGCCATTGCCAAACACTTTTTTTCAAGTGAACCACTAATTTTAGCACAGTGCACAGCAGTCACTGCTGTGCACTGTGCTATAAGCTGCCTATCTGTTATGTGACTCTTCAATGTTTAGTAGATCTGCATTCCTGAAGTGTTGTTGTATATTGAAGCTAGTCTGGAAAAGTCCTATTTTTGTCTGAAATATCGCGGCTCTAATATCATATAATTTCAGTAGGTATGAAATCTCGCGGCTCTAATATCATATAATTTCAGTAGGTATGAAATCTCGCGGCTCGAATGTCATAAATTTTTGTTTGATTAAAAAATCGCGGTTTGCACTTCGCAAACATGTCATGGTGAAATAGAATCACGGCTCGTAGAAATGGAATCACGGCTGGCAAATCCATAAAACCACGGCTCGAAAAATTCAGTCGCGGCTCGCCAAGTAGATATATTCCATACTAGCATTGAAGCCAGTTAAATGGCCAGTATTTAGCTGCCAAGCTGGTTACCTTGCTCCAAACAAACTTTACAAAGCTAATGAATAGATTTATTAATAATTGTCCCAAATAAAAAGTCCCAAAGTGGTGAACACCACCTCGGAAATTCTTGAAGGAATAAGTGCCCTTTTTAGCCATGAACTTATGAAGCCATCCGATCCATATACTATTATTGTTAGCTAGTAGGCAAATTGCAACATAGAAAATAACCTTTCAAAAAGACAAAAAAGCTGAAAAAATCAATAAAATGAAAACATCATGAAAAAATAAAAATCATTTGTTTTATTTTTTCTATTTTTTATATAAAAAAATCACCAACCCTGAAATCTAGAGGAGATTAGGCGGGCAGGCCTACCTAGCTAATGAGATTAAAAATGAAGTGATTCTAAAAATCTTTGGTTTGCCTGAGTGCCTCTACTATAGCAAATGGTGATTATAAAAAATCATTGGTTTACCACCATATAATATTAAATGACAAGGCTAGTAACTAGTAAGTTTTGGGCTAGTACGGTAGTACCTAGTTATTCAACAACTGAAGAAGTACCTAAAAACCCACTAACTGAACATTTAATGAACATTTTTTACTCCCATTTTATTCCAGTTAACGATGGGATTAATTAACGAAATTAGATTTTGAATTTCACAGGGACAGTAAAAAAAAAATAAGAGCGGATATGCAAAAAAGTCACTTTTAATTCAAAAGTATGTCTGTAAGACAAAAATTACTAAAAAGAAACTGAACTTGCGAACTTAATCAAATTCTAGAAAGCCGAACTCCCTGGTAACGATTCAAATGCAATAATACTTACTTTCAATCCCGTGCCGAGAACAATGCAGTCATATTCTTCATCCATGGCTGGATAAATTTTGATACTAAATATGACAACAAGAGTTAACCTCACGCAAAATTCGCTTCCCACGAAGCACACCCTGCCACAATCTAGTGAAATTCACTCCCAGTGACAGCACTTTTCGCCAGCTGTTGGAACTTGCCCTTAATATGTTGCAAATTCCCTAAGGAGTTGGCACGTTTACCCTGAACTATGGAACTGACAACAAAATTCAATCCTACCACGCCAACATTTGTTGAAAATGTATTGAAACAAACAAGTACAAATTTTATTGGTTTGAATAATTACGAGGATTCCAAAGTAAAATTATATGCGTAAATATGAGCACGCACCAAACTTACTGCATAGACATAAAAATGAAGTTTCACATTCATTTAATATAGTGCCATTATTAATCTTATAACTCAATTCAACTCACTTTCAACCAGTTATTTCCCAGAAACGAAAACCGTGTTCAACATAATAACTTTTGTAATATCAATTATTACCCTGTCTTACAGATATTTCCTCGTACTTTAACGAACAATCATTCCAACGCCCGAAATTTTTGTAGCTTCCGCCATAGAAGCTAGTTCTGTGAGGCCTAGAAATAAAATATAATAACTTTAAAGGCTAAGAATGGAGAAAGGTGTGCAAATTGCATAGAATGTGGTGAAATTTATCAATGATTCGTATCAAAAACTGAATAATATTGAGTAGGATATTTATAGAAAATTAGGATTTGAGGTGTAACTTCGAAAGATTCGTGGCAGCTTGGCGCAACCCGTTGGACGGAGTGGTAGTTTTTGTCGATTTTTACGTCATTCCGTTTATTAGTAAAATAAAAAAAATCTTCATCCGTTTATTCATCAACACGTTGAGATGGGCCAAATACATCGGCAATTTTCAGAGAGTATTCCATTATAATTGTAGAAATGAGCGCGTAATCACGTTTCTTGTCGCGTTAAACTTAAAGTAGTAGAATAGAATAGAAGTGTCGGCGTTGAAGAAATAGGCCCATGGCCTGTTGCCGATTCTTGATTTTTTCGTGACTTGATTCACAAGGGATCCGGCCTTTGGAACCCGATCTTTCCATAGCTGACGATTGATTGAGATAGCTGCTGGACTTATTGCCTGGTCCGTAATTTGCTAGGCATTTTAAGACTGAACATATGCTCCTGCATAGCGTCGTCTAGTCTGTTTTTGAAGTATTACTATTATTATTATTATTATTATTATTATTATTATTATTATTATTATTATTTGATTAGTAGTTATATTTTTATTATTATACTAAAAGCGCTTTACAGTACGTAACGTCGAAAATCTTGTATTATAATTATGTAACCTTTCAATGCGAGCCGCTTGCTCTGGTTACGCTAGAAATACACAAATATTTATACGAAACGTTGTGTGTTTAGACAATGCCCATGAATATCAGTAAAACTAATGAACGCAGCTCGATGATATTTCGCGCATGCATTCCTTAGTTCTCTGTGTTAATTTGCTGCTGAATAAAAATTATCCTTAGATAAAATAAATTAGTTCTAAATAGTTTATTATTAGAAATAAAGTGCACATCCATTCCATTTTGGCGCATTATTCTAAATAAGATTAGGCCTCTTCAATACAGTTCCTATATTTTAACAGAGGCGTGCTGTCACGAAACGTCGTATCTTGATTCTATATCGAGATAACTAAATATTATTCTTTTAGGTACGCGGTTGACACATGCTCGTGTTCAAATAATATACCGGGGTGCCATCAAAGTAGTAAACGAACCTCTGGCAACTATTTGCCACATCTGCCACACGCCACCCGAATCGGCAAGCAAAGGAATTAGAAGCTGATACCAAACTCGAGTTAGTTGTCCTGTTACTTGCTTAGCTTGCGTGTTTTCAATGTAAAATTATGGAAATAAAGTGACATCTGATCGTTTAGTTTCTTTGGAACCTGAACGGATGTGGCGACTGTCCAGAACATCCAAGTGGTGTTTGATCATAGAAAAGTTGGGGACCACTTGTCCACAGTAAGTGTGATTACTTTGGAAATACAATATATTTATGATGTCACTTTTATATATATTTATGTTTTGAAGAATTATTCATTTGAGGGGTATTTGTATTAAAGAGGTACTTGTATTTAAATTCCTAAATGATACTGCAAACAGAGAATATGACACGTAATCAATCATCTCGTTTCGTTCACGATCGCTGCAACTGAATCGTGACGTCATTTGTGTGTGTGTGTGTGTGTACTCGGGCAACAACATAAACATGTCAGAAAACGGGATCATCACATTCTCATGGGTAAGCTTGTAAGATTCATTAAAGAACATATATTAAGGCAATTTTATTTTCTAAACAGATATTTCGTTTGAGATTTATAACTTGTCTGAGCATGCTGTCCTTAGTCCTCGCACTCAAGGTCGATACAGTAGAAAGTTTATAATTCACGCCGGGTTGTCTCACCACAGCTGCACGTCTCACGATTTGTTGTATTGCTCCTGAGCACATCTCACGAAAATCCCTGTCGTGCTGCAGTCTCTGCTCTGTTGTACCGTAACAGAGCATATGTTTGTGTGACCGGTGCGAGAACTAAAATTAAAAGTTCTTTCGTACCCTTGTTTAAGAGCATTGGCAATAGAATGAAAATAATATAAGCGTTGTGAAGGGCCACAACGACAGCAAAATACGTATACTGTTTCCGCTGCAAGCGATTACGCCCAGGAGAGCTTCAGTTTCTTGTAAGCTCATGGCACTTATGGATAGAAAAGTTCGGGAAATTCTGTTGAATTGTTGTTTTTACATTCAGGTTTCTGGCTACTGTCAACATGGAATCACTATCGCGATTTATTTGGTTGACCGGCAAAATATTTTTTCCAATTAAATGTTCTGCAAACGATTTTCATAATTCCTCCACACGAAACGTACAGATCGTATCTCCCTAACTTAGGCTAGTAAAGTCTGCTTGTTAAAAAGTCTGCAAAGTTAAGAGCTTCTACTTAATATTTTTTCTCAGCAAGTCATTTTTACCATATAACTATGGTCGGGAAAATCCCCATTTTTTTCTTATCGCACGTACCCTGTTTCCGTTGCAGCATTATTTTTTCTTCTAAAATACAGGATGTTTTTCCCTAACAACCACCGGAAGCGTCCTACGGGTGACGGTGGAGACGAAATTTCTGCCGCTGTCCGAGTTACGGAGTAGAGCCCCACTAAGTAACTCGCAGGCGAATTTTCTCACGACTTGTCTCAAGATAGTTCAAGTATCTGGTTAATTTGCTATTTCATCCGTGATTTAGGTGGTGATATACCTGGTCACTATAGTACTGATTCATTTCTAAACAGCGTTTTTATTATTTGGCCTATTATCATTGTTGAAAATGCATACCATTTCATACTGAGCGACTGAGAGTGCCAAGTTGCCAACTGCAAGCAGGACTGCTAGACAGCACCCCACTCACGAAACCTCATAAAACTGTTATCTTTGAAACTGGGAGTTGCACGAATATAAACTAGGATAATTATCTACAGAGCCTACCAATACGTACACATCGTTAGATCGTTTTGTTCAACCCATAACCCAAGCGCAGGAGCCCATACCATCCTTCATTCAACCGATATATAATTGGGCGTATCTCACCCAATAGGACAGTATTTTCCCTAATATGTTTATTATTAATTAGTGATATTATATAGAAAAGGCCAGAAAATTCGATTTAGCGTTCCAGGCTTTACTTAGTTTATCATTCCATATTTTTCCCAGATGCCGTTGGAAAGTACGGATGATAACAACCATAACCCCGAAGAATCAGAATCACGCGGCGACTCAAAGAAGTGTTGCGACTGTTGTCTTTGTTCCTGCGCAGCGTGTGGGGTTTTAACGGAGTGCTTGGCGTGTATGGCAGACCTCTGTGAATTGATTGCCAGCTGTTGTCAGTAAAATTGTTACGTTAAAAAATGTCGATGCATTCCATGCTGACTTTTTGGGGAGTTTTGGTGATTGCGAACATCCCGTTTGTTCTTCTTCAATCAGGTGGGTGCATTAATTGGTTATTTTAAAAGTAATTTATTCCAATACACTTGTCAGGTATTGGACATGAGTCAAATAGATGACAAAACGCCCAATGCAGAATATAAAAATAGAGTGAATTATAGATTTACTCAAATAAAATATAAACTTTGAAACTAAATTTTTGTTGACTTGAAAATTATTTTGCGTAATTAGGTACAGGATTTGAGGATTTAAAATTATTTCTTCTTACCTGAGCATTTGAATCCCATTAAAATTTCAGCTAAACATTGAAGCCAATTAATAAATATGAAATATATGCTTTCATTAAATTCTATTCTATGCGATTCTCTTACAAATTTACCGCACTTTAATCAAGGAACATTTTTTTATTAGCAAGAGACTGCGTCATCAGCGTGCCCCTGAAGAGCCTGAGCCATGAGCCGTTCCTCATGCTCCCTTCAGTGTATTCCTCCGCGAGCTCTTCCATGATGGTCACCAGCTCCACCCCCGAGTGGTTGTACCCTCAGACGCGACGTGGTGGAGATTCAAATCTTATGATTGTCATGAAGAACCGAGAGAGTTTGATCGCAAATTGTATTGGACTCAAAAACGAACTGGTCCTAACGGAAGCCTCGAGCGGAACTCTCAAATGTGATAACGGACAACTGGAGTTGGACGACTGGGTAACTGATAAAATCTACCAATGTCCTAATTTTTTCATTAAAATTTTAATAGGTCAAGCTTCAATGCGATACGTAGAACTTCTTTAAAGCTGTCTTGCAATTAGACCTACTAATATATGCACATCGGGTAGTATAGATGGGGTGAATACTCCTCCTTTTGTGCTACGGCTGGAATAAAAATAATTTAGAAATGTTGTACAGGAGGTGAGTTGGGAGGATTGCTCATGTGGTCGTCGTAGCAAGTCCCACATACGCAGAGGCAGCACTTCTTGCGGCGGAACAGAGTTTCCTCAGGCTAAGATTCATACCATTGGCTGGACGTTGGCCAACGACGTGTTTGTGCCACAGATTTCCGTCTGCTTCGACCCTGTACGGGAAACCACTTTATACACCGTGCACCGCATTATGGGAGAGTATGAATATTCAAAATAACAATGAGTAGAATAAGTAGAGAAAATTGCGATGTTAGAGGTAGTTAAATTGTGTTATCTGTTTTAATATAGTACTTTAAATTACAGACCAAATATAATGAAAATTAATTCATGAAATTGTCTTTATGACTTTGATTCAAGGAATTCTGTACTGAATCTGAAATAAAGTTTGACTTTATTGATGAAAATTTCCCCTTCCTGATATTAACGAAAACGAAATCAGATGTCGATTTCTTTTTGCATAGTACAACCAAATACCACTGGAGAACAACACCGCTGTCAGCTTTAACCGACAGAATTCAGATTAGCTATTCTACACCTTCGATGGAAATTTTATCGCCCAAACGAAGCAAAATGTATTTCTTATAATTACTGCAACGCTTTTATTCAAGGAGGTTAAGTTCAGAGCATTAGCATGTAAATGGCGACTCATTGGTCATTTTTTAAATTACAAGTGCCTTGCTATCCCCTGCAGTTCGTTGTCATCTAAGGTGACAGACAGCAAACGCCCCGACTTCGCAAGCAGCAGCGTGTTCAAGAGCCCAGTCAGCGAACTGTACACGCGGTCGGCACAGCAACAGGTGCGCCGTCCCGGGCCTGTAACCCAATGCATCCTTTTACCCAAGTCGAGCTAAATAATTATACAACTTTATAATCGTACCAAGTGTATAGGTACAGTAGTAACTATGCACTGCGACAACGATAATGGTAAAAAATAAATCTCAAATTGTGGAACGTATTTTAGTAGTAGAGTACAGGGAGGTGAAAATTGTAGCACTGTGGAAACTTTAATTGAGACTTTTTCGTTTAGTTGATATAACTATAAGCTACTATGTCTTAGAAATTCAGGTTTGAGTGTGACCAAAAAGTTCCTCAATGAGGAATCATTGAATTGAATACTGAAAATTATTATTTGAGGACCCAAGTGCAGACAGTAGGACTTCAGTTTTAGTTGTTGATGTCTTGTCAGAGTGGCTCTCAAATTTGCTAAAAAAAATCTTTCCACTCATTCTTCCATGAAATTTTCCCTTGCTTAGTCCATAGAGAACCGTTTCGGAATTCCGGTGTCGTCGGCGAGAGGCTCGCAATTTTTGGCCCGTGGCCACCTGGCTCCGGACGCGGACTTCAGCTTGCTTGCTGAACAGGATGCCACATACTACTTCAGTAACGTGCTACCTCAGTGGCAGGCTGTCAACAACGGGAACTGGAAGGTACGTTCAAACCCTGTATAGGCTCATTCAGGGTCTAGGCACTTTGTTCTTAACCACGGACTTTAAAATATATTATAATGGGAGAACGGAAAACGTTTTACACAATGTTCACAATTTGTACACAATTCACAATTTTCCTATATCGGTCATAAGTTCCCTGATCATGAGTATTCATGTTTTACCACCACGATTAGTAGTTCATTTCGAGACCCTGATGTCTTGATGAGGTCGTATTTTTTTAGTGTGTTCTCCAAGCTCACAGCATTCATTAAAATGTAACAATTGTTGGTCCTCGATTTTTCTTAATAAAATCAAGATCACCGTTCAGTATCACAAACTTACTCATCAGCAACTCGAGGAAGCTGTGCGGTCGCTGGCCTCCTCCAAGAAGGGTCGTCGTCTCGTGGTCTACACAGGAGCTCTTCCCCAGCCTCTCATGCTGAAGGACAAGAAGGGCGTCCTCAGAGAGGTCCTGCTCGACACGAATAATCAGAAAATTCCTGTCCCTGCTGTACTCTGGAAGGTTGGTTTGGTGCTTCCTGCCGGTTGAAGCATGCTATTGTTTGTAGCAACATGGAAGTAAAATTAAGAATAAGAATCAAATTAAAATTGATTTGAATAGAATTTTTAAATATTTAGCAATATTTTGATAAATTTGCCTATAAAATTAAATTCGAGGTCTTATAAAATCCAAGATAACTTTATTACATTATTGCAGGCGGTGTACGATCCTCGTATGAAGAAAGCTACAGTTGTGCTGCAACTCAACAGCGTCAGACGCGATGAATATCAAAACTTGCTCATTTCTGAGCTGTCTGCAGCCGCTGAGAACCATTGCTCTGAGCTGCCTTGGGTGGACTGGAACATCACCGACTACAGCGAAGGCTACACCTTCTGCTGGAGGGCTGAAGACTTCGTGAAGTTGTTGTCGTACGCTCCTGAGGGTGTCGACACGTTCGACCTGCTCACAGCCTAATTGAATCGGCCACTGCACGCCCGTCCGTATTTACCTGGACTTTGAAGTCAGACAAGTCAGTGGAGCTCCGGTTTTATTTCTCTTGATTCAGTGCAACAATTTGCACAAATTGTTTACAAAACTGAATTCTAAACGAGTCTGCATGCGTCAATATAGAATCGTTACCAGTTACTCAATTTTTACATAATTTTTCGTAAATTATATCTCATAGAACTGAATTATCTGAAAATTTCAGAAACTCAGCGTTGCTAAATTTGCATAACACGAGGATGATCTATTTCTCGCGTTTAAATAGTTTTGACATCTTTGAGCTTGAAGCTTTAAGCAATTGCTTCCAGCGTGCCATATGTTTAAACGCTACTTCTGAGCGACGTTATTGTCATATTTAATCGACTACACTACATAATAGCATTAATTGTGGACCATGTCAGATGGAGCTTCACATTTCAGGTACAGTTCTCTGAAACGTTGCTCAATCTTTAACCTCCTCATCGAGTTTTTATTGTTCAACAAAAGTTTATCAATGTAAAATTTATGGAAGCTATTCCTGTAATAATTATTTTTTTAAATAATACGACAATAGAAATTTCTTTCACCCAACTATCAAGTTAATAAAAAATTATGGAAACACGATGCGTCACAGGATATTACATTAATTAATGTTCATCCATGCTTTATACTAAATACTTCTAGGGTTCGAATTTAAGGCTCATCTAATTAATACTTATTTTAACAGAAAAATGTGTTGACCAACATTATTAAATTATATTTTAACTCGATTGTTCTTGCATCCAATATTGTAACCTCAATTATAGTATAAATAATGAGTTTGTATAGTTTAAATTATTATTCGTATTATAATATATCATTCTGCAGTGAATTCATTTACGACAACTATAATCTCGTGGATGGTTGAATAAAAATTGCTCTATACAAACTCAGTTTATTTCGGTGGCCCACATCAGATAAATTCAAAATTACCAAGCAACGAGATTCTTCCGCTCTCGCTCGTGAAGGTAATTATTCAAATAAATGTTACTGAAATTAATCGAATAATTAATATAATGAAGAAAAAATGTAAAACTTAATTGCCAAAGATATTAAAGTTCTACATCTGCGTCTTCAATCGTATCAGGTGAACGGCGTTACACTCGATATTATGAAAACCACGTGTAATTGTTCGGTTTGCTCATGATGGAAAATGGAATTGCTTGCTGACATGTGCAAGAAAATTACCTCGGCCATCATTTCGTCGAATTTTTCTTTACAATTTTCCGTTGTTTTATAAAATGGACTTGCAGTTGAAGTATTTACATTTCGTCGTTCGTCTCCAGCAGAGTTCATATTGCACAAGAGTTAAGGTTTTCGTTACATAATACTTTACACATAATGACTCGCTACTTAGTTGTAGCTGTTATCTCTGCGCTTGTTGAGGTCAGCAAACCGCTGTTCAAAAGCCAGCCTCCTCTTCTCCGCCCTCTCCGCCTCAATGGCCTTCCGCTGCCTGATGGCCTTCAGTTCGTCGGCGGGGTAGTAGCTCTCGCTGAAATAAAATGTAGAATACGAATTTCTCTTCTCAAGTCATTTAATTCTAAGTCTTTAAGTTTGAAAGACAGCTAAGCCAGTTTTTTTCATTCACCAAGTTTCATTCACTGCCCAGTTTTATATTAAACATATTCGAAAATCGTGCATTATATCATACTAATTTTGCATGGCCAGTCGCAAACAAATGGCTTCGTGCTGAAAATAAAAATGTGTCAAAAGTAATTTCCATGAGTTTTTCAACAAGAAAAAATAATTATGAAGACCTCTACGTGTTACTTTGTCATAAAGATAGCAAGAACCTTTACATAAAAATCTAAAAAAAAATACATACCAGCCTCTAACGTTCTCGGGCTCGTCGCAGGCTTGAGCGTCGTGGTTGTAAACGCGTCCGAGGTCGCAGGTCTGGAGACGCGGCGATGTACCGAAGCAGAGGAAGAACTGACGGCAGTCGCGCGACGAGCGGTAGCGGGGGTTGCCCTGACTCAGGAGCTGTTCATACGCCGGCTCAGAAGGGCACGTGAAGCCCAGGTAGTCTGGTGTGGCAGAGTGGGTGGAGGAGTCATCAACGTTCCGGTCTCACAACTTAAAGAATCAGTTTGATTTCTAGCGAATGTTTACGAGTTCAAAGGTTCAAAAAATATTATTGCTGATAGCTGAAAGCCCAGTATTTCATATGAAAGAATTTTTTAGTATAACATGAAGAGAGTTTTAGTTTTCCTATACAGTGAGAGTATCCTAATCCATGTTTATGCGCATGATGCATGTTTTTCCACGCGCAAATTTTTTTCCAAAACCTATTGCCCAAAACAGTACGCTACCTCCAGCGTCGCAGTCCGGAGACTCGTCAGGATACTCGCAGCGGTAGGTAACAGAAGAGAAGGCGAGGCCCTCGGGACACTCGAAGCGGAACTCGCGACCGTCGACGCAGTTGAAGAAGTAGCCGCACTCGGAGCGTCGGCCTGACCCGAAATAGCCCCACTGGTGACCGCAGTGCTCCGTCGGCTGGGCAGGCTCTGGGGACCGGCAAAATGTGTGCTATAGCAATGAGAAAGAGGTACGTTCAAAAGAGGGTTTTTTGAAAAGAAGTGTTTGTTCAAAGTGGTTCTACTGGGATAACCTCGTTGATATACTGGGATGCCTCGGTGGCCTCTATAATATGTGCTTAGTATATAGGTTGCATCGCACTGATGAAATACGTTCTAAAACGATCAAAAATACTCGTAGGGCAATGGAAACTTGTCTTGAAAACGATACTTTACGACTCATGGGTCTGGTACAGCTGCTCTAAAAATATTGCACCAGCAATGCAAAGGAAATTTAATTGTGCTGCACTTATATAAGTGAACGAAGTTCTCATACGGTCTGCCGGAATACATGTGCCGAAAATCCCAAAGCGCAGAAATTTGGCAGAACACACAATTTGATGACATTTTTACCAAGAAGCGTGATTCCAAATGTATTAAGGGTTAGAAAGGACTAAGTGATATATACGTAGGACAGATCGAGTGCTCAACTTACGTTTCTTTGTTCGAGATCCACAGTTGACCTCAGAAGGGTAAGTGCAGGGGTAACGTCCATCAGTTATGGTGTCATCGAAGAGCAGGCCGTCGGGACACTGTTGCTCTGACGCGACGCCCTCGCGGCACTCCGAGTACCGGTCGCAGAACTGCGAGTCTGCGTAGTAGTGCACGTCTTCGGGCGGACAACTCTGCGCCAACACTGCAACGCAAAACAGGACTTATTTTTAAAACTGAAGTCTATTTGAGATGGACAATTAACATTCGTGTAATATGCAAGAGTAATTGAAATTTAATTGACTTGAAATCATGTCATTTATTGGAAGGCAGTGATAAAATTAGTTTAAGACAGAAAGCAATTACTAAACAAAATAAAACGTGCATCATTGCATCTAAAAATGACGCTCAAGTTACTAAGACGCCCGCAGAATGTTCTATCCAAAATCGCATCTCATTCAGCAATCCGACGGAATTTAGCTAAACGCAAACTCTTCACAGCAACAGCTTTAATGCATTGTCACCATGGAATTATCTGCATAGGTTCAACATGAGTGCATGACCTCCTGATATTTGGGTAAATCTAAGGTCGCTCAGTGGGCGGATGGGGCTGCCAATGCAATAAAAAGTTGACGTTTTCGGTTAAGTCAATAGTCTGGAGCACTACTGTGTGCTAAACAACCACTACTCAATGCTGAAAAATTTGGCAAACGGCGTGATGAAGACCATGGGTAGATGATAACAGGCCTTTTTAATACACCTTCAAGACTGTTATTATTATTTGCAGTTTATTTGTCTTATTAATTTATCACAACAAGCTAGTAGTTGGTGCAGAAGAGAGAAACCCAAACAGTAGTATTTAATTAATAAATCATGCAGTTTGTCCAAAGAGTTTTCATTAAAGGTCATGTCATATATGGTTTTAATTAAAGGTTCGAAGCAAAGCTTGATGACCTTTGAAGAGTCAGGTCAACGTCAATAATTAGAGCTTAATGACATACCTAACCCAGACATCATGACTGAGTTGTGGACGCCATATGTTTTGAAAGTTTACTCCTTTACTAATACAATTTTGTATTTTTTTAGGATTGAGCATTGTTCATTTTATTGTTATAAGCTACGGCCAAAGATTCACCATTTGACTAAAAGAAGAATAAAAGTATGCTATCCTGAATAGTTTGCGATCTCATTTAGTGTTCCACTTTAGATATCCGAGAATTTACACATTTCGTTCATTTCGGTAGCTTTTCACTGAAAAAATATAAGCAGGGAGAATGTACTTTTTATTTATATCTACCAAGATGCTTGAAATAAAATAATTTGATCTCATAACATGTTCAAAACAAATAAGTCCATCGCTTTGTACAATGGTAAGGTCAGCAAGTGCTCTAGGTCAACCCTCAACCAGAAGAGGCGGCCATTCAAGCAGTTATCAACAGATCACGAAGATTTCGTCTTAACCCTCTACCGCCGTATGTCACTCTCCGGGTACCTAACTTTCAACTTAAATTATACGTATACTATTGAGTGTAGCAACCTGAGGACGTTTGTACGCAACAGAGAACATTTTAAAGTTGTCATACGTGGCGGCAACCATCAGTGCAAGTCATTTTGCGCTCACTAGAACGTATCCTTTTTAGAAAGTAGGCTTGTGACAATATTGCACTGGTTACTCATGTCAGGCGGTAGAGGGTTAATGAGGTTGATTTAAATTAAAGCATTATATATGTGAATTATATAACGTGGGATTGTACGTGCTTCAACTATTTCTATATTTTGTTTTAATTTGAATCATATTCTTCTTATAGCACATACTTGTTTCCCCGAAGACCACTAATGTTCTTTTGCTAAGATAATAATCATGCACGAAGAAGTCACTCAAGAACGCCTGCGGTTTTAATTGAGGGCAAGACACATTGCGTTAACGACGTACAGGTCACATGATCCTACACGCAAAAAATAGACACTTTGTCCTAGTAGCGATGCACTTCTTGCCCATGTGTGGGTCTTCCTGGCCTCGTTTTGCAAGGCAAAAGGACGTATCAGTGCTACATGCAGAAAATGAGTCACTATTTGGATAATATAACCCATTCATTTCCCTAAATGTATTGTTAAAATGCGATCGGATTGCAAAAAAAGTCAAGGGATCGTGACGCTTGAGCCCTGATAACTTTCCTATGTGGATATTAACACGTTAAGTGCGGCACCACCCACCACGGTTGCCTAAAAACGACCAAGTCCGCGGACAAAAAAAGACCCATTATTCAATAATTACTATTAAATTTGTAAGTTCCGATGTAAAAATTACATTTTTATTTTTTCGCACTTTTTTAAAATTCAATAAAATGTGGGCCATCATAGTTTTTTCCAGCCAATGCAATTAAAAAAAGACTAAGTAGCCGAATTTGTTCAGAAAAAAACTGACCTGCAACCCGCCGGTGGGTCGTGGCGCTCGTGACGTGTTAACAGAGCAAGATCTAGTGTCTCGACTCTCGAGTTTCTACATGGAAAACAATATGCAGTAGCATTGAATCGAATCCTGTCGCGCGGGAAGCTTGGTTCAACTTTACAGTTTATGACGTGACATCTTATACAGGTAAACTAAAAAATTTCTGTGAAGTGGCAATGTATTTTTTGCAATGGAAAGTAAGGAAATGGAAACGCCCTAAAGTTCATCAGTGAAAGTTACCCTTGGATTCTAGGCTACCCTTTTCATCGTTGCCCGGCTTATCAATTTAAGTCAAAACTAAGAAATTAAACTGCATCTTCCTCCACTGGCTTACATGAAGAAAAATAGGAAGAGCATCCAGTTTTCTACCAATCTTTGTTGTAATTCGATTGTTTGCTGTGACTTAATCTTGAAAATTTTCAATAAAACAATTATTTACTATTGTTGCAACTTCCCATCCAGAATGTTATAGGGCCCAGTTAAAAAAAAAATTCTGCAATAAAAAAAAGTCTAAAAGAACAAACGCTGATACCTAGGCATTATTTGTCAAATATTCAATTTTTTAAATCTCCAGAATCTTAATACAGGTTAAGCAAGGTATCTAAATAGTGACACACTCTCTTGCCCACAGCACGTAACAGACACCAGTCGTAACCTTGATACACCCTTGTCAGGGCCAAACTGGGTCAGGATGACCCACGTGAAGGTAAAAAGTGCATTGTTTTATAGAACAAATCCTCACTCATTTCTCTAATTGAGGCCTAGAGCGGCTGTGTGACAGGCGAGGTGTGGCCGACTGACGCTGGCCCTGACCCCACGTAGGCCGCTGGTCGGACGTACAGCCATGATTGTTGAAAAATAGCGTCTTCGGTATACTTTATTTCTTGAAGAATATCTTCACGAATATATCGTCTGAATATACTCATTCAATAGGCTTAATTTCTTACTGAATGCCTCCATGACTTATATCGCCTAAGTATACTCAAACAATAAGCTTATTTTTTAACTGAATGCCTCCATGAATTATATCGCCTGAACATTCGCATTAATAAGCTATCATTTTTACTGAACGTCGTACAAATTAAATCGCCTGAATAAACTCATTCAATAAGTTTATAATTTTACTGGATGTCATCCTGAATTATATCGCCTGAACATACTCTTTAAATAAGGTTTTATTTTCGAATAATGCCAGCATTTATTATCTCGCCTGAACTAACTCATGTCTTGGGCACATTGCAGTCATTTATCGCGTATCCCTGGCAAGTGTGCCAGCTCTTTTACTTTGGTTTTACTTCGAATGTAACTTATGTACGTAGCAATTGTGTTATGGATTGTTATTCGCCGCTATCATAATAATTTTGTGACTGATCTCATGCCAATGAAAGACAGATAAATCTTAAATAACAAAATAAATTCTATCATATTGCCGAATTTTAACTTCAATTTAAACCAACACTGAGGAATTGAGTTTCGAAATACGCAAAAACAGAAACTACTATTCTGCAAAAGGAAGCATTACGTATCACAGGCATTCGCAGGACTCAGGTATACGCAGATGAAGCATAGGTCGTCATTGCGTGCTGACACAACAGCTTTCGCTCTCAGGACAGTCGCGACGCTTTCCTTTGATGCCGTAGCCATGCTACGGACGCAGCGTTGTGCCATGAGAACGCAATTGTGGCCTGCTCGCAATTCTGGCATGCACGAGTTGATATAAAAGGATATTATCCTTTGAGCATCCATCCCCTATCTTCAGCACCCAGTGAAAAAAGTTTGTTTCGTTGCTTGTGTTTGCGGCACAAATTGAGAAATGTTTTTATACGTTACGTTACAATTATTTTGGAGATAATACAGAAAAATGTAGATACAATAGATTATTAAATCAAAAGTATACGCCTAATTGGTCAAAATATTTTGAATGATACGTTTGACTATGGAGGATGTTAATTATTTAGCTTAATAATTCCACTCGACGTACTTTGTTCGGTCTCTCCTGACAACTCAGTTGCCAGCAAGAGAATTAACCATGCTTTATTCAGCTTCAAGGACACCTGCTAAATGTTACCACGTTATACCCCTAATTCCATAAATAATTACAAGTAACCACCAAGCTGGCGCATCTGCCGTTCAGTTCTGGTCACGGAATGTCGAGGTAATCTAGCGGGTTTACCAGACGGCCTCGCGGTCACAAACTTGATCGCCTGGAGCGGCGGGAGGCGGGCCGCTTAACCCTAACAGCCAGCGGGACTCCGGTGGTAATCTCTAATTATATCAAATCTTGGAATATTGCCTGGTTTGAGCTATAAAATTCTTAGCGGAAACTATGAAATTTTGAGCTATCGCTATAAGACTAATAGCTATAACAATTAAATTTCAAGCTAAAATAATAAAATTCATAAAATGTACAATAATAATCTGTTTTAAGTTCATCGATAGCTAGGACTCACTCTCGTCAATATTGAATCCCTGCATTTTGAATGCTGAATTTGATCGATATTAATTTTAGCGACATGGTCATTTATATTAATTATTGCATGGTTCACGAAACTCTTAGCAAGCAATTATTATAAATATCAGGAAAACAATTAACAACCGTCACCTGAATATTCCTTTTTCCAGTTAAATCAACAAAGTAATCTAAACAAACAGGGCGTATGATCTGCAGGAAGCTTTCACGTGGGGTTCGCCCTTGAAGAATTAAGGTAGTGGGCGACCTCCAAACCCGGGGGTCTCATGGCTGGTCGGTCAGCCTGCGCCGGGCCTTTTCATACATTTTATGTTATTTTTAATTTATGTTTTCATGATTGTTCATGTATCATTCTCTGGTCTGCAGCATTTAAAAGTTCAAGTAAAATTGATAATGCATTGATCGAATAAGTATCTCTATAATTATCAGAAATGCTATTATAAGAGTAATTAACGCTAATTTCCAATTTGAAAAAGATCGTTGCTAAGTTATATGATTAAATACTGTGGGATTGTACGTTTAAATATCGCATCGTTAGATGAAGCATTTTTTACAACTCATCAAGTTCTAGCAAAAAGTCGCTTAAAATGCTCGTCGAGAGCAAATGACCTCAAACATAAATGCAGTCACAATCGATTAGTGAATAGTGATTGATTAGTTATATCTTGCTGGACGATCAGACTCATTGAGCTTGCAATCTAATGGCCAACAAACCATCTAGCAGAATCTCCTCATTGGTGATAAATAAGGAATTAGAATGAAAATTGTGTTTTTACTGCTTTATATACACGTCTATTTTTATTACTGTTACTGATCTTTAGCTATAAATAGAATCCCGCAGAAAATTTATTCCCAGTAAATGACAATATTATGATGTATCAATTCGTTGTTGACTAAGTAAGAAAAAGCCTTAAAAATCCATTGATTTTGATCCTATTATAGGACAACCTAAACGCCTAATGTTATCAATTCTGAACCTATTATAGGTCAACCTAAACGCCTAATGTTATCAATTCTGAACCTATTATAGGTCAACCTAAACGCCTAATGTTATCAATTTTGAAGTAGTGCGCCATACATCAGAGCGTCTCAGTCGTCTTGCCTTTCACTTCAAGCCTCGCTGATCCCGCGCCTTGCGTCAGGCTTTGGCATATCAGGCGCTCCTTGTTTATGTACGAGGTTAAAAGATCTTGTGAATATAAATTTCATCAAGATTATGGGGCTAAAAAAGTTATTTATTCGGATTGGAAAAAAATTACAATCAAATTGGATGATGGGCGAACAAAAATTAATTTAAAAGCAAGTGTTGGAAATTTTTCAATAAAAATCATTATATCATTCGCAGTAGTAAGGGTATCGTTGAACTACGTTCGATGAATGAACAAAAGATGAATGCTCGGTAACATTCGAGTGACTCGCGAGGTCGACTTGTGATTTCTCCGCAAATCTACGGCACACGAATGCTACTTTGCCTTGTTTTTTAGCGTAGTTATCATAACCATCATATCTCGTTATATGTGTTTTATTAAGTACTCCAAAATAATTACAATAAATCTGTTTTGAAACTGAATTCAAAACGAATTTCAGAAATTAAATCAACTGCATTATTTGACAGTCTAAACTCATTCATAATTTTGGCGCTGCCGAAAAACATATAAAAATCGCAAATAAATTAAAGTTTAAAAATCCATGCAAACAATTTTAAATTATAAGTTTACAATTTTTATTATTAGAATGCGGTACTTTACTCACCCATTGGTGCGAAAACAAAGAGCAAGAAGACGATGTTGTTCATTTTAAAATGTCACTAGACTCAGTATTATTCCAATCACCAACAAGAATAAGCTCAGTGTTTGTGGTAACGTGAACACGCGGTGCTTCCTCGACGATGTTCGGCGCTGGACTGACGAGAGTGAGCACCGCAGAGCGGGTCGCCCACAAGCGACTGGCCAATCAGAGGACCGCTTTGCCGTCAGTCGAGGGTCACGTGCCGCAAATGGCATGACCTCGTCAACATGCTGCAAGTGGCATGACCTCGTCAACATGCCGCAAATGGCATGACCTCGTCAACATGCTGCAAGTGGCATGACCTCGTCAACATGCTGCAAATGGCATGACCTCACCAACATATCGCAAGCAGACCACTGTGGGAAAAAATTCGATGGTTGCCTCTATCATTCATTTATTTTTTTCGAGTTTGCGAACCAGCAGTGACCAATGGGCGCCTGATATCTTAATATATGAATTATCTGTCGTCGATGCAATGTACGAACGGCCTATTGAGACCTTGTACTTTTAAAGTCCCCGTGAGCAGACAAGAAATTATATGCAATAATAAAGGCATTGAAAGGTTCACATCGAGGGTATCTTTATTGAATGCCTCATGACACGGATTTTTAAACTAGAAAAACTGCGATCACTGCTGCACATGCGAACACTGATGAGTACTACAGCAAACATGAGCATGATTGACTTATTGAATATTGTAACTTTAATCTCAGTTTAAAACTGTATAAAATCTATGGTTAATAGTATATACAGAACTGATTTCTGAAGAAGGTAATCGTTTCGACAGTTTTACATGTATTGTTAGTGTTTAAATCCCATAATAAACCATTTTAATCTTCAAAAAATAAAGGTAATGCCTAGATAATATGTTGTTTTTGTATCATAATTTATATACAATACTGGAGACATTCAACAATTATCTTTTCAAGTACTAATTTTTACAAATATTTTGTTTTAAAATTTGCAGAAATTCTTAGTATATCTCCTACATACTTGTATACGTTACCTAATTGTTCGTTCTCCGATTAACTATCAGAATTTTTCATCATATATATGAACGCATGATATTCTTCGACTAAAAAGTTCGAAATAACATGTGTCTCTGCATTGTGTTTGTTGAAACACTCGTTGCTTTCAAAACGAATTACTTTTTCCAGATTCTGAGATCGTTATTGTGTTTTCCTGTTTTATTATTAGGTATATACTTAGATAATAAAAGAATATTTCATTTGCCAAAACGCTTCTTGCTTTCTGGTGTTAAATAACGCGAAATACGTCTTCAGAGAATGAAATCCTAACCTACCTTCCTGATGGTGACCGAAACACTAAGCCATAAGTGACACAATCGGCGTCTATCAGAGGAGCACAAGATAAGTTACCTCGTCTAGATGTATAGGTGTTCATGTAGTCTCGTATCCACCGTCGTACGATACGTTTGTGTGTTACGTGTCGCAAGTCTTACGATGACCTTTTTTGTAGCGATCTCGTGCTTAGAAATTTAAATTTACTTACCATACACTTTATTAACAAATGTGTGGACTTGATTTAATGCGATTATATTTCACATTAGTTTGTTGTATTTAGAAAGTTGATAAAGGATACAAACTGATAACTTGATAAGCCTTCAGGATCTGCCGATCAAGAGATTCAATTTATACTGCAAACATGTACTGTCCGATACGTGTACCGCATGCAGGCATTATATGCTGGACTATTTATCGTTGATACAGACTATAGTTATCTGTGTTTCATTTAAAATTGATTTTAGAATCAAGAAAATAATTAATTCTGTTTTCCCCTATAACAAACCATTTTAAACTTTAAAAACTCCCAAACCAATTTTAAACTTTTTACAAATTTCGAAACTTGAATAGTTCTTATTAATTTAAGAATGCTGAAGAACGTGAACACAATTAATGCACATTATAATTTTTATTGATAACGTCTTAAACTTCATTAATTGTAAAAGTTTAATGTTCACGTTGAACTGCTTGTTTCTTTGAGGGTTATTTTCACTTAACGATATTTGCACCATTTTCAGAATGACTGATTTAATGTGGATTTAGATTTCTTCTTTTTTTCAAATAAGCTTCCACAAATATATTCATTGTTTTATTATAATCCTAGACGCACTGTAATTTTCAAGGCTAAATTTGACTCAAGAGTCAAGTAGCATTACTCACAAATTCGTCATTTTCAACGTCTATCTCTAACTCTCTCGTCATTATTGATATTGTGAATTTTTCACGATGAGTTTAATAGTTATTTATTTTAATGCATCGGGAATCTTCATTTCAATTCGAGCACATTTTACAGATCTACTGTCCTTTAACAGTTTTATTATCAATGCTAATCACTTGAGCAACGTCTTGTAAAACAGTATATGAAGAACCTGCATCCACTATCTCAAGCACGAGATAAGGACTGATAAAGCATCGCCGGCGCTTGCATGTAATATGCAATCTGCTTGAACCTCTATGCTAGTTTCCATCGTAGTTATTAGTACTTTACATCATAGTAGTGCTCATAGTAATTATTTGCAGTCAAAACAGAATTATCGGTGTTATTTTCTGTATATTGTTTCTCAGGCAGCATCGATGAAGAGTGGATAAAAGCTATACGTGTATTAAACTAACGAATTCAGAACTCCCCGCTCTGTGTCACCAACGAAAACCAACATATATAAGGTCTCGCCGTAGTGTGGTTTGTTCACATCAAATTCCCATCAAGCTTTTGACTTTCAAACATCTGGACTAACAATATGTGTTCATATTGATTCGTGCAATCATTCGTTATTCAACGAGGAAAATTGACAATCGTTTGTTTGATTGCATTTGAATGTGAAAAACGGTCACAATTGAGGAGATGGGATATTTAGTTGTAGAATGAAAGCTATCGCTATCGCTATGACACGTTTCGCAATATTTTTCTTGAATGAATTTTTAAAAATGGCAATATGGTTTGGAAGTTATATAAATTTTCTTATTCTGAGTGCCGCAATGCTTCAAGTCTTTACATAGAAATATCATGAAATTTTCAGTATTGTATTGAAACAAAACTGGTGTGGAAAGTAAAATTAATGTTCTCATAAAATGAATGCGCTCGACATCCTGCACAACGCGCCGTCAACCGTCAACCGCACCGCATTCACGATCAAAATAATAGTCTATAGAATACGCAGTCGGTACCATATAGTCTATAGAATACGCAGTCGGTACCATATAGTCTATAGAATACGCAGTCGGTAGCGTGTGGCCCGAACCAAGATCTCGTAAAATTGCATAAAATACGGATTCATCAGGATATGCGATTCATCATGATTTATATTCAATTTATCATGATTCATATGTGATTCATCATGATGAATAGCATATGCGCAAATTATTAGGGAGCAATTAGTGTAACCATTTCATAATTTAAAGTTTTCGAAGCCTGAGTCCCCATTTTTTTGCTTTGTTCTATACAAAAAGTGTCAAGCCTATTTGAAAAGGTATTTTTTTGTCGTTAAAAGTGGAACAATTAAGTGGCTGTACTGCATTTATTTTTAGTACTTTAAAGCTACTCTATACTTGTGCTCTGTACCTACGACGGAAGTAAACTAGTGCCTCCTTATGATAAATGTATAACTAAGTGCTGTAAATATGTCATATTTTCATGTATACCTCGGTCATCGGAAATGATGCGTTCATTTCTACTCAGTAAATAAACTATAAAATAAAGAACAGAATTTGCTGACTTCACTTAATTCTTATCTAGCACTGACAAGTCCAATATCATTTGAAACACTCTGAGAAATTAATGACATTTTGTCCAAATATCAAAGCAATTTTTACTATTGTGTGATTCATTCTAACCCTCTTTGGCCCGGTATAACAGCGTATCAATGCTACGTGCTGAAAATGTGTCACTATTTAAACAATGTAACCTATTCATTTGCCTGAGTGAACATTTCAATGCGATTAAATTTGTCATTCATATTTCTTGTTATTTGATGAGATGAGTGATGAGTAAAGCCTTTAATACAGCCGATGTGGTGGCATCACAAAAATGTCTGCCGCAACTACATATCTTTTGCCTGATCATAATCGAACCAGGCTTATCAGATCAATCAATCAGTACATGATTGATTTATGAAAAATTATTTATTATTCTCTGTGGAAGCAGCCTTGATTAAAAAGATTTCTAACGTAATTAGGACTGCAATAAAAGCGAGAAATTCCCTCATTTAGCTTCGTTTTATTGTAGTAATATTCATTTTTGGTAATATAAATGTATTAAATAGATGGGTATTTTCCATTACTGAATCATTTATTTTCCAGAATTGAATTAAACTTAAACAATGTTTTCACTTTTTGACGACCTCAAGAAGCAAATCAGCTTCAAGTAAGTAAACTTCATCAACTATAGCTCGATAAATGGACTAATTTTCTTTGTGATCGGCTAACAGAACTTACACCCGCTATTATTCTTGGTTAATATTACTTATTAATCATAGAACATCGTTCACTGAAATAATTCTCGCCGTGATATCACTGAATAATATGAGAAAGAATATGATCGAATTCTCTCGATCACTGTAATAATCTGCTTGTCTATATTTGCTTCTGTAAGCTCTCTGGGACAGTGCTTAACGTCCGTTAATCATATTCATGGATAATAATTAAGTCTTTTTATATGTACGCATTAATCATTAATATACGCAGTCGGCGAGCATGGATAATAAATTTCTATTCATCTCTATTAATCTTAATCTGTCTTAATCAATTCCAGGCATGAGCATCCAACGGTAGATTCCACGGTATTCACGAGCATGAAGCTGTCGATGGTGGGCACGTTGCTGGCCTGCATCCTAGTCACTGCCAAGACCTACATCGGCGAGAACATCAACTGCGTGACTGGCTTCAAAGCCCAGGAACATAAAGCCATCGAGACTTACTGCTTCATCTCTTCCACGTTCTCTTTAGTCAATGTGTCCGAGGCGGTGAGATCTCCAGACATTAGATGATATAAATTACATTATGCCTGTGGGGGCGAAAACCATCTTTGTTGTTAAATCAATATCTCTTGAAACTTTTCTTCTAACGCTTTACTTTCAATTTTTGAGTAAATATTCTGTTTATAACAGCGAAAACAGGCCAATAAACTGACGATAGCAGTAGTGTACTAACAAAACTCAATAGTTTTATTTGGCAGATGATCTTCAATAATTTCAGCTGTTACCAACTTCTGTGTTTAAGGCGGGGCAATAAACTGGCCTCCTTATTCGTGCAGGAAGTCTTAGATACAGGGACTTGTTCCATCGTAAGAGTTGTCTTTTATAGGAACATCTGTCTATGTCTTGTCCTGGAACAGCTATTGGAAAACTGACTATGTCTTATCCAAGTACAGCTATTCGAACAACTGTCTATGCTTTCACTAGAACAGCTATTGAAACAGCTCTTTATGTCTTATTCAGGAACAGCTATTGGAACAACTGTCTGTTTTCACTAGAACAGCTGTCGGAACAACGATCATGTTGTAACAGTGGCAGTTTCCCCCACCAGGACGCCCCCTACCCCGGCCTGGGCCCCGTTCCCAGCTCCGGGGAAGAGGACCCCCTCAAGCGCCACGCCTACTACCAGTGGATCCCCCTGGCGTTGGCCATCCAGACCGCCGCCCTCTACTTCCCGCGCTGGCTCTGGAAAACCGTCATCGACAGAAAAAAATTCAAAAATATCCTTGGAGATCTGGATTCTCTTCACCTCAAGAATGAAGGAGGCAACGAGGAGGTAGATCCCAAGGCTAATTTTCATTAATTAACGTGCGTAGTAAATTTTGACGTTAGCTTCGTGTTATTTTTTTCTTGTTTTGTTTTTATATATGTATTTCTCTTACAGTTTTAATTATCTCTGTAATAATAAATTTTGATATGAGACTTTTAATGTCATTTCCGTGTGCTGGCAAAGGAAAAAAGCTCAGCAGAAGCGAAGCCGATGTCGTGGCAAAGTGACACGGATGACATCAAGGAATACGGAAAACCTAAGAAAACGCTGCTTAATTTACCTGAAGAGGTTGGTTGGTATTATATATATACCGGCTTCAGCATTTATTCACCGTAGGCCTTTCGCCGATTCTTAACTTCGGAGAACATTCACAGCTTGTAGCGATCTCGAACGAGCAACTCACTGCTCTAATTTTGCTTTGCTTTAACCGCCCGGCTTCCTCGCTGATTCTGACCAGAAACTGGCGCGCAGAGCTGGGATCAAACCCGCGCATCTCTGATCCAATCTTGGTATTCTGAACTGTAACCACTGGGCCACCCTGCCCTTATTGTGATGACTTCCAACAATCTATACTTCACCTGCGATTGACATGCTGCCTTTCGGCTTTACCTGCGATTGACATCGAAAGATTTATCATTATTGCATTTATTATATGAAAACATGATATTTATTTTGTTTATCTATGATTTGCAGTTGTTAGAGAAGTCGGTGCATTACGCCGTGGAGTCGCTGGGCACACACACGGCGTACGCGGCGCGGTTCTTCATGTGCGAGGTCATTGCACTCGTCATCTCCATAGGTCAGCTAACAGATTAATGATTATATGACCATAGGTCAGCTAACAGATTAATGGTTGTTTGAGTATAGGTCAGCTAACAGATTAATGATTGTTTGAGCATAGGTCAGCTAACAGATTAATGATTGTTTGAGCATAGGTCAGCTAACAGATTAATGATTGTTTGAGCATAGGTCAGCTAACAGATTAATGATTTTTTGAGCATAGGTCAGCTAACAGATTAATGATTGTTTGAGCATAGGTCAGCTAACAGATTGATGATTATTTAACCATAGTTTAACTAAATGATAAATGATTATATGACTATAGGTCAGCTAACAGATTAATGATTATTTGTCCATAGGTTAGCAAACGGATAAATGATTAGTATTTGACCATAGATCAGCTAACAGATTCATTATTATTCGAACATAGGTCATCTAACAGATTAATGAACATTTGACAATAGATCAACTGACAGATACATGATCATTCTGCAACAAATGACTCATGAAAATGATTCATCATACTGATCAAGCCTGCGTGTCACAATATTTATGCAGAGTTCGGTCGGCGTGGAGTTTCAGTTTGGCGCCATTGAGCGGGTTGCATTTTAGTTGTTATTTGTTCAATCTAGTTTCCTTTGTTTCTCCTGTTGTATGAAGTATTCAAAGTATTACTTTTAATTACACTTTTAAAAAATAGACGACCTCGTATGCATGCAGAACAATTTAAAACATTCCAGTAAATATAATTGCTACCTGATCCACAGGCAACCTGTTCGTGACGAACGCGTTGCTTGGTGGGGACTTCTTCGAGTTCGGCAACACTGCTATCTCTTACCTCTTCGGGGACGTGACCGACCTCACTAACCCACTTAACGTGGTCTTCCCCAAGGTAGGATGAACCTTGCAGGTCGAAAATGTGTCATAAAGGTGATAAATTAGAAAAAATGCAAAAATTTCATTGTGGCCTCACATATGAACCAGATTTGTTCCAAATTATCCTGTTCAATTGTCTCGACATTTACTGATTAATTTGAATTATTGGTCGTTTGAAGGTCATTATGGTCCAATAACTGAATACTTTTGGAATAAGATTCACGCACTTGGTAATATAAGTGTAGTTTTTTGTCACCACGACTTCTAGCCTCGAAAATGATTGCTTAAAGTTATATTTTAGCTAATTTTTAGATATTAAGCGTCGTCTATCAAATCCGTGCTGTCTTCCAAAGATCACTAAATGCACCTGGAGCAAATTCGGCCCAACTGGCAGCATTCAGAGCTTCGACGCGCTGTGCGTGTTGCCCCTGAACATCGTCAACGAGAAGACGTACGTGATGCTCTGGCTCGTCTACATCGTCTCCACGACCATCGCCGCCGCCGCTGTCCTCTGGCATTTCTTGCTCATCTTGTCGTGAGTTCATAAGCTTGATCTTTAATCTTAATAATTAATACAACTTTATTAATTATTAATACTAACTTAATGCTAATACTAATTAATACTTATACTATACTAAATACTAATACTAATTAATACTTATTAATACTAACTAATTAATTAATAATAATTAATAAAACTTTATTATGTTAATAAATAATTCAGATATATGTACTCTCGCTAAACGAACCAGCTAATTTACAAAACTGTTCTTTCAATTTGGAGAATATTTGTGGATTTTTCTGGCTGAGTAAATATTTCGTTGTGGAACAGGAGTGGCTTGCGCCACAACTACTTGGTCCTGCGCCTGAAAGACGACGAAACGAAGGAGGTCTACAGTTCGATGAAGAAAAAGCTGAATTATGGCGACTGGTTCCTTATTAAGCATCTTAGTACAAAGATGATGCCCACCTACTTCGAAGCCTGGCTTGAAATGGTCGATAGAGAGATCAAAAAGTAAACATATGGAACATAATGCTAAACTGTTTCCGATTAGCTAATGAATCGTAATTTCTTAATTTATGAATATAGACAGATATATTCCAACCTCGTGTAAGGTTATACTTCTATCATTTAGTAAGAATCACTCAAACTTCAATTTAAAGAAAGTTTGTAACATGAGTTAGTCGCCATTCAACGGGTGTGAATTTTTATCTTTTATATCAAAACACAATTCAGCATATCGAATTGTTCAATGTTGTTTAAATGATTCATCAAACATACGAGTGACAAGGAAACAAAAAATTTTATTACTTCCAACGTACGCTATCAGTAACAAGTAAATTTTTCGTACATTTTATATAATTATTAGATATTTTTACGGCGTTCAGACCAAAGTTCACTAGTCGGAAATTAAGCTGTCATATTTTTCAACGGTTACTTACACATTTTAATTAGAAATTATGCCCGTTAGTATTCAAAATAGGATTAAATATACTAAAAGCATTTTTTGAAAAGTTTTGTCCATAATTTTTAGAGAAAAAACCTATAGGCTGCAGTAATTACACATATTCATGTAAATAATATAGATTAAAATGCAATGACTAATGAACTTTCCTCGCAAGATGTTTTGAACAAGTGCAATAACGTCAACCAAATTTATAGACAAATGGGATAATTAATGCTGTAAGAATTGCGTAGTTATTTGTTACGCTATGTAAGTTCAAATGATTGGTACTAATTTTTGTTCCAATAAAGTGACAATATATAACTCACAATTTTAGTTGAAGCTGCAATTTTAGTTGAAGAGGGCATGTAAAGTAAAACTTGATCGCAGTTGGATTCAAGGCATTACACTTTGTATTTTTAATAAGTATGTTCGAGTGTTCAATAAGAGAGATTTAATTAATAAATATCCTGGTCTCTCATTTGTTGCTCTTGTGTATCCTTACTTCTATGTAAGTACTTATATTACCAGTCTGCTTATATCACAAGTTCACAAGGAATTTAATAGCAAAGAAAACACCAAGCAAATTTACCATATCGATATTGAAAACGTTTCGGAGTCCAGCTCCATCATCAGTTAGAAAAATTAAAAATAAATAAAATCATATTATATCAAAATCCCATGACAGACATAAAACCTAATCAAGACCTAACAGTATATAAAAAAACAGGACTCGATTGGAACAACTTAGTCCTAGGGTTCACGAAAAGAATATAAAAGCCTAGCGATTCACTATTTCCAGATTATATGAACTAAACGCATTATTGAGACACGGTTTTCGTTTGAAGATATGTAGAGACTCCAATATTCTCAAATCCGAGCAGCCAAAAGTGAAACCGAGTATCCTGAAATCACTCTCAGATACAGCCACGTCGCACTGTTCAGCATGGAGGCGTACTGAAGAATGAGGAGGTCTGGAGAGAGGCAAGTTAGAACGATAGCTCCTGCCACGGTGTTCGGAAACCCGGATGTAAAGTTACGCGACGTCATTCCAACGTACGCAGATGCACAGCGTGCACAACTAAACTCATAGACCAGGTTTAATCGCATCCGAGCAGGAATAACGTCCTTATACCTGAAGAAAGAACCAATTTTGAAATTATTTACCAGTAAAACATGCAAATTTATATTCGGGAAATATTTCATGAACAATATCTTTAGTTCTCTAGACATAGTTTCAGACGCACTACCAAAATAAGGCAATGTGCAATAAATAGTTTTCTTACTATCACAATCAGTCACAGTTTCATAAAATTTGTTAGATAAGAAGCGTTTGATTTTACTAAATACAAGGCACGATGGAAAACCATTAAGCTGAAACATATTACGAATGAACTCGAATTCCAAATGCATATCATGGAAAGCAGAACAGACCCTACAGCCGCGGCATATCAATGTTTGGAGACTATTCATTTTGAAACTTAAAATTTGAAACTTCAATTTGAATTTATTCTGCTCGTTTCGTTTCAAAATGTATAGTCTTCAAACTTTGATATACCGCGGCTATAGGGTCTGTTCTACCTTCCATTATATGCATTTGGAATTCGAATTCATTCGTAATATATTTCAGCTTAATGATTTTCCATCGTGCCTTGTGTTTAGTATAATCAAACGCTTCTTATCTGACAAATTTTCTGAAACTGTGACTGATTGTGATAGTAAGAAAACTATTTATTGCACATTGCCCTATTTTGGCAGTGCGTCTGAAACTATGTCTAGAGAAATAAAGATATTGTTCATCAAACCTGGTCTATGAATTTAGTTGTGCACGCTGTGCATCTGCGTACGTTGAAATGACGTCGCGTAACTTCTACATCCGGGTTTCCGAACACCGTGGCAGGAGCTATCGTTCTAACTTGCCTCTCTAAAATATGTCTCAACTGCAAATGTCTTTTGCTCTGTAGTCCAAGGCATCTCGAAGCTCACACGTGGTAGACTCTTAGATCAATCCGTCTTCTTAATGAATCTGAAACAAATAACAGGATTACTTGAGTATTGTGGAAATTATTCAACTTTTTATGAGCTCTGTTTTTTTTGTGTCACCCTGTAATATGATTTTATTCGTTTTTAGTTTTTCGAACTGATGATGGAGCTGGACTCCGAAACGTTTTCATTATCGATATGGTGAATTTACTTGGTGTTTTCTTTGCTTTTAAATTCCTTGTTACTTCTATATACTTATTTAACTGATTATCTTCCCTCGCTTCGTGATGATGCTATTACACAACGTTTGTAGTTGTTATTAACGCTTTCTTTCATTATTCTCAATTATGTCAAGGAGTTTAGCATTATTTGCTCGATTTTCCTTCGCTGTAAATCTGGAGTACCTGCTGTTGAACTCCAGAGCTAATGAAGAGGAACTTGGCAGTCCAGGCTGTGAAACTCTGAAGCCTCGACTCAACAGCTCCAAAGTCAATCAACCTAAAGTGAAATTTCCTATAAATAGCACATCAAGAATGACATTTGATATATATGAGGAAGAAAACGTGTCGAAAAATTTTCTGCGCGATTAGACATAGCGTATATGGGAAGCTCGAGAACTGCGCGCAGCGGAAACAGGGCCCCAATTTACTCAAACGTCATTTTGTTTCAGCTTTTCTGTTGCTAGAACGAAAAAAGACACAGATAGTTTGAAAAAGTACAACTTATTTATAGAAGCAAAATTGTTCGTGTGGTGTACTTATACTCTGTCGGTTTGGGTCGAATTTTTTCCCTTTACATTTAACAACCCTTATGCGCCCAAGCATCTAATCCTATAGTTTTTATGAGGAGGAAATTTTTTCAACAATTATGATAAACCAAATAACTTTCATATCAGAATTTTGCTTAATTATAGCATAAATACATTTTGCATAATTGTGTCTATGCTGGCTTCTACATTTATTTAATGTAGCAGGTATCGCAAGATCAATAGTTTATTACTACGCGGTTACGCCTAACTTGATAAATTTTAAACTTTTGAAAATATTTTCTTTAAATTGTGTTAAGATACCATTGAAAAGCATTTATAATGTGTTTTCCAGCCTTTTCTTTCTATTTTATAGATTTTTGCAGCAAAATGTGATTCACCTGGGTCAATGACTCGCGCTGTAGCAGGATCCGCTTGGTAGAGGAGGCCGCCATTACTACAGTTATTGCACACATGCGACAAAAGCAAAAGCTTCTCTCGTGCTTCTCCATTCTAAATTGAACTCAAACGTTTGACTGTTGTTATAGAAAAAAAATCTAAAAACTTTGTGTAAGGTAATTAAAGACTGTATTTGCCACTGTTAGCGTGTTAATATTAAGTTAACGTATTGTAAAATTGTGACGCAGTTGGAATAGAAATGGCGTCGACAAAGGAAAGTGGCTTTTTGGCCAGTTTCTTTAATGCTGTTTGTACTGTTAGCTTTAATTGTATCTATCAAGATAATTTGCACAATAAACATGGCTAAGAACTCAAAAACATTCGTAGCATTCGATCTTGCATTCCGTATGATCTCTGAAAAGAAATGCTTATAATTGATAATCGATAATGGCCGCCATCTTGGTGGTGGAGGGATAGAATAATGCCTGGCGCATGCGTATCTGAAAACAATAATTTTACGCATCCTATTACACAACCATATCTCCGTTACGATTGAATATACCCTCTTGAATATACTAATCTTTTTTTTCTGCAATTCCATCGTCACTTTACTAACTATAACTGTTTAAGTTATAGCTGTTTTTTTATACGCGGAGGTTGCGCACCTGTTAATACTAGTTGACTTATTAATTAACTAAGAAAGTAATGTATTAGTTGCCATTCAAAACGCTCTAACCAAAAAGTAAATAGGCTATATTGATTATACAAGCTTACAACTTCATGTTGAATTAGTTCTCTGTTTGTATTGTTCTTCCTGACATGATTAGGTCAATAAGCCTATAAGGTCATCACGGATCACCTTGATCAGTGTCAGTGATTCTGTAGAAATATTTTCTCTTGAGTCCTATTATTAAGTTGAATGAATCACAGAGCAAGAGCAGTAAATATTGTTTGAATATGCAGTTGAATTATACACCTAGAGTACATTTTAACATCCATTACCTAACTGCATCAATGATCATGCTACCTAATCAAGACTGACCAGAATATATTACAAGCTTCTGTATAGCTATCTTGTACATCAAGAAGTGAATTTATCCATTGGTTCTGGTGCAAAGATAGATGGTAGGTAGCTATCACACAGTAGGTACTGCATAGTGGCAAACCAGAGATTTTTTAGAATCGGTTCATTTTTAATTTCTTCATTTACTCAAGAATTAAACTAATTTCTTATGTATGATAATGCTGGTATCCAGGATACTTTACTGATCTACTTATATTATAAGACTCAAAAATGAACTTGAGGGAGAGTCTAAAAAAACTCTCTGCTGTGCCACTAAGCCTACTATGCCCAGTAAATAATAATAATAGAAATAATAGCAGTTTCAGCGTTTAGTAGGCTGCAGGCCTGTTGCTGATTCTTAACATCGCATAACATTCACAGCATTTTGCAGTCTCGAACTTGCAACTCACTGCTACAATTATTCTGCTGTGCTTAACCGCCCGGCCTCCTTGCCGATTCTGACCAGAAACTGGCGCACAGAGCTGGGATCAAATCCGCGCCTCTCTGCGCCAATCTTGGTACTCTGAACTTTAACCACTGGGCCACCTCTTACCTAGGCTATCAAGAAATCTACCAAAACATTTCCAGTTCCGTTGAAAACACTAAAAGCTTTTCTGAAATACAGAAATAGTAAGGGATTTATCATGTAATAAGCAATTGTTTCATAGAAAATTTACAAAAATTATGGGTTCATTATAGATCGTAATGTGTAATTTTATTTCATTATTGATAATTATTAGTCATAACTTGTAGGCATGGCTCATGGCTGCACTGCCTGCACATATAATTGTATATTTTCTACTTATTACTGAAATCTTGTGGCTCCAACTTGACAAATTTTCAATATATTTGGAATATCACAGTCCAATCCTGCCCATCAAGCTCATATGTAAACAATAAGATGATGATATTCATCAAACAAGCAAGCGTGGAAAACTTATACCTTTAGGCTAAACTCGGTTTAGTGCCGCAACTAGAGGTTTCCCGCCATTTCTGGAACCATGAGGCCGAGATTTCTGCAAGATGAATAACCTCCTATCCAATTGTTGTCAAAATTGCACGATGAGGCCGCTAGATTCCAAACGTATTACAAATTTGTCATGTTGGAGCTGCAAGATTGCAGAAACAAGTGGGAAAATTACAATCCTACTAACAGGAATCTGGTAGCTTATAAATGGTAGGAATGCAGAATGCCCTAGTTTTGGCTTGGAAAAGTAGGCAAAGTCCATGCCTGGGCCCTGGCTGCTTCAAAGTTCAAAATGTGTAACATATCCACTTTCCAAGCTGCGATTCAAACATTTCAACCAATTTTGGAGCCACCATAATTTCTGCTGGATCTATTATATATGCCTTATCTGATTGTTAACAGAAGTGCCACATCAAGCTGCCAAATTCCAATTATTAACAATATATCACTTTGAAGCAACAATATTTCATTGTTTAGTAAGAAGTTTTAAATTTTACTGTTTTTGTTATTTCCCATGTTGCAATAGAATCTGCAAGTTTAAAGTGTTTGATACAAGTCCATGTAAGATTAAAAATGTTTGTTTATTTGGAGTTCATTTTCAATCTTGCATCACTAAATCTTCATGATTAATTAAATTTTAAATTTGATTCTTTAGTCTTTGCTTATCCACAAAGAATACAATTCAATGTTAAGAATGAATTAGTTGACAGTTCAATATGCAGTTTTGATATATAATAAATGGGTTACCCAATGAGTTGTAGCATAGAAAATGGATTCATGAGTCAGAATTCTTTTGTAATTTGTACTGCTACTATATTGATGAGATCTTGGCTCCAAGAGTCAAGTAATAGCTCTGAAGAAAGATATTCCTCAGTCTGGAGACCTGGCCTAACTGCCTAAGAATATTTTAGATTCACTGCTTTGAATAAATGTTTTGAAAATGACTATGTTGATGTATATATGCCACATATGTATGTGGCCCACACTGGCAAGGATATGTAATCAGTGTTTTGAATAAGCCAAGGTACCATTGTGATTGATCAGCTGCCAAATACTTTGCCATGTAGATTGTGATTTACAGAAATGATGGATGATCCAACTTGGCTGATGTGGTCTATGATCATTGCAGATTAGTGAGATAACTGTCCAGTTGATATGCATACTGGAAAATCTTGAATGGTGTTGATTAGATAATCATGATTGGTAGTAAATTGCAAGGAAATCTGCAATTCCTGATAGATACCATTTAAGGTTTAGATGGCTTAATCGTGAAGAAAATTGTTAAAGATTTCAATGTCCTAAGGGCATTACCTTAGTGCTTAGTATTCAACGTTTTCCAATCCTTTCATAATTTCAAATCGTCAGAAACTCCCAAATTAAAGAACTTCTGAAAAATTGTGTATTGGCAGTGTTGTATTCTGTGTATTGTATTCTCTCTCCAATCATTATGTGGAGGGTTATTGTGTATTACAAGATGCATTTCTAGTTTCATTATTTTATCAGAGTTGAAATTTGTTTCAAAAACCATGATTGAAAAATTGCATTTGAATGGCTCCAGAATATAAGAGTTGATAATTTGCTGGTAAATTGCATTGAATGAAATTATCTTTACAAGATTTGTGGCATGGAGGAAATTTTTAGTAAGCCTTGAAATTCATGCTTTGGAAGTAAAATACAATGACTGTTACAAGAAGAGGAACAAGAACAAAAGGTGCAAAGAGATCCCAAAGAAGCAACAAAAAGTATAAAAGTATATATAATGTTGTCATTAGTTGTTGAAACACATTCCTTCTTGAATCATGATCTGAAAGGTTCCAAGTCCAAATTTCATTTATATGAGAATAACATTACAAATGTTGCTGTATCAAAGGTATTAAACTGAATTGTATGATGGATATGTAAATCTAAAATGGCATCTCTGATGATATTGTTGATGCTCCAAGTATGACTGCATTCCAGAACAGACTAGATAAGGCTATGCAGGAGCACATGTTCAATCTTGAAAGGCCAAATACCCAATGGAACTATTGATGAAAGTCCAGTAACAATTTTAAACCACCGTCAGTTATAAAGATCTTGTCAGAAGGCCTGCTATTAGATCTGTGAACAAATCGTGAAAAGTAGAAGGATTGGCAACAGGCCTAATCTTCAGCACCAAATATACTGGATATAACATACTATTTATACTGTGACAAACTGCCTGTCAGGTCTGAATAGCAGATTTTGATAAATGAACTTTTTCTGTATAATATCAAATCTCCAATATATAAATTCAAAAAATTCTCAAACTAATTCATTCAAATCAAATGGGAGACTTAGAATTGTCATTGAATGAATAAAATAAAATACTTAAAAAAACTTTTTTAAAAACCACGTTTTTCTTGTGGACTAAAAAATAGAAAATAAATTATGGCTCGCCCCAAAAACATGGGTCGGGCTGTACGTTCACCATCAAATTTCCAAAATTCGTGTGTTGTGTGCTTCTCGCTTTAATCATAAATCAGCCCGACCCACGTTTTTTGGGGCGAGCCATAATTTATTTTCTATTTTTTAGTCCACAAGAAAAATGTGGTCTTTTAAAAAGGTTTTTTAAGTATTTTATTTTCTCCTTTTTAGTCCTACATAATATTCATTTTATTTCAGTTGGCCACGCAAATGCACGAAAGAAAATTCTTTTCGAAGTTCTGTAGAAAATTGTATTCGAGGGGATACATTGGTGCATGTAATTTCATTTCATTTCATGCACCAATTTAATAAATTCCACGCATTTCATTGAATAAATACGCCTGGAAACGTACAACAAATTATTGATTATTGTATTGTCATTGGGAGCTGAGCTTCCCTAAAAGTTTCAGAGCGCTAGCTAGCGGGAAAGTTGGTGAAATATCGATTGCAAGATTTGATCATCACAGACAGACACGAAAGTGAGCTAAGAAAAACGTAATCAAATTATTTTTGCTTTATATCCAAGTTATAAACTCAAATATAAACTCGATGATAGGCTTTGAAATACCGTATCAGGGAATTTAAATATTTTTGTAATCAAATGTAATGAAAGTGCAAGTACTCACTCTCTACTTGGCTCTCTTCACACCCTGGCTTATAATCTTGCTTCCACAGTATAAATGTATTTCTGTGCATCTGCCAGCAATTTAAATAATATGCGTTTAAAAAATACTTTTTAAAGACAACACTTCTGAACAATACAGTGTCTTGGATGTTACACATGTACAATGAATTTCTAATTTTATTTTCAAATATTAAAAAAAATTATTTTTCAAAATTTTTTGAGATATAAAAATTTTGTAAATTTTCAAAATTATTTATTCTGTCAATTGATTCATGCATTGTCTCTGACTTTATGCAATTGTGCAAAATTTCAGATCAATTGGACAGGTCAAATTGTCTCATATATGAATTATTAGATTTGTGGAAGACGAAATTATTTGTAAAATTTTTTTAATAATGAAAAAACATTTTTTTAATTGATAAAATTATTTATTCTGTCAATTGATTCATGCATTGTCTCTGACTTTATGCAATTGTGCAAAATTTCAGATCAATTGGACGGGTCAAATTGTCTCATATATGAATTATTAGATTTGTGGAAGACAAAATTATTTGTAAAATTTTTTTAATAATGAAAAAAAAATTTTTTAATTGATAAAATTATTTATTCTGTCAATTGATTCATGCATTGTCTCCAACTTTACGCTAGTGTGCCAAATTTCAGATCGGTTGGAAAGGTAGAAGTGTGTTAAATGTCGATTTGTTTGTCTGTCGAGACAGACAGACAAACAAGAAGTGAAGTTAAAGAGAAGTGTTGTAATAAAATGGCTTCATTCCAACTGAGAGATCTTTTAGAGAATTGATAATCTGTCAGTTCAACCCTTATGTATAGGAAAACCTTGCAAGATATATCAGGCACACTTACGTATAGGAAAACTATTTGAAATATTTCATACATACAATTCAATTTGTGATTTTGATGGAGAAAATTCTTCCTTTTGCAAAAAAAAATATTGTAGTTCTTTCACTTTTCTTCAATTGGAATGGAATTATCTTTTTTGAACCAGTTATTACCAACTTTTTTAGCTGAAAAAAGGATTGAGTGGATTCATTTGTTTTCTTTACCTGCCTGATTGACAAATCAATACAAGTGTAAAGAATAACTTTGAATGATAAACACCTTGAGGGACACAAACTGAATTAGCTGCAAGAACTCGGTTGAATGTGAATGAACCATTCGATGAGGTGAACTATTCTTCAACTTGCAACAGGTGCTGACAATCGACTATTTTCCAATCTGTTTTGAGTAAATGAGTCATTCGGACAATTTATTCCATTTTCTGTTAGCATCAAGATCTTGCCCTTTCCTGCTGTTCAAACCAATATTATTTCTAAAAATTAGTAGGAGTCATATGCTGTTCTAAATTATATAGTCAAGTAGCCAAAAGAAATTAATTATTTTTACCAACCCTCAGTTCATGACTTCTGATTTTATCAATTCTATTTGTTATTCATTTTATACAAATGTATGACGTTTGCTTGTTTGTGCAGTTGAGTGTTTTTTTCTGCAAAGGAAGAGAAAGTGTAATGCCATTACCAAGAGGTGCTCTGAAGCAAACCACAGGAGAGTCAGAATGGAGGCAGGCAAGGAGCAGCAGCACAGAGCTCCTCCCCCCAACTCCTGGACCCCTCCTCACACACCACCTCATAATATGGGGTATATTGCACACCGGTTACAAATTATTTATTGCTAATTCAATCTCTTGTTGAAGCATTTTCTCATTTATGGAGAAAAGGCGCTATTGTGCTTGTCATGTCCATCCGTCCGTCGTCTGTCTGTGTGTGACTTCACTTTTTTGTTGATGATAAAATGCACTCTCTGTCACTCACTGCAGCGAGTACTGAGTTAAATTTTTTTTAATGCTGTAAGTGGATGTACAAAATTGCTCCAACATGTTTCTTTTGATTGTTTTTATTTAACTAAAACTTCCTGGAAATGTGTTTGAATATATCATTTTAAATTATACATGTGCGATTGATGACCAGAGAATTGATTGATTTATATTATCTGGGAGTGGAACTTCAGATATCAATTATCTATTAAATTAGTAGATAAAAAGATGTGATTTTAGTTGCAAATATATTTTGGTTGTATGCAAAGTATTCAAAGTAGAGAGTTATGAGCTTATTTATAAATATCCTGTAGATTGTATTCAAATTACTAAAAAAAAGTCTTGCAACATTTCTAAAAAGATTTAAAATGATGTTTTAAAGGAAAAAGTCCAATTTACTATTGTATCTGCATAGTTATACCTTGCCTTTGACATATAATAGACATTACTTGACAAATTTGGCTGCTTGGATGAGTAATTATAATTTTTATCTTCTTGTAAAATAATGATTAAGGTGAATCATCCTTCAATAAATTGATGTTCATGACTAAGGTAAGTTTGTTCTGCTGTAATCTACTGGCTATTATTTTTTATATTGAAGTTTGGCTTTAAATGGAGGTTTATAAATTATCTAATCTTCTTCATAAATTAGAAGAATTTGAATTGTCATTTTCACTGTGATCTGGTCTTGGTTTATTGAACTCAATATAGTTCATCTTGGCCAACTGTTTAAAAATCAAGTTTCCTGACCAAGACATTGTGTTTTAAAATGCATATAATTTAACAAATTGATCTAATTTCGTAGCTGATGTGACTGAGTGATGTTTTGTTGCAGTGGATTTGGCGTAACTGAGCTGACTAACGGATGTGGAAGTGTGGGGGGTTCCCCTCAGCAGCGATGGTGCAGCAGCAGCAGGTTGGACAACAAAGGGACAAGCATGCCACGTAAACTAGCCTCATATGGACGCTCTCCTTCCACCCTGCCTACCATTCTGCGTTCCAGCTCCCCTCTACTGGGAACCACCAATATCAATTCAGGCAAAAAGTTGAATAGATCTCAACCTTACACTACATCTGAAGCTTGTGTGGCCGTCACATCCATGGCTTCCTCATCGCTTCCTGTGCCTGCTGTCCATGTCTCATCCAGGCCTCTACTCCAAAGTCCTGCTTCTATTAGCTCAACCATCAAGTCACCATCCACCTATGTTTCTAAAGTTTCCAACAAGAGCACAGCTCCACTTGCAAATTCTCCCCCAACAACCAATGTTACTTCTAGCAGCCCTACAAGTCGTGCAACCAGCGTCAGAGTGTGGCTTAGCAGCACCAATCACTCGCCTGTCAGGAGTACTTCAGGAGGCGCTCTAGTCCTGCCCTCGGGATTTGATGTAACCAAGCTCTACCCTGAGCTCTCCAAACTCGGCGTTGTTAAGTCATCAAGTGGGCCGACCGTTGTAACATCGCTCCAAAATGCCAAGCATCTGGGGGATACTGAAATAAACTCTGTAATTAATAATCCCTGCTCTAAAACTACTGGAACTAACCCCATAAATTCTATTGACATTAATCAATCTAAAAATTTGGGAAACATGCAGCTCTCTAGTACATTGAACTCACAACTTAAAGGAGCTTCTATAAATTCTTCTGCTAACACTACGGCATCAGTTCCAAGCTTAAGAACAGGTAACGCTACTGGCTTTCAGTCCAGCATTAGTGTCAGTGCCGAAGTCAACAAGACACAAACAAGAAGCCCTTCTTTAGCAAGTGTTCCTATTACAACGTACACTACCAGTATTATTAGTCCGATAAAGGCATCATCTCCTTCACCAAATTTAGTCAACTTTATTAAGATTGGTGGTGGCTCACCTGTTAAAACATGCAATGGATCGTTGCTTGTACCAGTTTCAAGTAATGATATCCGGCAAGCACGACTTTTACCGGATGGTAGGATTGTTGGCATAAAAACTAAAGAATTTGTTGGAGAAAGATGCTTAGAAAAACACGAAGTATCAAACAGGACGAGCATAGTGTCACCTGTACCCTTTCATGAAAATAAATCGCCGCTTGTGTTGAACATGTCAGTATCCCAGAATGCCCTGATCTCCGGGACAGATGGCAGCGGTCGCACTACATCAAGCCAAGAACCTTTAGCTACTAAGCAAATCAACAAAGTTGTAGGAAGTTCTCAGCCTCGTGAGGACAGTGGCCTGAGTTGTGCAAGCCGTAGTAGCGTAGAGGAAGCGGAATTGCAAGCTCGAGCAAAACAACTTCAATTGCAGAAACAGTTGGAGCAAATACACGGAGGCTTGAGCAGAGCTGGCAAAGCAGTCACTGTTGCCGATTCTACTGTACCGGTGACTACTGTCAAACAGTTCAGATTGAGTCAGAAACAAGTTGCTTCTCTCTTGTCTCAAGCAACACTGTCACCCACTTCTCTTACCGTTGTTTCTACAGCCTCTTTACTTTATTCACAAAACTCAACTACAACTCTATCAACACCTGCTGGTGTCAAGAGAAAAGCTAGCCCTGCTGCATCTCCTAGAGCTTCAAAATCTTTCAAATCTAGTGCTACTTACGGAGTTGCTCATTCTGGTCAAGGAAACTCTTCCTATATAAGTACAAATATAGTATCTAATATTTCTAGCTCGTCTTCTTTACAATCTTTATCGCCTCCTTTTATTTCTCCCACGCTATCTATTAGTAAGAATGGCTTATCAGTTTTAACAAGAGCAAAAGTATCCAGCATTTTGAAGAATTCTGCTGTCCCTTGTCCTGCTAATCCAGTAAATAGTGCTGGAAAAAGCGCGACCGATTCTTTAGAACATAAAGATTTAAGTCTTTGTGAGGAAAAAGCTACTCTTCATCGACGAGTCTCGTTCAAGACAGTAGAAGATGAGAACTCTTCAACAAGTGCTGAAGAAGTTCAGCTTGCCTCTCGTCCCTCGGGAGACAAGTTGCCCATTGAAAGGAACTATTCCCGAAAACTTGCCACTCGACTTTCTCCGATGAAACCTCTCGACCAGAGAATTTTAATCAATAATTCAGTGAGCCACATTAGAACCAACCTATTTGATGATAGTGTAAGCAATTTAAAACATGTTCAGCCGCTTGGGTTTCCACTGAGTCAGTCTTCTAATTTCATAACTGCTGAGAATATTGATCAAAAAATTGACATCAAACCTGAGAGAGAACTCGAGTTAAAGGGAGAAATTCCTTGCAAAGTATTACATGTACGCTGCAATGCCGGAGAAAATCTTGGACCTCTTGCGCCTGATCTGCCTGAGCCTGTACAGCAGCTGCACTCTATTCTGGCGCATCAGAGCAAGGCCACCAGTCAGCCTATTATTCCATACAGTGAGTTCGTGGTCAACATATCAATCAATGGCTTGAATAGTTCTGTCATTTGTTGTGCCTATTTTCATGTATTACTATTTGATTAGCTTTAAAAATTACTATTGCAGATATTTGGGTAAAATTTCAGAAAGTTGCATGATTTCTGGATGAATAATTTTTATGTAGATTATTTGAATCGATAAATTTTCAAATTTTAAAATACTATAAGTAACTTAGATGGTAATTAATAACTACGTGACAAATGAATGGTCAAGTTTAATTGCTTTCATGTGTCGATGACAGCAGCAGCACGCCGTAAATGGTTGATGTTGACAGAGTGGTGATGAATTTTAAAAACTTTTAATTGCAGTATATATCCTACTAAAAGATGTCCTCAAAATTTTAAGATGTAACTTTATTTTGGCAGGTCTACTGGAGCTGGCGGATGGCGAGGGCGATACGAATTCCCGTTACCTGCATTCATCAAGTAAAACTGATGCCCAGGATGTCAAAAATATAAAGCTCAGCACACCTCTGATGCCTGGCCTGGACTGCTGCAGCGCTCGTAGAGAAGCCCTCATCACGGCCAGAGTGGCGTCTAGCGTTGGCGACCGCGCGTCTGATGAGGCAGCGTCGCATGATGCTGGCCACGAGACGCGCGTGGCCAAGCTCACGCTGTCGGTGCTGCGACGCCGGCGAAGGCGGTCCCGCGCTCAGACTTTGGCCCTCATCAGAGCGACGCGTGTCAGCCCTCGTCTGACCGCTGCTGCCTTCGCCAGATCCCAGCCGCAACTTGTGGATCAGCAGCTCAGTGCTTCGTATGAAAGGTAAGCCTATCATATTTTTCTATTGGTGCATTAATTTAAAAGTTCTACGTCTGATTTTTTGACATTCATTTAACTGGTTCTATGAAATTACATAAATAATTTATAAATGATTTTTTAAAGAAAACTGTAAAAACGCTACCGTATCTAAAATTAAAGTCAATCAAATTTATTGCGTATGCACTACAATCTTGTATGTACTACAATGAAAGTAATTTCCAAGTCTGTTAAGTTTGGTAACTTTTTAATATTAATTTGCTTCTTCATCAATATTACCATTTTGCTTGTGAAATGAGCAGTTGTGGGTCTCGCGTGTCGTGCCTGCTACAGCTGACCACGTGTGTGTATGAGCTGAGTTCTGTGGCGTGTCGCGACGAAGCATCGGACGAGAGCGTCACGTCGCCCGGCAGGGCATGTGGGGCGCCCGCGCTACCTGGCACACGACACTGCCTGCGTCACATCACCTACAACGTCGACCAGCAGATGTTCGTGCAGTGCTGCGCCAGGACGGAGGAGCGCGGTGCCCTCTGTAGGGTCCCCGTCTTCTGCCTTAGCGACCAGCCGCTCTGTGCTGCCCACAAGCATCTCGCCAACAGCGAGGACAACACCGTGAGTGTTTACCGAGAAATGTTTCTCATGACCTGGGCTTGGCATTCAGTAGAAGAAACTTGATTGCTTTGGTGGGATACCAAATAACAATGCAGGTTTCTCCTTTATTTGATTTACATACTTATTAATAATTATTTCCAAGTAGAAGTTACTGATCGTCTTAAATAAAATGAATTGTCTAATTTGTAATTTAAAACTCGTGACTTCCATTTATTATTTCCAGCTATATCCTTCACTGTCCCTCAATATTTCTGACCGCCCTTAAATTCAAATGCACTCTCTTCAACACGCCTGACTGCCATTGACATTATCTTCCAATACCATTCACTGCCCATCAACGCCCCTGACTGCTCCCCAGCTTATCTCTACCCCCCATCGTAACCATGGCCGCGTTTACTTGCAGTCTGGCTGCGCGAGTCCGAGTTCGCCGGCACAGGGCATCACGGCGCGCAAGTGCCGGCGTCGCGGCAAAGGTCCTGCGTCGTCACGCTATGGTAAACGCAAGCGGCGCCGCTCCATCACACCACACGCTGCTGCCGCTGGTAAGGGCGGTGGTAAAGGAGGTGGAAAAGGCGGCAAAGGCAAGGGTGGAGGCAGTGGTAAAGTGGTACCTTCCACCTCCGTGCGCCCTCCTATGAACAACGGACTTGTACTTCCCTCTGGAGGCTTCCACTTGTTGCCGTCTTCGCCACCGCACTCACCATTCAGCGCTGCAGCCTGTTCTGGTAAGTCATGTCTCAGGGCTAGTTATGTAATTTTTTTTTCCTTTTGCTGGTCAAACAAGGCTCCTGCATTTTTGTTTTATTATGATTTGTTTTGGTCTTGAATCAGTAAATCATACATGTATGCTCCAGATGTGAAACCATTAGAATCTTTCAGGAATAGTGATTTTAGTATATCTGCTACCGTATTATATATTGTTTCTTGTCCAAAATATTATTGCTCTTTTATTTAATATTGATTTTTCTCGACTGTGACTGCCGTGTTAGTATTTGTCGCTTGCTGACCGCGACATGGTGTGCTACTATGTCTCACGACTGTAACGTCGTCCTGGCCGCTGCTACTCCATTTCTAACCCTGTGGTGCGACTGACTGCCCATTCGTCCCCTAGATGGTTTGATGAAATAATTATTGCCTGTTACTAACTAATTCCTTCAAGTACAAGTAAGTTATTATAACGTGGTCACCTAATTGCCAACGCTGCCGAGCAGAATGCGGGGACGGGACCAACAGCTGCTGCTGTCCCGGCAAGGGAGAAGAGGACGACTTGTCAGGATCTTTTGACGCGAGCCTGGAGCTGCCCGGCAATGTGGTGGCTGCAGCGTCGCGCCTCTTAGACCCTCAGCATCTGCACGACCTCCTGCTGGAAGAAGACCATCACGCTGACATGTTCCCGCCATGTTCCTCCTCGCCTGGTAGGTCATGTTTGTTGCTCATCCATCCTAACGTGCGTGTCTCAACATTTTTAATATTGGTGAACGGTGAAAAGCGTCTCTTTCTTTCTTTGCTGCCGTTTCTCTCAGATTAATCGTCAATTTATAGTCGCATTGACGAGAAACTTTTTTCAATATATGAACCATCTTGATTCCGGAATTGTAAACATGTGCTTCCGCACACACACAAGCGTACTTGGGTGTAAATTTCCGTAATAGAATTATAAGGTTTGATTAAACCCTCCCGTTTATCATAAAAAGTAAAAACATAGCGTGTTTGTTTTTACTATTAAAATGACCAGATTGTTTCTTTATCTTTCATTTATTTAGTCCCACAAATGTAGCTAAATTACTGCCTTTATTTGGTCCGAACTTACCGTATTGTTCATTTCACAGATGTTAAAGTCGAAGTAAGCAGCAACAGCACCAATGCGGTCAATTCGGGCGTTCCCACAGACGCATTTTCCGTTGGCGGATCTCAGCAACAGCAGCTGATGTCAGGCATGCCTCAGCTGCAGCAGTGTGTTACTGACGCCGGTCTAATTGCTGGCGCACTCGATTCCTACGCTTCAGTTATGGACGCCAATATGCCGATAGACTCCATGATCTCTTCGTCTTTCAACCAGCAGGTGCTTAACGTTATCAGCCAATTTTTGGGTAACATGGACGAGCAAGATGTATTGATGCTGCAACAGCCGCCGACTACGTCCGCTAGTTCAGCTCTGAACATACCTAATACTACCCTACCTGGAGATGTTAACGATCCTAACTGTATTGTGAACACCTCCTGTAGTAACTCAGGACTCACTTACTTTGAACAGCCGAATCTTTCTTCTCTTCAGAACCTCCCTACTTCTTTAACTTCCACCTGCAGCGACCCAGCATCTTTCTTGCCATCGACCCTTGCTGCCTCTTGCACTTGGAATGGAAGTCAGTTCCCTGGAAATTTTACTTCCACCTGCGCTCCATCTGTACCTTTCCAGGCGACCTGCACTCAAGCTCTTTCCACGTCTTCAATCGTCGATTCTCATTCAGAAACTAGCCTAACTGGAAGTAGTATTAGAAACGCTTCTCAGCCTGGGTTTGATACATTTGAAGTCCCTTGTCGGCCTGATGACAATCAGGAAAGTGTGGATGCCAGTATTGGCGAAGCGTTTTCAAACTCTCGAGTTCTTGACAGAACAGGAGAAAGGACTCTTAACCACTGCACAGAACAGATTATCGCACCTGATTTTACAAACAAAGCCTCAAATAAGAATCAAGGGGATGTCTTCTGCTCTTCAGTTGTGCCAAGTGCTGATGAGAACGCATCCTATGGTGAATCAACTCTTTCAGCCGTGTGTAGGGGCGACCTACTGCAATACAATTCATTAGGAAAAGAAAATATTGGTACTGGCGTTGCAAACTCAGCTTTTGAGTCGCCTACGAGGATTCCTATTACGACTAATCCGTCGCATGTTAAAGCAGTAAATAATTTAAGTCATGTATCTAGCGTCGATTCGTTACACGAGTCATTTGATAACAGTGTGTTAACATCATCTGGCTTTTTGACGCGTGTTTCGAATGTACCGCTATCAACGTCCGGAACTTTTACCACTTCGGGCGATATGTTATCTGAAGTTCCCAATTTACTAAGAACAACTTCTACCGGTCCTTCAGTAAGCCCTGCACCAGACGGTATTGAAAGCAACCAGGGTTCTTTCAGTCAGCTGCCGTCACCTTCTATGCCGCCGACTCCCTCTGATGACGATATGACATCTGTTGTGGAGTTCCCTTCTCCGCCTGCATCCGATCCTTCCATGACGGACATCGAAGTGAATAACACTCCTGACATCGGTCGTGTTCACGATACCGCCGATCAAATTGAGCAGTGCAAACAGCGGCCCTTGCTCTACCACGCTCCTGACTGTCGCGTTTTGCCCGCGGGATTCCGATTGCTGGATACAAAAGCTCCGAGACTGCACTGATGAGTGTGTACTCGTCCCTGTGAAGCAAAACTATGTTTTTGCAACCACTTCAGTTGTTGGTGCGGATTCTTATTTCCGACTTGGTCACTTTCCACGTCAGATTTAGACTTAATCACATGGGAGGGAAAACTTTGAAATGCGTGATTAAAAGTCTTCTGCAGCTGATATCCCTAAGAAAATTTGGAAGAACATTGTGTGAACTCTAGTTTCTTGATAATGCTTAGGGGGTTCTTGTGCATTCGTATCTTTTCAACTTAAAAAGTTTCGTGTTTAATGGTTTTGTTGATTGTAAAGCGTGATATTTGTTCATGCTATGTAACAATGTATTACGTACTGGAGCCATGATGTCCATCCCTAGAATTTGCTATCTTTTGTAAGTATTCCTTATTTATTAAACCTTTTTATGCCAAAGACTCACTTAAAACAAAGTATAAGGGTGGCATTTAACGAGGTCGAATTCAGTTGTTTTATGTTGTATAATCTTGTCGCTATTATCTTTAACTAGGATTTTCTCTATTGGCTTTGGATTGAAGCTCTTGTTTGTGGCCTTGTTTGCAACTTTGTGTTGAGTTTACGTCTCGATGCCAAGATTTACTATAATATTCCCCCACCACAACCTGACTAGGTTATTAACGATTGTCTTCTACATCGGCCCGTTGGTCATGTGAACAAATGTCTAGAGCTATATATCTCGACTTGACGTCCTGTTTCCACTCTAATAAATTCGGGTAAGTACTAGCCTTGCGTCAATGAAATCCGTTTTGCTTAAAATAAAGTTCCTGTATAGTATTCGTTGACCTGAAGAACAAATTACTGCATTCATTCACAAAGATTAATATCTCTCATTGAAAGACCTTGCATTGTATTTGGTATTGGAAAAACAATAAAATGTAACAAATTCTAATTTCCTAAGTAAACTTTAGTCTAAGTTCGCCGTGGAACTTTTACTTTCGAAAGTTTACAGTGTGATGTATTTTTGTATTTTTTCTCTCTCTACAAGAAGATATATAAAATAATCGGAATGATATAGTGATGGCCCCGCCGAGAAACAGTGATGTCTTAGTCCTGCGTTGCACTCGCGTGTGGATTGACCCAACGAACGTCTCGATCATATTGTAATTGTGAAAGTAATTAGTAAGTCTCGATCATATCTTGCCTTCTGATATAATGAACTGCATCGGAATCTTTGTTATGGGCTTTTTTTTGTCTTTATTTAACCCTGCACTTTAATATCTTTGTAAAGTCTAGTATGGTTCTTATAGTTCAGGTTATGAACTCGTTAATGCTGATAGCTAAAATTGGGTCCTATTTACCAATAGTTTCGGTTCGTGAAGTGAAACATTGATGGACTGTAATGTTGATAAATTAGTTAATTGTCAGCAAACTTACTGGGCGGTTTCCCTTGTATCTAACTCACTGCTTCAAATCATCCGTCATCATCGTTACATTACCGTAAATTTCTTCCAGGAATTCCCTGATCATTATTGGTAAGTCTCCCGAGTTCTGATACGCTTATTTCCTCTCCAGAAAGCCATGGCTTCACACGAGAATATATGAACTCTTTTCGTGCCCGCTTGGTCAAGTGATGGTGAAAGATGAACCAAGCACTTGCATGGTATCGTTTGACGTCTGTGCAATGATTCAATAATTAGCTCTTGGTCAATAAAATTGTCGAGAGAGTCGGTTGGGTGCCCAACGGTGGCGCTCTAGCACGGACTGTTACATCTTCAACGCTTATCAAGGACACAGCTAAATCATTCGTCAGAAAGCTGAGAGCTCACCGTGGCCTATAATTTAATTATGAACCGAAATGGCGGCTCATGAAATGGTGTGTGCACGAATTAATGAACTCATTATTGCTCGGTTAAACCATGGGTTTCGTGGAGAGAGTCTCGCTGGTGTGTTGCTAGCTCGACGACCGTCGCTTCTAACGCGCATTTTGTACATATTGTAATATTTATTATTCTGTGTCGTAACCTAGCCATCTAGAAACCTTCGTTCAGTTTATTTATCCCAACAGCTGTTACTACAACGGATGAAATTGTAGCATCGGAAAATGCAGCATTTTTGAACGACCAAGCACAATTCAGCTTGCGTTCTCACTATTATGAAAAACTAATTTTTTTAATTGAGCTTTTGTTGAAATTTATTTGTATGCTTATCATCGCTGCTTCCATTTTGTTGTAATTGGAGAGTCGAACTAATGCGTTTAATCCGGAATTATTAATTTAATAGATGTTATGTGTCAGTGAGTGGTTAAAATGTATGTAGTCGAATGTCGATACTGAGTAGTCAGACACCAGAATTAGCGCCCTCTGTTGCTGCTGCTCTTCTTTCAGCTTCATGCTATTTATTTCGAATCGTAATGTTTCCACAAAATTATTATTAGTCTGTCTACTAAATTTTCACACACATTTCTTTGCTTGTTAAATTTTCATGTGTCTCATCAGCAACTGATGTTAAGCCATTTAATGTGTGCTTGACGTTGAGACCGCTTCATTGCCTTCATATGCTGATATTATTTCGTATTATCTTATCTTTCTGGCTAATCCGTTTAGCAAGAAGCCTGATAGTGTCCATTGCAGTCGGCCTGCGTTACCTGAGTGTACAGTAGCCTGTAGTGACTCAGCTTTTATCAAATGACCAACTCTTAACAAATTACCAAACCTTGAAATGCCTCAACGAGCAAAGCTTTATCCTAATACGCCTAATCTTCTCTGTACTTTATGATCTCGAAAATAACTTGTTAGGATTTTCATGCGTAAATGGTGGCGAATGTCACACGCTGCTTCATCTATTCTAGTGAATTATTCTCAGGATATTTCTGAAACTCCTCAACCAAAGCAACCCAACACTGTCTCGTTTTTTTTTTCTTTATTGAATGATCAACTTAATTGACTTTAGTCGTTTTTAGTTTTCGTATTGCCGAGGCTTAAGAGTGTGAGCAGCAGTTGCAGTGCAATGGCTTAGATATGGTGTTAAACGCCCTTACTCTGGACTAAATAGAACTGTATTCCTTAGCTCTGTGGTGTGATAATCTGCGAGTGGTTTCTGTTCTTCAAACGGTACAACTTCTATTTTTTTATGTTCTTCTGGTTAGGGTTTAGCCGCCGTCTGTTCTGCTGTAGGCAAGTGAGCGTTGTTAATGAATGCCTCGCTATCTAATTTATTCAAGTATGACGAGTACAGTGTAGAGTAGCCGTCGACAGGGTCATACTTTCTTTACTGCAGCGTCCTAGAGACTGAACAAATAAACACTGACGTAACTCACTCTTTAATTTGCCTTGACAAACTTTGACTCGACGTTCACCGTTGTCTGGTGAACGTTGGTCAGCTGATGCTGGAACATGTGCTCAACATCACAATCATTACCGCCTGTACGAGAGATCTAAGGAGCTAGGTTCTAAAATTTTCGAAATCTTTCGAGTCATAATGATACATTGCATTAACAAAATTAATCATTAACAATATTCCTCGCATTTCTATTGCTATTCAACTAGTGATTGCATTCGTAAATAAAAGTGAGATGTACAACTGAAAACATGGTTCAAATGAAAACAAGACTAGTCATGAATCCAGTTGAACTGATGAGAACAGGTGCCTATTAGACAAGCAGATCACAATGCTTGTAACGGCAGTGATAGCTAGCAAGATAAGATAACACGCACACCTCGCACGCAAACTACTCCCGTTTGTCGTGGGCCACAGTACGTCAATGAGAAAGTGTGTGACAAGTGTCAACGGATCATCTAAACGTAAATAGTTTTAACTGCTGTTAGAAAAACGATTTACATTTGACTTTTGCCTTAAATAAGAAGCCGCTCATTGAAACAAACGCTTGCAGTTTCTGTGAAATCCAAATCTGCAAATTAGGTTCTTGTAAGTAAGCTACGATCGTTTGCGTTGTACGTCTGGACAATTTGAATGCTAAACAACTTTTCATGCCGTTTGGTTTGTGTCTGTAATAATTAATCAGGTTGGATATTTTAGCTTGTCAGTTGAAATTGTATAGTCGTTATTGCGTATATCTGCAATGCACATTAATCTTATAGGGATACTACGTAAGTAATCTCGATTGTAAGAAGATCTGGAATTTAAATTTTAGAAGATGCAACATGAGACATTAAGCGCCGTCAATAAATTGAAATATTTTACTATCCACATCCTGCTACTTTTCACACAGGTTTTCGCGCAACGCCGCATATATTGTAATGTTGTATGGTGTCTTAAATGAGAGACTGCATAAATATCAAGAAATAATTAAGGATGCTCTTGAGAGGGGCATACGCCAATATTTTTATTTGAGCCGTATTTACTGCGATATTATACCAATAACCTAAAAATGACCGCATTAACATATAAAATGTCGCTTGACGGGATGCATGCCTCTTTGCAGTTTCTTTGCACTATGAATTTTTTTCCTTAATATGGCTGTAAAAACAGCTTCGTCGTAATAAAGGATGAGACGATTAATTATGAATTTCCAGATCATATGTTCTAAATGTAATTGGCGCCTACAAACCCAACCGCTGACCAAAACCTAACCGTTTTGTGTTAGCGAAGTTGCTGCGCTGAAATTATATCACCCTAATGTACAGCAAATTGATTTTATAAGAAATTCTAGATTTCACTATATCTCAGCCAATTGAGCTGTGGACTCACCATGGGAAATAATAATGGTAAAGATAGGAAGAAAAATAAAGACGAACGACAACCCAACAATATAAAGCCCGAACCGAATGAGCGTCGGGCTCGGCAGTCAGGCGATGAGTTAGAGCAGCCGGATGCAGAGGCAACGGTTCAGGCAGAACCACCCACAGGGCAGAAATCGATTCGAAGGAAGTTTTCTTCGTTCAGGGAAAGTCTCAAGTTAAGAAGAAAAAGTTCATACTCAGACTGCTCTAATGATCGAATTGAGAACAAAAAACAGGAAACATTTCAGTTCAGGTCAATGCGAATTAATAGAACATCAAAAAAGGACGCACTCAAACACAGGAAGACTTCCACAACACTGGTCCAGCAGGAATTTTCCTACATCGATACCCGCGAAGCAGCTTCACACTCCAACAGTCTAACTGGAAGTCGAGCAACTCTTTCTAGCCAAACGGGGCCTTTTGGCATTTACATCAACGGTCGCCAAGGGGGTTCCATGAGAGAAATGTTGCCTACAGACAACTCGCCTCGTCTGCGAACTGGAGTTTCATACACTCTAGGTCTAGTGCAACCCAGTCCCGTTTCCATCAGATCAAACTTCACGACAACAAGTGGCGCTACTGCTGGAACATACTACTCCGCAAGTGAGTTCGCCTGTTTTTGATACATTTTTCTATGTTTTCTGGCCTTTGATTCATGATATATACCGAGAGACTTATCCTCTGGTCTCTGATTCTTGATACATGCCGAGAGCCTTATCCTCTGGTCTCTGATTCGTGAGACATGCCGTGAGACTTATCCTCCGGTCTCTGAGTCATGATACATACCGAGAGCCTTATCCTCTGGTCTCTGAGTCGTGATACATGTCGAGAGACTTATCCTCTGGCCTCTGAATCATGATACATACCGAGATCCTTATCCTCTGGTCTCTGATTCGTGATACATGTCGAGAGACTTATCCTCTGGTCTCTGAGTCATGATCCATGCCGAGAGACTTGTCTTTCTCTGATCCATAATTTAAAATTAATTTTCCTCACATTTTAGTTCAAGACGCAAAGTACTATGAAAATTTCACTGCTATATTTTATGCTTACCAGCCATCTTCAACAATTTTCGTTGCCTTTGCATAATACCTTTTAAATTGTTGTTCAACGAAAGTAAATTATTAATTTGCCATATTACGCGTCAGCTGCTGAGGTTATTTCCATAATCGTCGCCGAATGTCTGACGTCACCGATACCGAAGTAGTAGCCAATGAGAGGTAGTCTGTAGATTACAATCTTTCTACGCAGTTTGTCTTCTCTGTGTACGGAATAGTCGGAAGTTACGTCATTCCATATCACTTGATAACACATTCGTACATCTATATTAGGTATGAATGCAAGCGAAGCATTGATAATGAGTTTAGATCATGCAAAAGAGAGTCGAAATGATACATAATATAATATACAGTATAACTGAATATATAAATTGTTTCGTGCCTATGGCTCTGAGCGTAACATGTTTGCATTCATCTATTCAATTGCACTCGAACACTTGTATTGAGCTCATAACACAAACATGGCCTTCAATTCAGTTTGATATGTGAATTTCTGACTCATGCAAATTCTTGTCCTAAAGAAACTGACGAATTTTTTTTTTTTTCCCGCAAATCTAACACTGATTTCTCGCCAGCAGATGTGACCTTAGATGACGACTACACAGGACCAGTAGACGGCATGGTCACAGCAGCGACTTCGGTCTCAACGGACCATATGTAAGAAATCATAGTACGGCCTCATATGTAATATATCAGGCTTATTTCGAACTAATATGCGCCATGATATGACCTCATATTTAAGATATCATGATCCGAACTCATATGGAAGATATCATACTTCGAACTACATATTGATACGACCTCATATATAAGATATCATGTTTCGAACTCGTATATAAGATATCATGATCCGAACTCGCGTGCTAAGTAGTAGTAATAGTACTACTAGTAATGCCGCGACCGAAAAAGATCGCGGAGAGAAAAGTCCGGCACGAGATATTTAAACGTAATTATTTCTTCCTAATTAAAGCGAAATAATTTTATACATTCTGGCCCGATGTTTCATCTTCAGTCGTTGCTGCGAACGATACCATAGGGCAAAAAATGAATTCTTCTGAAATTAAACCCTATATTTCTTGTCATCTTTCCACTTCACGTTTAGCTTATTATCATTATCTTTGCTGTATGGACGGAGTCTGGAAAATTTTCATATAGATTCTATGACAAGCTTGATAATAGGACTCAATATAAACTTTATCATACAGTTGGAGGATCTAGTTAATGACTCGAAGCCGAAAAGCATGTTTTGCATGTTTATCATTTATATTTTTGACAGCTATAATGTTCTGAATGTGATAGAGAGTAATTGTGCGTCACAGCTATGACGTGTAACCTGCACGGAAGATGACGTTGTCACGACAAGCTTATCGTTTTCACTAACCAGGAACCGAGATTCTTTCCGAAGATACATTATCCGTCTTGGAAATGAAAAAAAATATAATTGAGGCCACGACGATTAACATTTTTGTTCATACTCTGATGTCAATCGTCACTATCAATTGAAATTAGGAGTTAGCTAAATTGTTGATTATATTTATATACATTGGGTTTTTGAGTCTGCCACTTACCAAATTACGAATGGTGAATGAGAGGCAATTGGTAACTTCAAATATTTTTGAGTATTGGAAGCGTAAATGTACGTTCCACCTGCCTCGTTTATAAGGTTTTTAATACATCCAATGACCATCGCCGCTATGTCTTCTACGACCAACGCCAAAGCAACAAACATATGACGTTGTCATATTAAGTATTATTAGCAAAAATTAAATGTTTTTAATAATACTTTAGAATATTGTGCCGAGTTAAGGGTCCCAATCGACCGAGTGATACGCAACGAGTGATCTGACTTTTATTCCGCACGCAAGCACGCAACTTGACGTTAGTGTTCTGTCAACATGACGTTAGTGTTCAGTCAACTAGACGTTAGTGTTCAGTCAACTAGACGTTAGTGTTCTGTCAACTTGACGTTAGTGTTCTGTCAACTTGACGTTAGTGTTCTGTCAACTTGACGTTAGTGTTCTGTCAACTTGACGTTAGTGTTCTATCAACTTGACGTTAGTGTTCTGTCAACTTGACGTTAGTGTTCTGTCAACTTGACGTTAGTGTTCTGTCAACTTGACGTTAGTGTTCTGTCAACTTGACGTTAGTGTTCTATCAATATTTTCAGAGTTATAGTGTCGTAATATTTTCAAGAACATCCCGCACTGGCTCTCTGACTCATGGAGCGAGAAGGATTAGGACATAATTAGACATAATTAGACGCTTAAGTCTCGGGACTTGAAATTATTATAGTTAACTTGAAATTATTTTCATGCTGCGATTCCGGTAAGTCCAAAGAAAGTAATATATGAGCCTTATCGCGTGGTAATGGCATTTGTTTTAATCACGAAAAAATATAAAGCTTATGTTCTTATTTTTGTTGCTCGACTCACCGACGATGCACCAGATAAGAAAAATCGTGAACGAATTACGTTTAACATTTCAATATCTTAGAATAATTAAGAACTTCAATACAGGCGACCATGCTTCATGGTGTTTATTACAACTGATAAGAACTGATAGGACCAGGCCTTCTACCTCTCATTAAGAGCGTCTCCAGTTCTGTACAAACTTCTTTTGTGACTTGATGTGCTGGCTGAGGCGTCATTACAATATTTCAGAGGTACCTGTTATAATACAAGGAAATTGATATATAAAATAGTAAAATGTTCATTAGTGAACTCTCTGCTTTACGTAGACAATTCTTCGACGCTCTCTGAATAAAGTTCCAGATTGAATATTTTACACGAGCTTTGGTTTGTTCAGTGTAAAAGAACAGACTGCACTCCTACTATTATTAAAAATTATTTTATACAATTCGTGAAAAATTTTAGAAATTATATTAATTCAAACACGATTAAAATATCACTAATTCACCATCGCCGCTGCGGTTTCTGACGCCCATTCTTAATAATCAAATTAAAACTTAAATTATCGGCTATTTTGACGGTAATTTCAAGGTTACTGCGAGCGGTCAAAGCTCAGTGATCTGTCCCCGCGGCTTCACACGTCAAGTTTGGTCACAAGATAACGATAGCTTCGTACTCGTCGACCATCTTCTTGAAGTCGTCAAAGAACTGAAGTTCCTGACGCTATCTAGATTTAACTCTGCAACTGTGTAATTAAGTGACGTGATGCATATACTGTAATATGAATTCTCATAATTCTATTGTTGTCCTAATGCTCCACCCATAAAGATAAGTACCTAAATTTTAGGAATTACTTTCCAAGAAGTTGTTTTCCGTATGATCGTCGAGCACATTGCGATTGGAAACTGGTTAATTGAAAACTCGACTAGTTAAATCTTCCCATGCATTAACGGAGCCCCGGATACTTCTTTTATCTAACTAAGAGGAGTATACCTTCATGGCCTCCCGCGGACACTTCTACGGCCGGACTTGAGGCTGGTCTCCTAGGTTGAGTGAGCCTGAAATTTTTTCCACAGCTCGATGAAACTTTGAAAACGTGTTCAATAGAACCTAACAGTGATGTTTAGACCGTAATAATTTTTATCACCTTCGTTTGCCAGTTATACAGCAATGCGTCATTATGCGTGCCATAAAACAAAACTTTGAATATGCATTCCTAATCATATAACATCAATGTTTACCACGTCGAATGCTGCACGACCCATGGGCATTGTCAGATAGACAAAAAACATGGATGAATTCAACCAATAATTCAACCATGGCCCAAAAATTCCAAGTCTACGGATGAAAAGGCCTATAATTCAACATATACTACATTACATTTGTCGTTTACAGTGGAAAAAAAATTCCTTCTGTCCGCACTTTTTAAAATTTAAGGCGGTAGTCCTGCCATCATAAATTTTTGTCTACTAACGCAATTAAAAATAATAAATTGCGGAATTTGTCCGGAAAAAAAGACCCTGCAACCCACCGGTTGGTCGTGCCACCGTCTACGTGTTTAGTGGTGATTTTTTTTTCGATTTTTGCCTTCTTTTCAAGGTTATACGGTAGGTTTCGTTCAAAACCGTACAGTTTGATAATATATATATATTTGGCTCATTGTGAATTGCGGACTGTTTGACCAACTATAACTTAGAAACGATGGTAAAATAAAAAAATGATCAGGACCTTAACATCCTCATTATGGCCCACCATTTCGGCCTCTAAAATGCCGGTCGATTCTCCGTATAACTTGGGAACGAAGACGAAATCGAAACATTTTTCACGTGAATTACTATTCGTTGGTTAGGAATGCATATTTGAAGATTCGTTTAAATCGGTGCAGTATAAGATAAAATATATATTAGGCTCACTGCAAATTTCTACCAGCATGGTCGAATAACTAGCGAACGAACTTGACATAAAAAATATAACTCAGTACTCACTGCTGCATGTGAGTGACAGAGAGCGCATTTTCTCGTCGACGAAAACGTGAAGTCACGGACGGAACGACGGACATGACGAGCACAATAGTGCATTTTTTCCATAAATGAGAAAATGCGCTAAAAATGGTAACGACTAAAACATCACCGTTAGTTTCTATTGAACACGCATGCAAAATTTCATCTGCAATTGTTCCCTAGTTTAGGAGATATATTTGGCTCATTGAACCTTGGAGTCCGGCCGTAAAAGTGCCCGAGAAATACCATCATCCGCTGTCGGAGTATTTTACGGGATCTCGGACAGCGTTAGGTGCATGCTTTCAGTGTGACGGTGTGATGGGTTTCAATTTTCGCAAGATTGCAGAAAATCTCGACTGCACTATTGCATCAAATAATGATTGAATCTTCAATAACCATTCGCAAGTTTTAACGCGTTTGCTGCGACTGTAGTCAGAGAACGATGGGAGCGCAGCCGTACGTGCACCACCAATTTTGTGCACCAATAAGCCCTGAATCGAACGCCTTCGATCTCTCCGGACCTACACTAATCAGCCGTGCACCACTCGGCTTTGTCCTCTTCCGGCCTTGACCACCACCTGCCGTGCACCACCAGGCCGCGGATCGAATATGACTTCCAGGCATCGTTAAATTACGTAATTTTACGTTCACCGCATCTGAGGTTGGGTTTCAGATAGCATAGTTCTGTTCCAAAATTTATCGTCCTTCGACAAGTGGCCGTTCGACCGAGAGCTGGTTCGACCCACGGCCTAGATACGGACGGCTTGAAGTGTTGAAGGCTACGTTCCGGAAGGCAGGAATCATGATGGTCCATTACATCCAGGGCAGTGGTGGTCTTCGGCAGGCGACCCAGTTTTTGGTGTGCCCGAAAACGAAGATGAAGTCGCCACATTTAAATTTTTTGGCCTTCCGCAAGGCCACATAAGCACGGTAATTCTACAGCAATGTAGAAATAGATAGTTTTCTTTAATTCACAAGGTGTGTTGCATCACGTGTAAGACGAAGTAAAAAATTTAGAATATTGTCTATCCAAACGCATAGGTGCATTCTATGCGTTTAATTCATGCTTTCATGCCAAAACACAACATTTCCGTAGTTCATTTATGTAGTTACACAAGTCACATGCTAAAAATGCTGCTGGAAGTGATCCGATTCAGGTCACGAGAAGATATTTCATACAGAATGATGTGGACAGGTTAACCTTTCCAAAAACTGCACTTTAGTTCAGTTGTGTTTCGTTTTTTTTCGATGGTTTTTCGAAAGAGCTGAGAGATTATTTAGAAGGAATTCAAGTTTCTGATCAGAAAGAAAATTGTGTATGCAGGTCAAAGTTTCGACAATTTTTAAACACCTCGGGCGGAAATTCTTATATAACAGCAGAGCTTCCGAAATATCTAGTATATATTGCAATCTGTGATTGTGCACTCACCATCGACGCACCATGACACCGGCGTGCTCACAACAGTCATGGATATACCGTCCTGAGTGTGGCTATACCGTCCCATGTCTACGAGAAGAAAATTGAAGTCAACATTTACGTTTTTAATTACAGAATTGGTTTATACATTATACTCTACATGATATATATTTTTTATTCGTCTTTTCCCTCACGTTGTGCGATTATTATTTTATGATAAATTAGTATTCACTTGTGACTCTATTTTAAGGTATTTCACTTAATATGAATTTTTCCATTTCCAGGTTGCCAAAGTACGGAAAAGTAGCGAAGTCATAATATAAAATATTCTTAATTCAGAAAATAATAAAGGTATTTAAATTAAACAAAATTTACAGTATTTGATAACCATATGACCAGAACACGAGCACTTGAATTCCTTTACATAAGATTTTTATAAATCGTATCACTCTTCAATGCTCAGTTTTGCTCATTGAAATGATCGTACCTCAAAACTTTCGGTCTACTGGAAATCAAGCTGTTGCCTGTTGTGTACATTAAGTATCTCAAAAATCACCCTGATCGTTGTATGAAGTAATAGGATATTCCGGCTCTCAACAGCGCTTCTCGAGTCCTGGAGAAACATGAGCTGATTCCACAGCCGGTCACCCTGCCTTTCACTTCTGACAAAAGAACCTCAAAAAAATTCCCTCATTTCACTGCAGTCACCAGATCCGAATCAATGCATAAAAAAAGTGGCCCAGTACCGTCCAACAGTCGCCGTTCTTCTCTTGCTCGTACGAACTCTCATCAGCTAATATCTGGACTTCCTGAAGACTTTCCTAACGCTGGCCGACGCAGGCCCAGTGTAAACAACCCTCAAGATCCCGGCCTCAGGCAACACCCAAACGCTGACTCTGGCCAAGCCTGCCAGCAAGACCCTCAACATGACAGAAAAGTTTACGTGGCCAAAACGAGCTGGAACAGAAGTGGTGATCTCAACGTAGCTCAGTTCGAGAAACTGGAGCTGATAAACAGGCAGGAAGACAACAGATACTTCATGAGGAGCCTGGTTACGGGCTCCAAGGGGGCGCTGCCCCGTAACGTTCTAACGCCGGAAGTAGATCTCAGCAGGGCAGAGTGAGTCAAGCGTGTGGTCTTCTTCGGTTCTTCCAATGTTGATATCTATTCATATTCATTATTAAAAAAACTACGTACGTCATGACTGACATGACATTCAAACATTTTTTTTTGTTACCACTTTTTCATATGTTTCTCGATGAATAAACAACGAAATTAATCAAACGTTCTCTAGTATCTTATGACTCGACAGGTGGTACTTTGGTTCAACCAACCGCCAGGATGCAGAGTCACACCTGAAGAATTCGGGCACGATGGGCAGTTACCTCATCAGGCGTAAGGCCTTCAGCACTCGAGACTACGCTCTGTCCGGTGAGCTTCCTCGGATAAAATCGAAGCTGACGATTTTCAACGAAAAAACTTAACCCTAAAAACCATTTTCAGAATTGAATAATTTTGGTATACAAACCGACGATTGTAATTTTTTTATGAAATGCATGTAGGTACACGGTTTTTCTATTTAGGCGCTAATTAATATGTAAAATAATTATGGAATAAAATATTCGAAATACTACTGGAACCAAATTACATCCATTGTCTTGCATGAAACTTTGGATTATCAATACTTGAAGCACAAATCATTGTGAACAATAGTGCTGGACGGCCGCAACGTACATCACTACGTCATTCGGGAGCACGACACCGGCGGCTACTTCATCGAACGCTCGGTTCCCTTTGCGACTCTCGACGAGCTCATCGTACACTACAGCAGTGACGGAACAAACCTCTGCACGAGACTGGTCATTCCTTGTAGTAAGGTTAGCTACTATTATATTTCTTTAATTATAATCCTCGTTATAAAAGTTTTGACTGGTTGTCACTTGTATAAATGATACCAACTCTTATATGCCAATCGTTATAATTCATTTTATGAAAAATTTGACTGGTTATCCCATTTAGTTAGCTTTGCAGCTACTCGTATTTTGTCATTCATTATAAGTCATAATATGCAATGTGACACCTCCCAAGTGTTACATTTCATTCACTATGATTCAAGTTATGAAAGTTTCCACTGGTTATTTCTTGCAGTGAGATCCACCACTGTTATTGTAAGTCTTTCATTTTAGATCGCATTATAACAGTTTCGGCTGTTTATCCCCTGCAATAAGGTTAAACCTTTATTACTAAAAGTCATTTATTATAAATAATTTTTTTACAATCTAAAAATTATCGAAAATAATTGCGAATCAGTCGAGGCATTAAGTCAGACTGTTCAGTGGGTGTTCATTCAGAAATAGACATTTTTTCATCAAAATTTTTAAATTGAAATAAAATAAATCATAAAAACATTGTGTTTTTTTAAATTATCCATCTATGTTGAACCCTCAATTAAATCATTATATAATAATATTATGTTTTGAAAGGCATCATCATTACCTCACAGAAAATGACATTTTATGTTCAGATAAGGTTCCATCACCATAAGTATCATGGATACACAATCAAATAATCTTTAAATATTAACTATGCCAGGCTTCCAAAACCTTACCGCACCCACACTCAATAAAATGATATACATTTTTGTTTCCAACACGCCACTGCACACGCACTATAAAAAAACATGAAATATCTTATATGTATCTAAATTATTATAGATTTATATATAAAATAGGTTTTGGAGCGCGTCATCCCCATGGATCCCCGGTGGGAGCTTGACCGCAACAACATCCGACTGGAGACAGAACTTGGCAAAGGACAGTTCGGAGTTGTCAGGAAAGCCACGCTGACTGTAAAAAGCGATAATGGCGATGGCATAAATTCCATCCAAGTTGCAGTCAAGGAGCTCAAGCGAGGTAGGGCTGACCAACCTGTGATTGTTTCTAAATAGTATGACTTCAACAAGAATATCATATTCTATATCATAAGTGAAAGAATTTAACGTCTCCAAGATCAAAAACTATTAGGGAATTGATTCGGTGCAACGTACTGTAAAGCAGGCGGAGAATCACAATGAATAGGACCATCGATTGGATCGTCGTTTTCTTAATATTTTCTTCGTTGATATTTGGTAGAATAATTTTCTGGATTGTTATTAAAGTCGTCAATGACTTCAAATCTTACATGTTTTTTTTGGCCGTTGTTTTAGTCTCCATTTCGTTTCGTTGTTTGTTCTAAAAAAAAGGGTCGGCGTCTGAATTCTTAAATGAGGTCAGCAACCTGAAGAACCTTCAGCATGAGCGACTGCTGCAGCTCTTGGGGGTGTGCACTGACAAGGAGCCATACTTCATCGTCACCAAGTTCATGAAAAATGGCGCTTTACTCAATTACCTAACAGGTCGGACGATTTGTGCTTGGTGTTCTTGCCAAATTAAGTGTATTCTTATTTATTTAGGCTTAGTCCCAATTTAGGAATAGGCTGAATTCTCACTAAGCATAAAGATATATATGATCCGTGTATCTTACAAAGTATTTAATCCAGAAGGCACAGTACGTACATATATATGCTTCTCAAGCGCAACGAATCTAAAATAGTTAAGACTTCATTTCATTTTCTTTCCAAAGTCTTTCGGGATAAAATATTCTCACAGGCACTCGCCAGTAAAATTTGCACATATTTCTGTTCATTCCTCAGGACCCGGTAAAAAATCATTGAAGGAGGAGTTGTTATACTTCGCCCTGCAAGTAGCAGAAGGAATGACGTACTTGGAATCAAAGCAATACGTTCACAGAGACCTTGCCGCGAGAAACGTCTTGCTCGACCATCAGCTCAACGTTAAAATTGCAGATTTTGGTCTTTCTAGACTTTTGACAGTAAGATCTTTCAATTTTAATCGTGCTTTCGGGCTATTTTTATTTCGAAATTAAAATCTGAAACGCATAGTAACGAACGATTAATGTATTTAGTGTCACATTATATTCAGTATTTCTCCCTATGATGTATAGAGTTCAAGCCTTTTGGTATCGCATAGAACAAACGTTAGGTAGATCACAATTGAACTATAGGATCTATAATCAGATTTTCGTTTGCAAAATCAATAAAAATAGCTATAGTTCTACAACGTACATAGTCTTGTGTAAACATTTTTGATTTCGATAGGATCAGCACAAATCGGGGCAAGAAAATAGCCGGCTACCAATAAAATGGACGGCGCTCGAGGCTCTCTTAAAAGGCGAGTTCAGCAGCAAAAGCGACGTGTGGTCTTTCGGTGTGCTTCTCCACGAGATCATGTCCAAAGGCGTGACCCCATACAAAGGTAAGCCCCCACCAGGAACGATGACTTGTATTATTCTATTATAATTACTACCGGCTTAACACGTTGTCACTGAAGGTAACTTTAGTTACCCAGACCTCTACTTGCCACGTCATGGTTAATGAATCCGTAATCTACGAAATGATTCAAGTCAGTAAAGTCTGTGCTTGTAGTGTTCGCTAGTCTCAACCACAAGTCGCTCCCAAGTTACATTCATCCTGCTCAAGGTGTTAATAAAAAGTTTTCTTGTGAATAGTGAGAAATATACTCAAATACGTTACAGTAAAAATACATATCATTACAGAATAATGCATAAAATAATAATCCCGGAGGTAGAAGGAAATGTTAAGTTTCCGAAATGTAACTTAGGAGTGCGTTACTCACTTCCCTACAGTTTAACTCCATTTTCCGGGAACTAACGGAAGGTATAGAACTCGTGTACATACGATCAAAAATTTTATTCTACAAATTTAAATTGATATCCGTTTTTGCAGAGATGAACAACAATGAAGTGATAGAATACCTTAAAAAGGGTAAAAGGATGTTCCAAGATCCTAGCATCGATGACCGCTGCTACAACATCATGCTCTCGTGCTGGTGTCCCAGGCCCGAAAACCGGCCCACGTTCTTCAACCTACGAGAGCAGCTCACCTATTATATTAAGGATGAAAAACAGCATAGAATCGCTTATGCATTTGATGCAAACTGCAATTTTTAACTAGTGCTGAAATTGGTTATTGATAAACGTCGATCAAATGTGTGTCAAGAATACATTTATTCAGTATGTCTGAGTCAACATTTGTAGCTTATTTATATTATAACAATGTTCAAAATCTATTAAGTGATGAAGCAACTTTCAGCTCAATTGGCAAATTGAACGTTCCATATGGGACATTTCATGTTGCAAGTACAAATTCTGCCCGTTTGATTAGTTTCTCTTGTGCTGCATCTTAAGACCGAATTCCACTTTGCTTCACAGTCATCTTGCATTCAGAGCCTAAATATACGAGAGTCGCATTAACTATGCATCGTACTTATAACAAAACAACAACAATATAATAGCGGTTTCAGCATTTATTAGGCCGTAGGCCTGTTGCCGATTCTTAATATCGCAGAACATTCACAGCTTGTTGCGGTCTCGAACTTGCAACTCACAGTTACAATTCTGATGTGCTTTAATTAACCGCCCGGCCTCCTCGCCGATACTGATCAGAAACTGGCGCACAGAGCTGGGATCGAACCCGCGCCTCTCTGCTCTAATTTTGGTACTCTGAACTCTAACCACTAGGGTACACTGGCACCGAGTACTTACTTGCACTCATGTTGTTCTTATTTTGTGTTGTTTCGATCCCTGATTGTATAATCATACAAATGAGTGGTAATTCTCGAACGCCTAAATGTAGCATTACGCTGGGTGCCGGATGTGGGCACTATATGTAGTCATAGGAGTGATGGTTAAATTGAATTCACAATGGGTTACTTCACACAAAAAATTTAACTATTTATTTACTGGGAGCGCAGCCGTGGGTAACAAAATTGACTCGTAAACAGGCCCTGGGCCTATCGCCAACCATCAGCATGCAATATCTACACATAGCCTCAGATCAATGAGCTGTGGGTAACTCCGACTAACAGTAAATCCGCCGTAACTGCTTCACAGTACGGAGTAATAGTAACTGCTTCACAGCGCCGAAGCCCAACAGGCGGCGCAGGTTAGGTTAGGTTATGTTAAGTTACGTTAGGAGTAGCTGTTGCGGTAAGGCCTGTTGCGCTCCGGCCAGTTGTGCTCCGGCCTGTATGCGCTCCGGCCTGTGACTGAACGGTGCTGTTGTGGTGGGCGCTTTGTGAAGCGCCCAAGTGCTTTGTGGTGGGCAAAAGCCGTGAAGATGCCCGGCTGCGTTACGCTCAGGAAGGTATATGAATCGCACTGTGGACTTGGGCTATGCTGACCTCTAGCTATCCACCCTATTTACCTAACTACTTCATCATTGCCTGCGATTCGTATTCAGAATATTATATAAGATATTATTTATACCATTCATGTGACAAATAATTTTATTTCGTGTCCTTTTTATATATAAATTTTAGTTTATCCTGCGTCCGTCTGCAGATTCATTTTTGGTACGATGGTTATGTAGTTTCTGTGTAGAAATGATTGTTTCCGATAATCAATGTTGAAACTACATTGTGGATAAATTCTGGAATTTTGTAGGTTCTTGCACTTAAGCATATATCTAGCTTGTTAACAATTATTTGCTGAAACTCGGTGTGACATGGAACAAAAGTGCAGCGTTTGATCGAGTGATTTGATTTCAATAGTTTGAAGTTGAAATATTTAAAATTTAACAATGTTTAAAACGAACAATTTTGAATGAGCGAATTCTTATGAGACGTAATAAACAAAATAATTCCCATGATATAACATTTTTTCGTAAATAATGATTAGCTAGACTGAATAGATAGAATTTAGATCGGATACACTGTTGGGACTTGTATGCATATGTAATTATGATTGATTTGTATCAAGTTAATCATGAAAAGATCCGGTGTAGAAATGCATAACCGTTTCAATCAGGCGTAAATATTTAACAATCCTACACTCCTAAGGTCGCTGTAACTTCATGGTCTTTGCTAATGAGCTCATCCTAGGACCACGTATTAATCATTCTCGAAAACACATTATGCAATTATGAATATACCGATATCTTATCAAAGTACTATATTTATTCGTATTTTGTCATGTTTAGTAAACTTTACGATCGATATTATAGGAATAATTACACTTTCTGAAGATTCAATTGGAAAGGGCCCAAGCGAACGATCAGGCATCATTGTCCGAGGGAGGCTTTCTCCCGAAACTTGAAAAATTTTCAAGAAAAATCGCCTTAATTTTAAAACTTAGTTATCATTCGTTATTCTATACGAACTGATTCAGAAAATGTGCATAAGTTCTGCAGGATTTCTTCTTCTTCAGAAATGTAGTAGAATTTAATGAGTGTGCTTCTCTAAGCTGTAAATACTTAAAAGTCTTACCTGACTCTGTAAAAACTGCAAAAAATTTATTCTGTTGCAAACATATCCATTCTAGGGTAAAAAAAATACCTACCTAAAATTTTTCCCCATGTCGTACTCTTTAGGTCGTATGTAACACGTTTGTGCGCTGCTTCACGTTCAATGGTGGAATACTCAAGCTCTCAAAATCATCCCGACGGATGGGATCATGGGGTCGAGGACATTGTGATTTGTGAAGCTAAAGCCCTGCCAAGTTAACTGCTCTGGAAATCATAGAAACCAGTGATGACTAAGCAAACTTGAAAAGAAGCGTTGAAATTGCCGTGTCCAGGTGTGACATTTACAGTGACAACTGACCAGTTGGGGTCCTTTACGACGCCTGAAAAAGATATCAGCAATTCAGCTTTTCAGCATCATCATCAAAATCATCCGTGCGGGCAGCGCGGTTGTCCTGAGGCTTTAATTCCACTCGGCGTAGAAACCCTAAAAAAAATATAACTCAGACCTCAGTAGTCAGTAGGTAGCTACCCACCGCAGCCAGTGTGAGTGACAGAGCCGTCAGAGCGCATTTTCTCGCCGACGAAAACGTGAAGTCACGGACGGACGGACACGACGAGCACAATAGCGTCTTTTTTTCCATAAATGATTAAATGCGCTAAAAAGTAAAAAGGTCTGTCAATGGTGCCGCATATAGCGTGTTTGAAATTTGTATGTCAGTACTCAGTAGTCAGTACTCAGTACCTAAACTCTCTAGAGTCTAGACTCTAGACTCGTAGCCCGTAGACTCACTAGACTGTATTGTAATGGTAATTTTAACTTATTTTCCAAGCTGGTCAATGTTACCCTGTCACGGCTGCAGGGTTGGCGATTTTTTTAAAGAAATCAAAAATCAATGATTTTTTTGATTTTTCATGATTTTTTTGATTTTTTCAGTTTTTTTGTCTTTTTGAAGTGTAATTTTTTATGTTGCAATTAGCCTATCAACAATAACAGCATAGGGTAAACGCGGTATATTCCGACACTTTAAGGACGCATCGAGAAATGAAAAACTATAAAAAAAAAACCGTATGCGTTACGTAAGTTCTGTTCAGGATGGAATTCTAATTTTGAAGGTTCATATATTATTTCGATCCACCAAGACCACTTTTTCTATCCAACATTGTTATTTGAGGCAAAAAATGAACTTCTTAAAGGCATAAAATACATAGGCTAACTTGCTCAGTTTCTATAAAGTACCTAACCACTTGGAAGTTTTATGCCTGCACCTTTCACTCAACAATTAATTTGGAACCTAATACACACTAAAGGCAAGTTTATATACCAATTTGTCATTCATAGTACATTTATACTAAACCATGAATAACAATACCTCAATATAAATTAAAGACTGCCACTCAATATATTCAATTATATGAAAAAATCAAAAAAATAAAAAAAATCATGATTTTTTTATAAAAAAATCAAGTGATTTAATCACATGATTTAATCATTTTGATTTAATCATTGCCAACCCTGTATGTAACTAGAAGAGTTCTACTACAATGCATCAAAACCTGAAGTTATTTTGCCAAAAAATAGAAAAATTGGAGGGGGTACCATCAACCGAGGCTACTTGGGACGGGCGGGGTAACTCGGGACAGTCCTCGGACATGGTGTAAAACTGTTTTAGTAGCATAACTAATTGGAATATTGCAAAACTAAATATAGTGGCATAAACTTCAACATTTTTCCTATCTATGTAGTATAAAAGAAGTTCAAAAAATAGTAAAATACTACATTCACTAGCTTTGAAAAATTTCTGAAAAAAATGGTGAAAAACAATATTTTGAAAAGTTACTTCTTCTAAGGTCTGTAGTAAAAAAAAATATTCACCGTATTAAAAAATTTTACTCACATAAAAGTTGCACCCAGGTGTCGTCTTGAAAACATAATTGACAGATTTTGTCTATCTCAATCAAAAAAAAATGGAGGTCATTTCTGCATGGCGGGGCTACTCGGGACACCCCCTTGGGGCTATTCGGGACACCCCCAAAAGTGCATTTACAGTAGAACCTCAATTAGCAAAGGCTCCAGTTAAGAAAAAATTTGATTAAAAACAAAGAATATTGATTACATTTACTTTACTGAGCGAAAAAAGATCACTTATTGAAAAATTAGTGCATCATTGGTCATCACAAAATTGTGCATAGAATGTCATATTTAGAATTGTGCACCTCACAGAATGAAAAGTAATTGACCTAAAGTCCTAAACTATGATTTATTTCTCCAAAACATATGATGGTTGTCACTAAAACATTCCTTTCTGTTTCAGGTATGTTTTTCACAATCTTTTAAGCGCATTTTCTCATTTATGGAAAAAATTCACCAATGTGCTTGTCATGTCCGTCTGTCTGTCCATCCGTCCCTGACCTCAAGTTTTCGTCCATGAGAAAATGCGCGCTGTCACTCACTGCAGTGAGTACTGAGTTATATTTTTTTATAGTAAATAATTCACTGAACCCAATTAAAATGGTGTGAAATTACAAGCTGTCCTGTAAGCTTACAGTTACAGAAAAAATGCTATAAGGCTGCTGATATGAAGCTTTCAGTGTACAAGGTTGTTGTAAATGCTCAATGACATGTTCATGGATATGGTAATATCGCATCAATAATACGGTACCGTCAACTGGGGTGACTTTGGCCGCCGGTTGACTTCGGCCCCGTTTTTTATTTTGTTTTGCAAACAAAAGTGGGGTCTTAAACGATGGCCAAAGTCACTCCGGCGTTTATGACCTCGTTTATGACCCCGTTTTTGTTTGCAAAACAAAATAAAAAACGCGGCCAAAGTCACCCCAGTTGACGGTAATTAATGTTTATGGTAATATATCAATAAAGGAAAAACGAGCAAAAATCACAGAAAATGTCATTTATTCTACATCTACATCATCTACAATGAAAGAGGAGGACTTCAGAGTATTGTTAGTAATGGATGAGTACACTCTGCATGCTTCAAATATTTTAAAATGAAGTTTTATTGCAAGTGTCCTGAGTAGCCCTGTTCGACGGGGCTACTTGGGACACTTTTTTTTGCTTCTGACACCTTACGAATAGCATATGGAATTTTTTTGACAATGCCATTCGGAAGCACTCGCAAAGAGCTATAAAATGAGCCTTAACTTGTTTATGAAATGTTTCATAGTAAGAAGTTATTAACAGTTATTAACAAAAAACGCTCAAAACTGTCCTGAGTAGCCCCGGTTGACAGTACTCCAACAGGCTTTGAATAATAGCTCTTTTTCGTGGGCCACATTTTTAATTTTTTAACCTATTAGATATGCAACCTTTTTAATCTATCTATTGTGTTACATGGCCTCAGTATTAGGCCTTTAATGGCCATTGACAAAAATTTTCTATGTCAAATAGTTTTTGAGTTTTGGGGGTTTTTGTTAAAAAAATGAAAAGTGGTCAAAGTTGCCCCGGGAGTCAAAGTAACCCATTTTACAGCAACATAGTAGTTTAAAGATAATACGCACACAAATAGAACATAACAGAACAGAAAAACCTTAAGTGTCTTATAAAAAATACAAAAACTAATCCTGCTAAGAGTGACTGCTAAATTTTCAGCCCAGTTGCCACATACAAGTTTTTATAGAAATTAATCCATCACTCTTCACCTTGAGCTAATATGAATGAACAATTATTCTCCTCACTGTATAAAAAACATATGAATAATGAAGGAACTGTCTGTCTTTACCAATTTTGTCAATAACTTGACATTGTCAATAACTTGACTTGATAAGAACTTGAATAATGTAGGCAGTTAAGTGCAAGATGCATCACTTCTATCATTCAGCTTCTGAAAGTGCAGGATATAAAAAAATATAACTCAGTACTCACTGCAGTGAGTGACAGAGAGTGCATTTTCTCATCTACATCAAAACTTGAGGTCACGGACAGACGGACATGGCAAGCACAATAGTGCATTTTTTCCATAAATGAGAAAATGTGCTAAAAACAGTTCAGTTTAGTCTCACGAATCCTGAAAGAAATATTCTCACCAGAAATTTTCATTTATTCAAACATTAACAGTACATGTTTTAACTGTGCAAGCTCTAAATTTATCCATGTATAATTATATCCATAATCATTGCCTTCCTTAGAAAAATAAATTTTCAGGGAAATAGTGGAATGAAAATTTAGCAAATATATGAACTTGAAGAAAGTGGAAGGAGGCACACAGATGTGCCAGGAAGAGAAAACAAGGAGCCATTCAAAGCGACTCTCATGTGTCGTGATGTAATGTAAACAATGCGACAAAGAGTGAGATACTTGGTTGTTGGGCAACGAAAAGAAGTAGAGTAAACTTGCAGAATTATGTTATAAAATGTGTTAGTGAAGCATTTAAAGTAAAACAATAGATGAAATAAGGTCAATGGATAATATTTTTATTTCATAATTGTACTGTGGCAATCGGTGTTTTGGTGTACTTTCTTTATCTCTGCTTCTGTAAAAATTGTTACCAAAGGTTCAAGAATGTTGCCAAATGTGTTGCCAAAATCTTCTGTTGACAGAAATTGAGCCGCCGATGAATTGAATTGTGCCGCTGATGAATTGTGCCGCCGATGAATTGAATTGTGCCGCTGATGAATTGTGCCATCTCTGAAGATCTTCATTACTCTCTGCACCCTGGACTTTTGAGTCCTATCAGTAGACTAGTAATATATCATGGATACCAGCTTTATTTCCTTTATTGATGTATTACTTATCCACATATTACTGTATTATTGATGTGATATTACCATATCCATGAACATGCCATTGAGCATTTACAACAACCTTGTCCGCTGCAAGCTTCATATCAGCAGCCGTATAGCATTTCTTCTGTACCTCTAAGCTTTCAGGATGACTTGAAATTTTGCACCATTTTAACCCATTAATGCCGAGCGGTTCCATTTGGAACCAGCGGAAAGAAATTGATTCATAATAAAATTGTATGGTCAAATCAATATACTAGTGGATGCGTAGGTTTTATACACATCTTGGACGTATTCTGGCAACGTTTGGTTCTGCTGCGCCGACTACTCCCTGCTCAGTTAACATTAAAAGATTGTAAGTACAGGGTGTCAGACAGAAGGGCTTGACATCATTGCAGAAAAAGGTACGTAGTTTGTTCTAAGAATATATTATTTATAAGTTAGATGCAGAATTTTATCGATAAAGAGAGTACTTTTAATTCTGTATATGGTATTACGTGATATAATGTTTCTAAAGTCATTTGGATCATGAAATATTTTGTCTGGTTCCAAATGGAACCGCTCGGCAGTAGTGTAAGCATTCCGGTCATATCATTTTCCCAGTAGATTACTTTGTGATATAGTTACGCATTGTATACCAAAAACTTGTTTGTATTTAGAAATTATTTGTTTAGATCTTAGATCTAGTTTTTCCGTTATTTATTAGTGAACTATTACCTTTAGAGCTGTTAGGAGTATATATCCCGAAAGTTGATATATTTGGAATTAGGTACGTACGTAGAACACTATACGATTTTTCATCCAAGTCACTTTTTTCTAGTTGTATTTTTGGCAGATCATCACATGAAATAATTAAGATTTCGAGAGAAGAATAACACGAAGATCAAATATTTCCGACTGAACCTTTCACAGAAGCAGCAACAAACGAAACATACTGAGATTCAGATAACTCAGATGACGCAGCCACTAGCAATTATGCTCGCCTATCGAGAATAGTCATTGTAGCAACAGTAATCGCCAAATGTGAAAACAATGACTATCAACAGAGAAGAAAGTCATCTGTGGTCGACATGGCCACATTATACTACGACATATACGTGGCTAGCCCGTGAGATTTAGTTATAAACTTTGGGCAGCAGATAAATAGGATGATATTTTTCTGCTATTGAAGCCAATCGGCGGATCTAATAGAAAAAGAAACTTATTCATGGGCTGGAACATGGATTGGTCCCATAAACACGATACAATTGGTCCCAAGCTAACATATTATATGTGATATCTATTCTGGTTTCATTTGGCTTCTCAAAAAACTTTTGAAAAAAAAAGAATGGCTATTGCAATAAATTTTCAAAAATATCGGATAGGAAATGCAATAATGCAGGAAACCCTAAGTAAAACAATCAGGGTCTATAGTGCACCCTTCTACTTCGATCCTTGATGAAGTGCAATACAACAATCAACAACATCGGCCAGCAAAATCAGAAGCACTGCAAATGCAGTGCTTCGTAAACAATGTAGACAACGCACCCACAAACATTCGTAAAATGGGCAACCTTCCTATTCATTTTGAATGAATGGAAGCATTCTATGCTAAAAATTGAATTGTATTCTGCCATGATTGGTTTATCATCAGTATTGTCCATTATGAATACGTATACTATTACGTATTATCCATTATGAACAACCTTGCTTGATTTACTATCGGAAAAAGTGTTGTTTGAAGAAACGTTATGTTAATGCCGAGCGGTGCCATATGGAACCAAGCTATAATTTTTCACATACAACGAAAAATAAATATGTGAACATACTTTTTGCTTATTACCATCACAAATGATAATATTCTCACAAGGAACCGAAAAAAAATTCAGAAAATAATTCTCGTCATTAATGGGTTAATTGGGTCAAGTGAATTCACTATAACAAAAAGAAAAAATCGTAAAAACATACCTGAAACAGAAAGGAATATTTTAGTGACAACCATTATATTTTTTGAAGAAATAAATCATAGTTTAGGTTAGTTACTTTTCATTCTATGTTGCCCTGTGCACAATTCTATCTATGACATTCTGTGCACAATTTATGTGATGACTAATGAAGTGATGATTAGATTTTGCTTAATTTTTTGGTAAGTGAAATTTTTTCACTGAGCGAGGATAAATGTAATAAAAATTTTTTGTTGTTAATTGGGACATAATTTCATAATACTTGGAAATATGATACAAAACAAAAAATTTTCATGTTGTATCCTATTTACTTGTAAAAAATTAAAAATTTCAGTTTAACTTGACAATTCTATGATTTATTTTTGGTGAATTTTTAAGCTTGGACTAAAATAAAGCTTATTCAAGGAACTTTATCTGGGTGTAATATTAATAAACTGTATGTATCTAATTGTGGGATCATTTAACCCAAAGTCTATTTGGTTTCCAACAGAGTATGAAAAACTTACTACTGATATCATAACTACTACTGCAATTGATTTGAATTGTTTTCATCAAGTCCAAGATTTACTCCAAAATTTAGAAGAGCTCACAGATTTTTTGTTTCTCTTTTCATGAAAATAGCAACCGTATCAAGAGAGCAGTAAACATGTCTTCAGAACCAGTGATGCTGCGTTACACAGATGAGACCCCCATTGCTGACAAGTCAACAATGGAGGCCTGCAGTGGTGCTCGTGCTGACCTCAAGCATTGTCTCCTGAACTCAGACTGTTGCAAGATAGAGAAGAAGACACCCCGGCAATGCCTGGCAGAGAACCACCCATCCATCTCTCAAGATTGTCGTTCTTTGCTCAACACATTTTTTGAGTGTAAACGATCTTTGTTGGATTTTCGGCAGCGATTTCGAGGCCGTAAAGGATATTAATAATTTGACATTTACCAAATTTGTCATGGAGCTATCTTTATAGGAATTGTGAATTGACTATGCTGTGGAAGGTTAAAACTTGCTCTTCCGGGCTTATACAAATTTCTATTCATGAACAAATGACAATTTGATTTATAACTGAAAAATTTCCTATGTTATCTTATGTTGATGCATTTGAATTAATAAATTGAGCTATTCTATAAAAATTTTTGTCATGCCAAATTTCCATAGAGGGAAATATTAATTAATTTGATTAGTTATTATTATCATCCCTCTGTTTGTTTTCAGCATATTTTGTTAATTGGAAATACATGCAACTGCTGGGGAACTTCTTGAGGCGCCAGCATGGATTAGAAACTGTGTAGAAGTTTGTGCTCTATGCCAAAAAATTAAGTACAGTGTATATCAATGTATATAAATGTATACATGTTGTCTATTCTTAAATGCAAACGTGCACTGGCCCTATAATTTCCTCCTTGTAAATAAAAATAAAGATTGATGAGAACATTATTGAGTAGGGAAAATTTTCATTTTTGTACTTTTTCAATATAAATTTGAACTTGAATTTTATTTGATTGAGTTTCTTGACAGTATTGTCTTGGGTTTTTAAATTATTCTATGTCATCCAAGTAGTAAAAAATCTGGCTCTTTGTTCAAGGGATTATTTAGAATGTTAACTTATAGATGTCTGAAAACACAGAATGAACAATTTAATACCAAGTTTAGGGTAATCTTGATTATGAACAATTTAGAAGAACATAATCAAAGGATGACTAAATATTAACATACCAAACAATCGAGGGTGAAGCCTGGTTACTGACTGAATTTGGTTTAAGCTCATCAGCTCTAGTCCTATCCTAAATGGTACGTACCAAGTAGTACAAGGTAGACAAACACTGCATAGGTACGAAAAATCTTTATACAAGTATATAAACATATGTCTGTGTGGGAACTGCATGATAATTTCAGTAGTAGTTTTTACCAGCTTTTGTAATGATTTCTATTTTGTGAATTTTTTTTTATATATCATTGTCATAGTTAATCAAGGTTTTGGCCTCTATAGGGTTTATAATGGTTAATTTTAAATTTTTTCTATTTATAGTATTTAAACATTATTGCCCCCTTCAAGCCAGTGAAAAAAATTGAAATGTTATTTTTGCTTGGTATTTTGTAATTAATAAAGTCATACATAATAAATTTCTCATGTCTTTCCATCCATAGAATTGCTAGGAGGTCCTAACATCATGCCTCCACAATTTAGTCGAACAATTTGGATTCCCAAAAAATCTAACCCGAAGGCTCTCAGATCACGTACAAATGTCATACAAGTTGCTTTGAATGGAACACCTAGCCAGGAAGTTCTGGCCCAACTTGAACAAGCAAAGAAAGAGAACAAAGAAAAAGCTAGTTATACCTTGGATCAGCTTATAAGTAGGAGTTCTAGATTTGTTGCAAAGTTCCCATGTGCTAATGTCAAGGTGGAAAGTATCATGCATAAGGTTAGTACTGGTATCTATTTCTAGCAGCTATCTCATCACTTTCATTTTTCTGCAATAAATTCCAATCTTGCATTTAAATTTTCCATCTCTTATGTTAATATTGCTGTCTTATCATCCATGACCATTATAAAGTCTATTAAGATTCCTATTTATTGTATTTCTTTTAAGCATTCTTCAGTGTGATTTCCCTAGAAGTGCACCAGATCAGGGGTTCCATATTTGAAAATAACTAAAATAACATTTCAAGTGCATGGTAGGTGAGTTAACATGTTAGATCTGAATATTATTGGTTCTTCTTGGTTAATGGGCAGCATGTCCTCAATTCACTACCATGTTGGAAAACATAAAATAGTCTGTCTTATGAAAACTGTTGACAGCTTGTTTTTTTATGTAATATATGATAAATGGATGATGCATTGCGTAAAAGAACGGTTCTCTTTGAGCAAAAACCTTTTTAGAATTTAGTGTAGATTATGTGTAGTAGTTGTGAATTTTTAACCTGCTCGCTACACTAAAATCCACTCAAATAATCACTGTTTCTACAGCAAATCTGGTATTCACAGTGTCGTAGTAATTGCTCTAACCACAGTATCTACAGTAATTCTTAATTATAATCACAGTGTCTATGGTAATTCCTGTATTCACAGTGTCTACTAATGCTATAGGCAGTAATCCTGGAAGGCAGTAATGATATTTACCCAACAGCTGGGAGTGCCAGGAGAGGTGCTGGAAAAGCACATGCTGTCGGTGTACCCTATCATCCACCACATGTGCCTCAACCTCCTCGTTGACTTCCTCCAGTACAAAAAGCTTCATGGATCCTCCATTGAAAAGTAAGCCTCAAATTTCCCAATCGTATTTTGTAGCATTTATTTCTCCATATGAGTGTTCTTACACTGAATTTCTGATGTTATTTGAATCAGTTGTAGTACTTTTTAACATATCTAAGATGTCTATTTATTGGTTTTTTAGAATGTTAAGAATTCTTTTTCATTTATTTTGAAAATAAATTGAAATTAAATCTGTTATGTGCATAATAATTTGTGGTACAGATCCCTCTATGCTTCGATGGACATCTTGGCCTTCGTGGATCGGCTGCTCAAGAGGCGACCCATGAGCTTCCTGGGCGCCAATGACCGCTACCTCTTGCCACCTCCTCATCGTAAGAGAGGATCTGGTGGCTTTGAAGCAGTCGGCACTACCAGAGAGAAACACCCTTTAAGTCTTGTAAATTATTTGTCCTATGACGAGATGAAGGTTTCTGCTCTGCTTTCAATGTCTAGTTGGTCTTGCTTCATCAATAACGGCCGACGAAAGAACTATGGTGCTCTGGACGCGAGAGGAACATTTGAAGAAGAAGGCGTGATTGTGGGGCAAGTTGGTGCTCGACTTAAAAGAGAACGCGTCATGGAGTATGCTGATTGTGTTGTGACATCTAGTCAGAACCGTCCGGAGCTTGGTTATGGTAATACAAAATCTCCTCACATTAATTATGTCTGGGGTAAATTCTGGGGAGGCCCACTTCCAACTTACCGAGATGCTAACGCGGTTTTGCAAATGCAGCCACATGAACATCAGTCATCCCCTTTCGAGTACGCTGCTTTTGGCGGTAACAGTATCTTCAACATCACGGTGTACAAGAAGAGAATTGCCATCACTGCCGAGATTTTGTTGTGTGAGGCCAACAGCCGCGCGCAGGCCTGCGGCAAGAAAGCCTATGTTAGGAATTTGTTCGATCCGTTTACCCCATCGTACACCACACGTGCCTGAACCTCCTGAGAGACTTTCTGGACCACAAGCTGCGCTACGGAACGAATCCTGAGAAGTAAGGGGGTGACGTCTGTACAGGATGTTTTCTTTTTATTTCTATACAAATTTTACCTTTTTACACCGTCGGCAAACGAATGTGATGGACATTGTCTCAGCTCCTAAATTCTGAACTACTAATGGTTTAAGTAAAGATAATAATTTGCTTATTTTCAATGAGTTATTCAAATGTTTGCACATAACGACATCATACTTCTTGTACCTATAAAAATGGCCGGTCACATTTTTTTCGTGTCTTTTGATTGATCTTGTAAAAGCCTCCATATTTTGGTAGTAAAATTTCGTGCATAAATTTATACCTAATGTCGAGTACCATACATTGTTTTTTTTTTCGTTTTTTCCAGACGTGTTTATAAAGACATGGATGTAGTCTCTTTCATTGACCGACTTCTCAAGAAAAGACCTCTGAGTTTCATTGGTGAAAACGATCACTACTTATTGCCTGGAAGTTTCAAAGAGGGCTATGGCGGCTTTGAAAAAATTGGCACTGAGAATGAAGACCCTCCGCTGTTACTTGAGAGTTTCCTCTCCTATGACGAGATGCGTCTTTCTTCTTTGGTGTCTTTGTCGAGTTGGTCCTGGTTTGTCAACAACGGCAGGCGAAAAAATTACGGTAAAGAAGATCGTGCCGGAACGTATCAGACGGAAGGCGTCGTCGTCGGGCAGGTCGGCACACGCCTGAGGAAGGAAGGAGTCATGGAGTTCGTGGACTGCATTGTGACTCGCCAACAGAACCGCCCCGAGAACGGATTTGGTTCGTTTAGTGCGCCGCACATCAACGCAGTTTGGGGCAAATTCTGGGGTGGTGAGCTGCCCACTTACCAAGATGCCACCACCTGCTTGCAGGGGCAGCAGAGCAAGGAGTGGTTGGCTCCCTTTGAGTATACAAGAGTTGGAAAAACATCTTCAAAATCACGGTGTACAAGAAGAGAATTGCCATCACTGCCGAGATTTTGTTGTGTGAGGCCAACAGCCGCGCGCAGGCCTGCGGCAAGAAAGCCTATGTGCACGTCGTGGGTCTTGGACTCGGCGTGTGGCGCGCTTTTGAAGAACAGGACGAACTCTTCATTGAAGCTTGGGGCGATGCTCTCAGGAATCTCAACCGCTTGACACACATTGCTTATGTGGATTTCAGTTACATAGGCTGCTCATCAATGTATGGTACTTTGCACAATGAGAAGTTCCCAGGCAGTGACGTAGTAATCAGGTTCTCAAAACGGAACTTGCATGACAAAGTGCCTCATGGCTGCATTCTCGTTTGCAACTATGCCTGGGACGGTAATTCTCTTCCCGGCAACGAGTTTTGGATGGATAAATTATGTTCGACTGGTGACAGTGCAGCAGCTTGCTCATCTTGCATCGCCGAGCTTCACAACCACCACATCAACCCCGCAGTATCGGGCCAGGCTCTACGTGTTGCTGTCAAAGAAGGGCGCGTGATTACATGGGCGGAGTATGCAAAGCGCGAAAGTTTTCGAAAGTATCGTGAGTCAAGCGACTCTGGTAACAGTAAATCATCGTCGTCATCTAAAGACCAAAACGAGTCCTCCGTAACGTCCATTTCCGTCAAGCATCATGTCAGTAGTAAACGAAGCTCGGTGCCTGAAGCAAGCGCTGCAGCACCTCCCAAGAAGAAGATCAAAATTGACCGCAAATCATTTAGTAAATGAAGTAAATTTGTGTGATGTGTGACTTGCCATTGTGCCTTTTTAGAATTTTCGTATTATCGAGTGTTTTTTAGTTTATTATATGGATATGATTTATCGTTGCCTATTTTGATGTTTGGTAAGAACACAGGTATCTATTTATTTCAAAAATCACCCAGTAATGAATATTAATTTTTATGATCTTACCACAATGAAATTTGTGGTCGAAATTTCAATGAACTGAATTGGTTCTCAGCATTACGAGCTTTTTGCAATTTTCTAGCTAACTAGAAGCTCATAATCCTTATACTTTTATTTATAGATTAAGCAAATGTATATTAATTTTGATCTCTGTGATACCACGCACCATGTTTGGTGTGGCTGGCAACTACGATTAACTTGTTATTACTTTAGAACCCTCAAAAAGCGGCATTTCTCGGGATCCTTGCGTCCGTTTCTACTGAAAAAATTAGGGGTAACTTGTTTAGGCATAAATCAAATTTCCAAAAACTAAGTATTGGAATATCCTTAGGCAGTACACTTTTTACTTTTGAGAAATATGCCTTAAATGTTCAAAATGGAAATCATATTTGTTACTGCTGTAGTTTAGAAGTGCGAACTTGACTTTTTCTAATGAACATATTTTCAATATACGTACGACTAGTGTTTTGCCGGTTCTGAATTGATGCTCTCAAACTTCACCCATTAGCTTTGCTAGTTATGGCAGATTTTATATGCATATTCATATGCTGATTTATGAAGAGGACTCGTGAGCAATTATAACTGATCAAGTCACTAATAACTTCTATGATTGTCTTATTTTCATAGCATTAATAATCTGACCACGTCCTTTCTGTTACAAGCACTGCATTAAGCCATCCAGTCTTACACCAGAAATGTGTCAAGTTTTGCGTGATCTTTATTTCTCAAAACTCTTATATAATTGAAAGGAATTACAAATATTGAACTAATTTTTTTTTTCTGGCCCAAGTGTTGTGGTATTTCCTCCAGGGAGCTGCAGTGCAAGTTGACCTGCAGCTGAGGGTAGTAACGCACCCTGGGGCTCCCGAGTATTTCAAGTTAATTTTAATATCCCTGTGTTAATTTACCGAAGTACTAAGTAATTTGGAACTGCTGTAGATGATTGTATTCATAGATTTTGAGCACATCTTCCTAAAATTGTAGGAATGCTGATTTCGTTTTGGAGGTCAACTAAACATGCAAAGCTCAGGATGCATCTGGATTACGAATTTGTTTCATAATTTGCTGCTCAGCGAAAGCTATGTTTATAAGGCATCAATCGGTTTCAATCCCCTCAGCGCTAATGTGACGTAATGTGACGGCTATGGAGATCAAAGATGACAAAACGGATTCCAGCTACAAGAGTTTATTCAACACAAGCTGTGTTTGTTGCACTTTCGAAGTTGTATCTGTAAGCAGTTGTTCTGCTTTCGTTCAACATATATTCAATTTTTTTCTTGTGTTGGCTCGTTTTAAAAATCGTCGAGGGTTTCGTTGCAAATTTGTCAGCAATCTCTTCAGCTGAGGGTTTTTAGCAAATTTTTATTTAAAATCTTGCATTAAGTCTTGAACTAAATGCTTGTTGAATCTTTGGATACCAGAAACTATTTGCCTTTTTTGAATAAGCTATCAGGGAATCTTCCAACTCTGAGCTCCGCCTGCATAAATCGTGCGCTTAACTTCAATGGAGAACATTCTGCATGCACGACCAACCCCTGTACAACCGGTCTGCCTGGACGCCGTGCCAAGCCCGGGGCTGCTGAGTGACTTGCGGCGCTCCAACCTGACGGTGCCTACCACGAACCTGGAGGAAGTCATCGAGCGCAGTAAGAAATTTCAAGAAACCTTCCCTTCGGAGACTGCAAGACTGCACGTTCTGCTGCAGGTACGGGACTCAAGTAGATCTTCAGTATTAGTATTAATGTGTATTTTTTTCACTATTCTAAACTCTCGCATAAACTATTGATGAACTATTTAAACTAGTTATGATACATTGCAATAACTATTAACCTGGTCTCTATGTACAATTAGCATTGTAGATGGTAGGTACATAGGTAGTCAGAGGGTTTAGTCTGTATGACTTTTTGATATTGGTTGTATGATTCTCGTGCCTTTGCTCGAGACAGTCTTGCATTACAAAACTGTCTATCTGGTAGTTACGAAATATCGGTAGTTCAAGGTATGTCCCAAACCTGCATGGCTGTTAACGATTTTTACTCCTGCAATGTCACTACTAGCAAATTTTTGTTTCTTCTACTGAAAATAAATAGAATAAAGGGGAAGAATAAGCCAAACTTCGATGTATTTTGTTACGTTAAAAAGATGAAGGAAATTGGCAAATAAAATATATTTATGATCCTCATTTGGTATCTGATGATGAACTTTTTGTAAGTGTAAGCAGATAAATTATGTGTTAAATGAACTATCTCTAATGAAAATGTAGTCAGTGTGTAATATTACTTCTCCAGAGCGGTGTTGATTCTGGTAAGCTGGAGGATTTTGTTCATTCCGTTTACCCCATCGTACACCACACGTGCCTGAACCTCCTGAGAGACTTTCTGGATCACAAGCTGCGCTTCGGAACGAGTCCTGAGAAGTAAGTGGTAGTGCGCTAGTGTTGGGTTCTTTGTTTGGCTGAGATGAAAAATATTTTATCTTGCGCCAATATCATTATGTTGTGTCCAAATGATGGACTCGATTAGATGGTGTTTTAATCATGCGTTAGAAAACTACACTTGTTGGTTATTTTTTGTTGTCTTACACAGTATATAATGCTGTTGCCGGCGCATTTGCGGGTGAGGTCAACCCTACGTGACCTACTTATGTCTCTCAGGCAACTAAATGTAAATTATTATCGCAGAGGCCATAAATAACAAATAAAGATATCAAATGTATTGGTGATCAGATTACAGATCAACAAAACCAGGGAATTAAGGAGCATGGGTAGACTAAACATAACTGCAAGAAAATAAATAAATAGTATAAGTAATCAAATAAACAAAGGAACAATACAGAACGCAATAACAGAACATCAATGCATCATGAACAAATCTGATTTAATTGAACAAGGGAATGAATTGAGCGCACGCATGAATACTAAAGATTAGTGAAATTCGGTTCCCTAACCCTATTCTATTTACAATCGGTGAGGCGCGAGAGTATTGCAGCCAGTCATGCCAAGACCGTGTGTTTACTACAGTCTTATAGAAGTCAGTTTCCTTACCCTAAAATGAGACACGACAGCTATAATTACCCGAAAAAATGTCGAAAATATTGATATAACGTAACTATAAATAAATTGGAAATATGGGGATTTATTTTGCGATGAAAATGAATAAGTAACCCGGTTACAATGCAAACTCCTCAATCAAAATGGGCTGTTGGGACCCTTTACTTAACTTCCTAACTGCTAGCACAGGATTACATTGTGCTAAATTAATTCACTACCGTGTTTCGGCTGGAAATTTACCATTTTTTATTCGCAGAATTTTTGCTGTAGCAATAGTATGTTCGGACTTCTAAGAGTGGCATCCTCTTTTCAATTACCTTTCACGCCATCCTGATATTTTAGTTAAATAATTATTTAAATTTTCAGACTGGTGTATGCTGGTATGGACGTGGTGTCTTTCATCGACCGACTACTCAAGAAACGACCCATGTGCTTCTATGGCCCAGGCGATCGCTATCGTCTGCCGGCTCCTAGTTTCAAAGAAGGATTTGGTGGATTCAATTCAGTTGGGAATAATGAAGAAAAATACCCTTTGGTCATGAAGAATTTACTCACCTACGATGAGATGAAAATCTCTGCTCTCGTATCTCTGTCAAGTTGGTCGTGGTTCGTTAACGACGGCAGGAGAACTAATTGTGGAAGAAAAGATAACAAGGATGACTATCAGACTGAGGGCGTGATCGTGGGACAGGTTGGCGCTCGTTTTGAAGTTGATGGAGTCATGGAGTATTTGGACTGCCTCGTGACTCGCCAACAGAACCGCCCCGAGAACGGATTTGGCACGCCTAGTGCGCCGCACATCAACGCAGTTTGGGGCAAGTTCTGGGGCGGTGAACTGCCCACTTACCAAGATGCCACCACCTGCTTGCAAGGGCAGCAGAGCAAGGAATGGTTGGCTCCCTTTGAGTATACAAGAGTTGGAAGGGAAAACATCTTCAACATCACAGTGTACAAGAAGAGAATTGCCATCACTGCCGAGATTTTGTTGTGTGAGGCCAACAGCCGCGCGCAGGCCTGCGGCAAGAAAGCCTATGTGCACGTCGTGGGTCTTGGACTCGGCGTGTGGCGCGCCTTTGACGAACAGGAGGAGCTGTACGTGGAAGCCTGGGGAGACGCTATGAAAAACGTCTGTAATTTGGAGCATGTTGCTTTCGTTGATTTCAGTTACATAAATTGCACATCAGTCCATGGCACATCAAACGACCAAAAATTCCCTGGCACTAACATAGTGATAAAATTCTCCAAACGTAACTTGCATGATAAGGTGCCTGCAGACTGCATACTTGTGTGCAACTATGCCTGGGATGGCAACTCCCTCCCTGGCAACGAGTTTTGGGTGGGGATGTTAGGCTCTACTGGAGACTGCGCGGCTGCGTGCTCCTCTTGTGTTGCCGAGATTCACAATCCGCATGTTAACCCCCTAGTCCTGGGGGCCGCCGTACGCATCGCCACACAAGATGGTCAAGTGCTTGCTGTATCAGATTACCTTGAGCTCATAAGGCCAGAAACTTAGGATCTGCCTCAAGTGAACTGGTTTGAGGCAACACTGTGTGTGTTTTTGAAACGCTTGCACTAAATAAGAAAAGCGTTGAGCCACATCAATAAGTTTACGTGTGCCTTAACTGCAGAATGTGTGTCCTCATCTTGCACCATCTAACGCTGTGCCTTCAGATAGGTGATCTTATTGAACCTCTAAGATTTACTGCCGCTATTTGTTCATTGTCTGTATGGTACAGTGAACCGAATTGATCCTAAGAACTGGTATTCTGTTGCTGTTTTCGATGCTATGAAAGAGTTTCGTTCTCGGTCATTCAGCCTGTCCGCTCTGTTTACTTATTTATAAACTTGTAGAGTCCCGGAGCCTTGATGAAATGAAGAAAATTGCTATCATGTTGGTCCAAGCAAATGAGTATATTACTCCAAGCGTTTCGCTAATCGCAAAATTTACATTCCAATGCATTAACGTGCTATTTGTTTCAAATTTATGAATTATTTTAATCTGTTGCGTACTGAAACTGAGAATGATCTCAAATATTTCCTTTACGCGTAACTTGATTTTCTCATCAGTACAAACTGCCTTCATTTAATATCAGTCTAAGATAATGAATACTTTTATTTCTTTAAGTTAGAAGAAACTGAACCAGTTCACAATACGCCTGTGATATTTAATCCTAATTAGTTAAAATATCGGAATGACTATGATAATATTTTATTAAATGTTAGAGTTGCTGAATCAACACTCAAGAATATAATTAGTAGACTGAAGAATCTCTTAACAGTTAACTGTCTTACATTACTTACATCGTTGCAACGATCGCTGTTCTGTGCTGCGTGCCTCGTTCATGTTTTGTTTATTTTATAATATATTTTATTTATGATTATATTTCGCATAGATGTTTATATAATCATGACTCATTGTCCATGTTTTCATAGAATTTATGGACATTTTACGTCAGCCCTTTCGCTCATTAAAAAGACCGAGAAACTTGCATTTTAGATACTCAAACCATGAAGTTAGACAAATTTCTAGTCATGTATAATTTTTTTCAAAAGTTAAAAGAAAATTGGAGTGGATAAGTTTGCATTCATGTTCGCCATTGTAGAGATAATTGGATATAATATTTGTATAATTTTTGAATATAAATTTTTATTTCTGTGCATAGCGTGACACGGAACATAATCAAGTTATTGGTCATAGTTTAGTTATTGCCGTTTTGCTGTAGAAATAACTAAGAGAATACGTCTATATTTAATGACTGGTCTCCATTTTTGAAATGCTAAATAAAATCATCAAGTTTGTGATGAACGATTTTAAGAATTGTATGATAGGCAGATGATTGGCGACAGGTATGATAACTTACGCCTCAAGCACAGACCTGGGCATGTGAGGTAATATAGGCTAACAGTCATTACCACTTAACAGGGAAACAATGTAAAAGTTACATAACTCATTTTTTCTCTAAATTAGGTGATCCATCTTGAAAATTCCTTGTATTAAACAATTAGTAATATTCAAGCGAAGGGCCTACTGATTTAATGTATTTCTTATTATTTCATAAAGTTCGTTGCCTATTTGTGCTCTATTTTCTCAGCAGGCAAAGTAGCTTCAAAATTGTTGTCACGGGCAAAATTTTTTATTTCAGCCTGCCAATGCAATACATGTATATGCCTGGTGCTAACATATAAATTCTTTATGTTAGTGGGTCACAAAATGTCTTTGTGCAATGTTGAAAAAAAAAAATTGCGAATTCTCTTAACCAAAGATTACGATATGTTACGTGTACTGTCTGGCTATACTATAGTGCACGGAATTCTATGTCTTTCTTGTGGATTACTGATCGTTTTAACTATCCGTGGAATCTTGAATGTATCGTTTATTTATGCAATGTATAAAGTTGAAGTAATTCTTATTCGATTGTATGATATCGTTTCCCGAATTCCTCCAGAGGGATGTAAGGTTTACACTTTGCATCTTAGGGCAGTTGCTCGCCCTGAGGCTCCTCAGCTCTTGATGCCATCCAGCGGACATGAGGCTCGTCTGCGTGTGCTCGATTGCCTTGAATATTCAATGTTTTAATCTTCATTTTAAATTATTTCCATTTTCAGATTTAGTCGAGACTTGGAAGTTGTGTTTTATTATTTGGTTTAATAAGATTCAAAATATAATGAGTGCCGATCAAGCAACTGGAGGAGCTTCCAACACGGGACAGAACCCGAATCGTGGCAGAGGTCGGGGAGGAAGAGGCAAGGATCAGTCCAGAGAGCAAGAGGGGCGTGCTGGGGGAGGAGGGCAGTTCCGGAGCTCTGGTAAAGGCTCCAACAACCATCCCCGCGACTGGGACGGTCCTCATAGACAAGACCGGCAACAAAATCGAGGTAGAGGGCGAACCGACGGCGCACCTGGCAACCGAAATGGACAACGTTTCGTTCATGGCAATGCCGGTAGGATTCCCGAAGAAGGAGGAACGAATGCGGTGAATACCAATGAAGGCAACTCATTGGGACATGCACCTCCGAACGGGCAGCAACCGCGATCCGATTGGAGAGACTCTCAGTCCAATCATGGTGGCCAAAACCAGAAAAATGGTTTTCAGCAAAAAGAAAACGGCGCGAAAGGTGATGCCTATTACCAGAGCAACTACAACAATCATAGACCTCCATTTTCAAAAAATGTAAGAGCTGACTCGAGTCACGTCCATAAAGCTCCAATTGACAGAAAGTTCAAAAGCCACGGCAGGCAGAGCTTGCACGAGCGACCAACCCCTGTACAACCGGTCTGCCTGGACGCCGTGCCAAGCCCGGGGCTGCTGAGCGACTTGCAGCGTGCCGACCTGACGGTGCCTTCCACGAACCTGGAGGAAGTCATCGATCGCAGCATTAAATTCTGGGATCATTTTCCATCCGATACCGCGAGACTGCACGTGCTCAGGGAGGTGAGATACTTAGATGATTGTTTAGGTGTCAAGTACTGTCGCGTTACGCCTAACTCGCGATCTCGTGATTCAAGCCTTTTAAATGAATTAATTTACTTAGTTGTAGATGTCATCATTTCATTCAATGTTTTCAAGTCTTCCTGTATCAGAAATACCATGCAATTAAAAAGTCGAAACGATTAACAATTCCACTTGAGCTCAGCTCTCTTCCAAGTTCTTGCATGGCTTGATTCATCTCTTTATTTAAAATTACTCTTTATCTTAGGTGCATCAAATCAATAGCGTTTCATAGGTCAAAAAATAAGAAACGTTCTCTTATTTGAATTTATTATAACGGCAACTGGAATAAATGAAAATGAAAGTTTAGCACGGTCGATAGTTTAGAATTTATACGTAAGAAACCCAAATAGATGTGAGTTTTGAGCTCTGGACTAAAGACCTGACGCGAATTTGAACAGCTTTGAAAGACGTAAATGTTTGTGTCTAATAACAGTACTGTCGTGATCTCCACAGTAGGTTTAGGTTGATAGTTATTAGTAGTTCCTGTGCAACAGCAAACCTTGTTTCCTGTTGCACGGGTTTGGTTTCAAATCACGTCCCGCCAATTACCTTATTTTCTGTTGCGCATGGTTTATTTGAATCATGTCAGTAAACGCTATAGCCGTCCACGCTGTCACTTCAGGCAGAAGTGATTACGTGTACTCGTGTCACTCGCAGGTGTGGCTGGACCAAACCTCAATTCGTCGCCCACTCATATAGGCCATTTTAGCTCAATGCTTTCTTCTGAATTCCAAAGAGAGGAGCTGATGCTTCGGTTTATGATGTGCAACCCTCCACTATCTCTTCCGTAGGTCTCCCATGTGGTAGTCCAGCTGACATTCGCCGAAATATGAGTCACAGTCACTCGCTGACACTACCGAAAGTCGGACAGTGATCCTAGTAATTTAACCGGATCCTTAATTCTATGATGGCAAATTGGCAATCCGGCAAATTTTTTCCCGGCTTTCGCACTTTACCTCTCTAACATTTTAATAGGGTTTACCTGATTGAGCCTTAGTTCTCCCATTAATTGACATCATAAGTGTGTCAAGAGGTTCACTTGCAATCATCATATGATCTTTTCCAGAGCGGTGTTGATGCTGGTAAACTGCAGGAATTTGTTCGATCCGTTTACCCCATCGTACACCACACGTGCCTGAACCTCCTGAGAGACTTTCTGGACCACAAGCTGCGCTACGGAACGAATTCTGAGAAGTAAGGGGTGACGTCTCGTACAGGATGTTTTCTTCTTGTCTTCATTCGAATTTGGCCTTTTTCCACCATCGACAGATGAATGTGATGGACATTGTTTCAGCTCATCAATTCCGAGCGTGCTACTAGTTCCAGACATTAATTTGCTCATTTCCAAAACGTTGTTCAAGTGTTCGCACATAGCTGTATAGTACTTTTTGTACTTTGAATAGCCGGTCACAATTTTTTCGCCTCTGGTCCAGGTTGATCATGTGAAAGATTATACCACATTTTGATAACATTTCATGCATTAATTAATTGTAATGTTAAGTATACATTGTTTTTTTACGTTTTTCAGGCGGGTTTATAAAGGCATGGATGTGGTTTCTTTCATTGACCGACTTCTCAAGAAAAGACCTCTGAGCTTCATAGGTGAAAATGATCACTACTTATTGCCCGGAAGTTTCCAAGAGGGCTATGGTGGCTTTGAAAAAATTGGCACTGAGAATGAAGACCCTCCGCTGATTCTTGAGAGTTTCCTCTCCTATGACGAGATGCGTCTTTCTGCTCTTGTGTCTTTGTCGAGTTGGTCCTGGTTTGTCAACAACGGCAGGCGAAAAAATTACGGTAAAGAAGATCGTGCCGGAACGTATCAGACGGAAGGTGTCATCGTCGGGCAGGTCGGCACACGTCTGAGGAAGGAAGGAGTCATGGAGTTCGTGGACTGCATTGTGACTCGCCAACAGAACCGCCCCGAGAATGGATTTGGCACGCCTATTGCGCCGCACATCAACGCAGTTTGGGGCAAATTCTGGGGCTGTGAGCTGCCAACTTACCAAGATGCCACCACCTGCTTGCAGGGGCAGCAGAGCAAGGATGCTCCCTTTGAGTATACAAGAGTTGGAAGGGAAAACATCTTCAACATCACAGTGTACAAGAAGAGAATTGCCATCACTGCCGAGATTTTGTTGTGCGAGGCCAACAGCCGCGCGCAGGCCTGCGGCAAGAGCGCCTATGTGCACGTCGTGGGTCTTGGACTCGGCGTGTGGCGCGCTTTTGAAGAACAGGAGGAGCTGTACGTGGAAGCCTGGGGAGACGCGCTCAAAAATATTTCTAACTTGGACCATGTAGCTTTCGTTGATTTCAGTTACATCGGTTGTACAACCATACACGGAATCGGCAACAATCAAAAGTTTCCAGGCACCGAGGTTGTGATCAGGTTCTCTCAGCGAGACCTGCACGACAAGGTGCCTGATGAATGCATTCTGGTTTGCAACTACGCGTGGGATGGAAACTCCCTTCCCGGCAATGAGTTTTGGATGGGCAAAATGTGCTCGACTGGCGACAGCGCCGCTGCTTGCTCGTCGTGCGTGGCAGAGATTCACACGCACTCCATCAACCCGGTGGTGTCTGGAGCCGCCGTCCGGATTGCCACTAAAGATGGACAGCTGCTTGATGTCGCCGAATTCCTAAGAAGTGTTCAGGGCCAAGCACCAAATCTGACGCTGAGGAACCAGTTTGGTGTTACACTACCTTGTAATAGCGTTCCATCTGTAAGCAAACCTTCTGTTGATCAGCCAAGTCGTGGCCAAGAATCCCAAGTTCATGGGACTTATATTTCTGCGTCATCCAGCGCCAATGAGATTGTTTGGAATTCCGAATGTAATCCATCACTTGCTAACAACACGGAGCACCGGGCAACTCAAATTGTGACCGAGACACCTTCCATCAGCAAAGAAACGAAGCCTGTGACTTCCCAGGACCTGGTACGAAAAGATGGAATTGAGAACCCTCCTTGTGATGCCGTTGGCGGTGCGCAGTCTAGCAACGATGTTGACTTGTCCGTAAATAACGGGCTCGAGGATGTAACCTCCGTTAAAGAAGTGGCGCTTCCTTCCGAGCCCACAGTTCCTAAACAAATACCACATCCCAGTGTGATTGGCTGTTTTATTGACAACCCCGAGTATAAAAGGCAAATGAAAGAAATCAATAAAAGGAAGCTGCAGGCAAAGAAACAGGAGCAGAAAGCCAAAAAGGAAGAATCGTCAGAAAAGCAAACCAATGGAGAGGTCAAAAGCCCAAAACCGAAGAAACCAGAGAATAGAGCTGAAGAATCCCAGAAGGAATCGAAAGGCCATAAGAAAAAGAATAAAAATAAAAAATGAATTATTGCGCTATAGCTTCTTTTCTTTAATACTAGTTTCCGGATGCAATGAAAGTTGTTAACTCGCGTTTTTTTCTTTCCAGGTGACATCAATTTAGTTTTTAGTAACACGTTCATTCCTGTTAATGTTGAAACTTTTTGTAATTTCCTACACAAATATCGTTTAAACTTTGCTAAACCTAATCCTGTTGTCACATCTTCGTGCTCTTAGCCACTGGGTCTTACTATTTTGGTCTGATCATTTAGTGTTGTTTTTCTCGGCAAAAATAATTTCTTTATTCTTCTATGCGCAAATTTAATTTTATTCTTTTTCTTCTGGTCACGCGATTATCTTGGATGTTGGAACGTAAGCTTCTAACCTCTTCGTTGGTTGTGTTCTGCGTGTTGCTGTTCTTCTTGAGCTTTATGTCCTGGATTCTCCACTGCCTAAAACATCAATGCCATTGTTGTTGGTAATAAATTGATTTTTGTTTCGTGTATTGGCGATTTCATGGGTTCTGAATGTAATAGATTCGAGTAAAAGTTTATTAGACGTCTCTCTAAAATTCATAGTATTTTGTTTGATTACCAGTGTAAAAGCGACAGGTAATCAAATTATTTGGAATTAATTTTTTTATAGATTTTGGTAACAGTTAGGATGCTCTTTTTAGCACGCTCTAATGAGCTATTTGAAAATGACAGGGTGTTCGTTTTCCTAATCATTGACCAATTGTTACGTTTGGTTTCTGCATGGGATTGCAATAAATTAAAATGCGCGTAAATTCTCTGCTGGGACTGAGTCCGTAAAAAACTACGAATGATGCCCATTTCGTTGTTATAATAATTTACATTACATTTCACAACTCCAACATTTTCAATACGCAGAATTAGTTTGTTATCTTATTGATTCAACCTTAGCCAGTTAACTTGAAATCTAATTTTTTTTAATGCAGCTACCCTGCTACCTATTACTGCAGTGAGAAGCAAAAGCAAGCAGTCTAGAAAATGGTCAAACATTATTACGTAATGCCGAGACTACGAATGTGTGGGAGTTGAAGTCCAGGATTCTATGGCACTCAATTATGGTGTATTGTTGATGCATATTACGATGTTTAGTGCCTCTTTGTATAGAACTATCCTCTTTAGTTGATGATGTCGGCGCTGAAGAAAGGCCTGATGTTACCCGTCGCCGATTCTTCTACTTTGATACTCTATTGTTTTGTTTTTTGTTTCTATTCGGCGTAGATTTGTGGTATTTTATTCTCGTTATTTTTTTATTCCGAATTGCAATACCAGAATTGAAATTTTAATCCGGTTTGTTCCCACTTCAATTCGATATTCCTTCAGACGTAACTACCGTACCGTACAGGAAACCGAAAAAAATACCAACTCTTCATACTATTCCAGGTTATACAACTACTGCTCATTTCTTGCAGATAATTTTGTTGCCTCATAGTTTTTTTCACTGTCATGTCTTGTAACGGGTTACTGTGGTCGCATGAGTGGGGGCGGTCAAGACTGTACGCCTGAGAGACGTGCTGTTCTTGTCGGTTCTTAGTGCTCCTTCACCCACGGGACCGAGCTTCTGTCTTGAGCAGCTGCAACTTGAAGCTCGTTGATCGGATGAAAATTATTGTCCCGCCTTGTGGATGGGCATTCGTGTGGGCTTTCAGAGCACAAACTTTATTGGTTAAATTGTTGGGCACGTGGGAAACCTGTCTGAATTCGTATCTTGTTCATTGCGCCTTCGTGGGAAAAGTTATTCTACTCCAGCTTATCAATAATCTATTCGTGTCCAGTCGTTCAGAATTTTCCCATATTTTTGATGACGGGCCTTTTCTTCTGCAATTTAAAATGGGAGTTTTCTTACACAATCGATGTTACTTTTTTGTGTGGGTTATTTTGACAGGTGTGATGTTGATGCTCTACGTGTGGAGGCATTGCAACTCCACAGTAATATTAAGGAGTTTTGATCGGATAAATTAGTTAATGTTGAATATTATTATTGCAAGCAATAATAGACTGAAGGTGGGCATTGCTTTTACCTTATTGCACAGTCGAGTTCTGCAGCGTCACGACTCACTGTCCTGTGTTCAAGTATCATAACGCAGAACCCCGGTTTATACTTTCATTAATATTACGTGATTTAATTCTGTGATAATCACATGAGAATCGTAGTTTTGAATTGAGTTTTTAATTATGTCGTTGTGTTGGTAATTTTCTTAGGTTTCGGATGTTTCTTTCTAACATCATTCATAACTAACAACAGAGGGTTGAGGCTGAAATCTCGAATCATCTGGTTTCTTACGTCCTGCAAACTATTTGTACTGGAATAACGTATTTTGCTTTGTTACTCAATATAATTATATAATACAGTGTGAACCTTTGAATTCGTGGGGTGTATTCTTTCTTAACCTAACCCTACCGTGGCAGCTGCTACGAACATTAAAGTTTTAAGCTGAGCAGCAACCGCCTTGATAATGGCGGTGTTCGTCAAGAACGACTAAGCATGTTCGGTAGCGTGGCATGAGCTCTGAATGACGCCAAGGCTACTAATATGCGTGCAAAGTCGTCTCTTGAACGGACTTAGTTTCAATCTAAATACTTGGGTAATGTTTATTTTTCTGCATTTAATATGCAACTCACAAGTTTACATCGCTTTCGGAAACATACTTCACAAATCAATTAGAAAAGTGGTACGTGTTCAAGATAATCCTTACTTGTCAACTCTAGCAAATTATTTGGTTGTCTTTTTATCTTCCAGTAAATAATTAACTGTCCAGTGGCATATTGTTTTTCACTTTAAAATTTTTTATATATGATGTTGCCCCCCATTCAACCATGGTTGCCCCTATTACTCCAGTGCCTTTCAAAGCAAGCGGTCAGTAGATTACAAGGGGCCATACTTTCAAAACTCGCCAAGTTAACGTAAGTGCTTACGCTCTATTTTCTTGTCTATGATTGGTGGATTTTGAAAGGCCGTCAATGATTGGCTGATGAACTTACGATCTCTTAACTTTTTTTGAAAGTATTGGCCAAGGCAGTTGCTCGCCCTGAGGTTGCGTAGTTCGTTGTTTAGGTGATTGGCATTCATACTGAAAGCAGGTTTTAATGCATTACGCAAGTTTTATTGCGTTATTACCGACGAATGATGAGTATTAAGATTGAGTTTATTCGAATTTGTAGATTAAACCTTAAGTTACCACACCAAAACAAGAAATTAAAAACCATTTTATAAGTGCACTCGGTTACTAGTGCAGCAACAGCACGATGTGAAATCAAATTAAAAAATGTTAATAAGCAAAATCCCCTAAATTAACAAAAATATTCATGCAGGGGCAATAAAAAAATTACGTGATGAAGAACTACATGAATCTACATTTTTTAACCAGGAAACTTGTGCAAAAATAATATTAAATGGATGAAAAGTTTGCATTACTGGTTACAAAGTAGTCACTTACCTCATTCAAAAAGCACTATCAAATAAAGTTAACCGTTTCTCTCCTAACATATTAATAATCTTGAATGAAACGCATCTTTGTTTCAGGTCTTCTCCCATTGTTCGATCAGATTTAGTCGTACGAGTTCGTAACGCGTCCTAAATGTCAAGTGACTGGCGACTGAGCGCTAGTGGGCCAGTGACGCTGCCGCAGTCACAGTGTTTTGTCAGTCGGTTGGATGAGTGGTGAGCTTTCTCAGGATCTCTAAATTTGCTGTTTCTAAAAATATATAGCCTTCAGGAGAAATATTATCTGAAGTAGCATTAAGTTAGAAAAGTGGTATTTATTTAATTGTTCGCTGATATAACAGTCAATAGGGCGAAATACAGAGCAAACCTTTCTGATTCAACTGATTGATTCAAACGTAATAGCTTTATCTGCTTATCTTGCTCTCCGGCCTCTCCCCGCTGTTAAAAGGTGCGAATACATTGAGAACATTTTGCTGTGTGCATTGTTATCAAGCAAATAAAGTGAAGATTTATCAATCAAAAACCTTCAGCATACAATGTTCCTGATTGTTTCAACATCCAAGTCCAACTGTGAGTGGACCTTTGGATAACTAACCTCAAGGCTCAATGCCACTTTTGTTGCTGCAGAACTTACGAAGTTACGTTACGTTGCCGACATTCAACAGGAACTATTATAATTTATTTGGTGAACAAAACTGAACCACAATTTTCTAGCGCGATCAAAAGTTTCGTAGAAATTATATGATTATTTATAAAATCCTTCAAATCGTAGTTCTGATCAGTAGTATAAGGTTATATTGACGCGAGGCGAGCCAATGTATTGAATGTATTGTAGTAATAGCGGTTTCAGCGTTTATTCGCCGTAGGCCTGTCGCCGATTCTTAACTTCGCAGAACATTCAAAGCTTGTTGGGGCCTCGAACGCGCCACTCAGAGTAGGCTAACAACTGTTCCAAGTCAAGTTCACAGCAAAGCTGAAAATTGTAATTGACAAAGTTTGTATTCATGTTTACCAATGTAAATATAATTGGATATAATTATTGTATAATTGTTGAATAATAATTTTTATTTCTGTGTATATATATAGCGTGACACGGAACATTATCAAGGTACTGGCTGACCGTAGTTTAGTTATCGCCGTTTCCTTACTGTAGAAATAAGTAAGAGAATACGTCTATGTATATGTAATAACTCAGCTATATGTACACCATCCAGAGGAGATGAGGCGCGCCTCTGCGCGTGTTCGATTGCCTTTAAAGTTCAATGTTTTAATCTTCATTTAAAATTGCCATTTTCAGATTTAGTCGAAACTTCAAAGTTGTTTTATTTTTTTGGTCTAATAAGATTCAGAATATAATGAGTGCCGATCAAGCAACTGGAGGAGCTTCCAACACGGGACAGAACCCGAATCGTGGCAGAGGTCGGGGAGGAAGAGGCAAGGATCAGTCCAGAGAGCAAGAGGGGCGTGCTGGGGGAGGAGGGCAGTTCCGGAGTTCTGGTAAAGGCTCCAACAACCATCCCCGCGACTGGGGCGGTCCTCATAGACAAGACCGGCAACAAAATCGAGGTAGAGGGCGGACCGACGGTGCAGCTGGCAACCGAAATGGACAACGTTTCGATCATGGTAATGCCGGTCGGATTCCCGAAGAAGGAGTAACGAGTGCGGTGAATACCAATGAAGGCAACTCATTGGGACATGCACCTCCGAATGGGCAGCAACCGCGATCCGATTGGAGTGACTCTCAGTCCAGTCATGGTGGCCAAAACCGGAAAAATGGTTTTCAGCAAAAAGAAAACGGCGCAAAAGGTGATGTATATTACCGGAGCAACTACAACAATCATAGACCTCAATTTTTAAAAAATGCAAGGGCTGACTCGAGTTACGTCCATAAAGCTCCAATTGACAGAAAGTTCAAAAGCCACGCTAGACAGAGCTTGCACGAGCGACCAACTCCTGTACAGCCTGTCCGCCTGGACGCCGAACCAAGCCCTGGGCTGCTGAGCGACTTGCAGCGTGCCGACCTGACGGTGCCTTCCACGGACCTGGAGGAAGTCATCGATCGCAGCATTAAATTCTGGGATCATTTTCCATCCGATACCGCGAGACTGCACGTGCTTCGCCAGGTGAGATCCTATTACGAGAGTTATTTACGGAGTTCATATCTGTTGCCTTTCGTCAAACTCGAGTGCTGCACGCGTTCCATTTTTCGTTTTTATTTATAGGTTACTGATCCTTCAATCTTTCCCGTTCCGATATAAACAGTTTGCCAGTGTGAGTTATTGTCTCTGAGAGATGCAGTCACGTCTTGAGATAATTGTTCTTGCAATCAGCGTATGGTTTTTTTAGGGCGGTGTTGATGCTGGTAAACTGGAGGAATTTGTTCGATCCGTTTACCCCATCGTACACCACACGTGCCTGAACCTCCTGAGAGACTTTCTGGACCACAAGCTGCGCTACGGAACGAATTGGATGGGAAAACATCTTCAAAATCACGGTGTACAAGAAGAGAATTGCCATCACTGCCGAGATTTTGTTGTGTGAGGCCAACAGCCGCGCGCAGGCTTGCGGCAAGAAAGCCTATGTGCACGTCGTGGGTCTTGGACTCGGCGTGTGGCGCGCCTTTGAAGAACAGGAGGAGCTGTACGTGGAAGCCTGGGGAGACGCGCTCAGAAATATTTCTAACTTGGAGCATGTGGCTTTCATTGATTTCAGTTACATTGGTTGTACATCCATACACGGAATCGGCAACAATCAAAAGTTCCCAGGCACCGAGGTTGTGATCAGGTTCTCTAAGCGTGACCTGCACGATAAGGTGCCTGATGAATGTATTCTTGTTTGCAACTACACGTGGAATGGAAACTCCCTTCCAGGCGATGAGTTTTGGATGGGCAAAATGTGCTCGACTGGCGGCAGCGCTGCTGCTTGCTCGTCGTGCGTGGCAGAGATTCACATGCACTCCATCAACCCGGTGGTGTCTGGAACCGCCGTCCGGATTGCCACTAAAGATGGACAGCTGCTTGACGTCGTCGAGTTCCTGAGTAGTGTTCAGGGCGAAGCACCAAATCTGACGCTGAGGAACCAGTTCGGTGTCAAACTGCCTTGTAATAGCGTTGCATCTGTAAGCAAACCTTCTGGTAACCTACTTAGTTGTGGCCAGGAATCCCAAGTTCATGGGACTGATATTTCTTTGTCTTCCCCCTGCAAAGAGAATGTTTGGAGTCCCGAATGTAATCCATCGCTTGCTAACAACACCGGGCACCAGGCAACTCAAAGTGTGCCCGAGAGACCTTCCTTCAGCAAAGAAGTGAAGCCTTCGACTTCCCAGGACCTGGTACGAAATGATGGAATTGAGAAACCTCGCAATGCCGTTGGCGGTGCGCTGTCTAGCAACGATGTGGCCTTGTCCGCAAATAACGGGCTCGAGGATGTAGCCTCCACTGAAGAAGTGGCGCTTCCTTCCGAGCCCACAGTTCCTCGAAAAATACCACATTCCACCGTTTCTGGCTTATTGATTGACAATCCCGAGTATAAAAGGCAAATGAAAGAAATCAAAAAACGGAAGCTGCAAGCGAAGAAACAGGAGCACAAAGCCAAAAAGAAAGAATCGTCAGAAAAGCAAACCAATGAAGATGTCAAAACCTCAGAACCGAAGAAAACAGAAATTAAAGCTGAAGAATCCCAGAATAAATCGAAAAGCCGTAAGAAAAAGAATAAAAATAAAAAATGAATTATCGCGCTATAGCTTCTTTTCGTTAATGCTAGTTTCCGGATATCATGAAAGTTATTAACTATTCGCACTTTTTTCTCTCCAGGAAATAGCAATTTAGTTTTTGGTAACTCGTACATTGCTGTTACTATTGGAACTTTTTGTAATTTTCTACACAAATATCGTTTAAACTTTGTTAAACCTTTTTTGTTTTC